GAGCGGCAGCCATGGAAAGAATTGCACTTGAAGATCCTCCAAAGAGCAAAGCCTGATGGAGAGGGGCTGGTGAGCAACTTGGCCTCCTCTCTGGCTGCTGGTCTGAGATGTCATCCAGATAATCTCACATGCAGAAAAAAAAACCTAAAATGTGCTATTCGAAACTACAAAGCCAAATAAGTGTGGAAGATTTAAATAATTAAACTTTCAAATGATGATCTGTAAGTCTGTAGCATTTATACTTCTGATTTGGGATGTCTTGTAGATATTCTCAAATGGCTTATATCAGAAAAGACAAATAATGAGCTACGTACCCAACGCAAGACATCAGGGAAAAGACTAACACAAAGGAGTTAAAAAAAAAAACAACAAGAAGTAAGGAAGATACAAACAGAAATGTATAACTAGAAAGCAAAGAAACAATAGGGAGAATCACAAACCACTCTCTGAAAATACTAATAAAATAGATAAATTAGACACGTTTGAGCAATAAAAATATGTGGGAGCATAGCTGTTTTAAAATGACACTTTAAGAATCATTTTTTAAAAAAAATGCCTCTTACTCAAAACCATCTAGACTCTGAGAACCAATCCTTGGTGCTCACTGATTGTACAAAAACACTTTCATGCCAAGTAATTAATTTAACCAGGCCAATGTAATATAAAACTGTTACTTCTAATTGTGAAATTCAACACATTTTTTCCTCATTAAATATTGGGTTTAAAGACGGTGTTTAGAGAAACTCTGGGCAGGTAAAGTAGTGGCAGTCTAGTATTGAATGCCTTCTCAATTCCTTTCCCCCCCACCTCCCACCAAAAACAAACAACAAAACAAAAAAAATCAGATGAGAACTAGACTACCAAGAGCAAACCCCAGACTCTGCAGAGTGAGAAGATGTGTGTGGAAGCAGCTCTCATGCAGAAGGAAGAAGATAGAGGCAATGGGTGGTCTGGCAGATCAGGGTCAGGTCACCTATGGGGTTGTCACCCCTCAACACTGGGAGGGGATTTTGCCCATTCCCATTAGTGGGTGAGGGCAGGGTCAGGGCATGGTCTGGAGGTGCTGGGCCTATAAACTCTTAAAAATGATTAACTGAAATTCCCTCCCAGGACAAGTTTCCACGAGGAAGAGCTGCTGGGCTTTAGAACCCACATGGAGCAGAATAGCTGCTACCGGGGGAGAGGGAGTGCAGGGGACAGAGCCAGAAGGCATCAGGTGTCAGGAGGGACCACGTCAAAGCCACCAACAGAGAGGTGGCCTGCAGGAGCTGTGAAGCTAGGAGTCAGGAATGTTCCACACACAGGAGCAACAGAATAGTACTGTATATAAACCCAATACCAAAAACTATCAGTAACAAAGAATAAGGAGCAGGAACCAGGCCTCAGAAGCTATACAAGTTTGCCAGAAAGATATGATCACAAAATGGACTAAATCATGATCCAAGATTTCAAAATGAGTTAAAATAAGACTAGAAAATAATAGTAGACATCGAAGAACAATAAAATCAGAATTAGAAAACTCAGGAATGAGGAGTTGGAATTTAGGAAGAAATTAGTGAAAAAAAGGAAATAGGTAACCCCCTTGGGTCCCCTCCTCCCGCTGTAGAAGCTTTGTTGTCCTCTCAATAAATCCTGCTTTCTCAAAAAAAAAAAAAGGAAAGAATTATTTCAGAAGGGATGATTCAGTTAGAGGGACTATAAGTGAACAAACACCAAGGATATGGCAAAGGAAAAGTCACCTTACTGACAGGGACTTACTGAGGTCATAGAAAGAAGGGCAGTCCCTATCCAGCCGAGCAGGGAGACTGTGTTGGCATGCCAGGGGCTCAGCCATCTTTGGTACTTGGTGCCCAGTTTGAATGACAAAGAGGTAATGCAATGAAGTGAAACTGAGGTGGGCTTGTAAACAGTACCTCAGGCCCCTTGGGTTGAGGGTCTGATCCCTCCACCAGGTAGGCTCCCTCATCTGCAGAGCTCCTGGCCGTGGATAAAGAGATCTCTGGGTGGTGGGAGGGTAGACGATGAGTGTGGCATCTACCTTGAAACCAGCTGTGGCAGGTGCGGTTGCTCTTTTCATTTTACTGAAGGGGGAAGTAAGTCACCTCACAAGCTTACAATAGGAACAGAGGTTGTTCTATAAAAAAAGACACCTGCGCCAGCATGTTCACTGCAGCACAATTCACAACTGCAAAGGTGTGAAATCAATCCAAATGCCCATCAATCAATCCGTGGATAATAGCACACAGCCATAGAAGAGCTATATGGGTGGAGCTGGAGATTGTCATTCTTTCTTTTTTTTTAATTTTAATTTTTATTATAAAGATGTGGGGTACATTTCAGGTTTAGGTATACAAACATTGATCATGCAGTTACCCTTGTGGTGAGGTGTGCCTCTCCCTACCCTAGCAGTTTCCTTCAACTGTCAATCCTACCCCCGTCCCCCGAAAGTTTCCCACTACTGTCAATTGCTTTTTTATAGCATAATTGTTCAAGGTCCGCTGATGAGTGAGAATGTAGGGAACTCTCTTCTTTGTTTCTGTGATAAATCACTGAGTATGAGCGACTCCAAATTCATCCAAGTTGTTGCAAAGTCCATATATTTGTCCTTCTTTATGGCTGCATAATATTCCATCCTGTATATGTACCACTTTTTTTTTATCCAGTCCAGCTTTGATGGGCAACACGGTTGGTTCAGTCAACTCATCTTTGACAAAGCCTCCAACAACAACCACTGGAGAGAGGAGAACCTATTCAGTAAATGGTTCTGGGAAAACTGGCTGACCACATGCAGAAGATTGAAACAGGACCCCTACCTATCACCGTACACAAAAATTAACTCTAAATGGATCAAAGACCTGAATGTAAGACCTCAAACTGTAAGAATCTTAGAAAGCGCAGGAGACACCCTTATGAAAATTGGAACTGGCAACCAATTCCTATTCAGAACCCTAAAGGCTAATATCTTAGGAAATATGATAGACAAGTGGGACCTCATCAAATTAACGAGCTTCTGATAAGTGAAAGAAACCATCAAGAGAGCAGGGAGACAGCCCACAGAATGGGAAAATATATTTGTCAACTGTATATCTGACGAAGGCCTAACATCTAGGATCTACAAGGAGATCGTCATTCTAAGTAAACTGACTCAGACACAGAAAACCAAACACCACGTGTTCTCACTCATATATGGGAGCTAAATGGTCGCGAAGATGGAAATAATAGACACTGGGGACACCAATAAGGGGGGAGGAGGGATGGGAGTTAGGGTTCAGAAACCATCGACGGGGCACAATGTTCATTATCTAGGGAATGGGCCATCTGAGATCCAATCCCCACCACGACACATGTTTATGTAACGAATACACATGTATACCTCCTGAATCTAAAATAATAAATAACAAACAAATAATTAGTAAACTAAAAAAAAAAAGAGAAGTCAATGCAGTGAGTGGCCCAAGGGTAGACAGCGAAAGCTACTGTGATCTCCTAGGATCCCCTCTGCACACCCACACACCCATGCTCATGGGTCACAGCTGGGTCCCTCAAAAGCAATCACCTCCAACCTGGCAGGGATTTGCTTTGTCAAAAGTTAAGTTCCAGCCCAGGGGGTGGCTGAGACAATGACTTGCTGAGGCAGAAACTAAAAGTAACCCAGGACAGAGAAGGGCCACCCCAGCTTCTGAGCTCCCACGAGGTTGGTGAAGCTCAGTTGTGACTGTAACTGGGGCAGCTCCACCTCCTTGCCTGGTCAAGGCCTCTTCACTGACCTGTGGAATTTCAGGGCCACTGCCCCCAAGCAGCTTCCTGTGACTCTCCATCACATCTAGAGAACACAGTCTAAGTAGGCCACGTCAGGTATGGACATCCATTTGGCTGGGCGGTGGGGCACGCTTTGAGGCTTAGAATGTTGTTGGTTAAAGCATGACAATCCCTTCTACTTCCAGTTAAATGAGGCAGGGGTGGGAGCAGACCCACGTGTTGGAATTTCCTCACCCTTAGGGGCCAGGCCAGGACCAGAAGCCAGGCTTCTGCCCTCTTTGTGTGACTTCCAGTTCAGTCACACTTTCCTTGAAAGAGTGCCTTCTCTGGTCAGCAAGCTTTCCTGCGATGTGTTCTTCTCTTGCACACTGGAGGCTTTTTTTTTTTTTTTTTTGGAACCCTGAAAACTGTTTTGTTGTTCTGGTATCCTTTGACCTTTATGCTTTCTTCTTGTGATCATTTGCCTATGCCTACTCTTTCCTAAATGAGCTGCAATTTGCTTTCTGAAAATTCCCATTTTTTTTTGGAGTCTCACTTTGTCACCTAGGCCTGGTGGCATGCTCAAAGCCACCCCAGCGTTGACCTGCTAGGCTCTTGCAATCCTTGTACCTCAGCCTTCCAAGTAGCTGGAACCACAGGAGCATGCTACTACATTCAGCTAATTTTTAAAAATTTATTGTAGCGATGAGAGCTCACCAAGTTGCCCAGGCGGTTCTCAAACCCACGGGCTCAGGCAATCCACTTGCCTTGGCCTCCCAAAGTGCTAGGATTACAGCCTGAGCCACCAAGACTGGCCCAAGTTGTCTTTTTTAAAAGACAGAACTCACAGCCAGATATATGCACTGTGATTCCTGCTGTTGTTGGGAAATCAGAACATCATCCAAGAGTTCAACTAAGTGATTTAAGTTTGTTATAATGAAGGAAGCAGTTATCTCGCAGGTAACGGAGGCCTGGTGGTTTTCACGGTGTAAAAACAAGTATGTATTAATTAATTCTCTAGAAGACACAATGTCATTTGAACTCTGCTATTTTTTAAAGCGTCATATTCACTATAATAGTTTCCTCTTTGTAAATTGTTATCAGTTGCTTCATGCTTATTAACATAGGCACTCACATGAGAAAAAAAACAGCAAGGAGTGGATTCTTACTTCAGTTGATTTTTTAACTCTTTGTACACTGTATCAAAAACAATCACATCTCCTATTTCATGCAAAAAGGCAAAATAAGGAGTATTCTTAAAATGACTTTGCAAGATGTGCTTTATTTTAAGTCAGCCCTCAACCCCAACTACATAGGACCAATTGCTTTACATAGTCTAGCCCATTCAATGAGTCTTGTCAGAAACTGTATTTTAATATGGAATGAAAACTACATTTCAATCATAAATTTTTCATGCTACATCGTCATTTAATGAAGAGATTGTATTACCAATAATAATAATTTAAGAAAAGGCCATTTTTTATTTCCCCAAGCTCAATATACATATTTCTTTCATAATTATGAACTTAAAAAACCCGTCTCTGATGTAAAAATGTGAATTGGAATATGTAAACTCTTTGATAGACCTGAAAAACAGGAAGGAAAATGTTGCATACTGGAAAAAACCATTGCCTTAAATCAGGGACATGGAAAAATCATGGGAATGAAAAAAGCACATGGTTGGGGCGGGAAAGGCAGAAGAGCCGTCCTGACCTCGGTTACTAAAGAGTTACAGCCAGAGTATTCCAGATCCAACGGAGTTGGCCTGTCTCATCTTTCGGTCTCACGTCCGGTTTCATGGGGAGAGGGTCTTAACAGCCCTCTGAAGCAGCATGGTGGCCCTCAGCGAAGCCAGTCACGACTGGACCCCAACAAAGCAGGCGTCCATATAATTTGTTTTGCTGCTTTTTTTTGGTTTGTTTCCTGAGAAGTCACTGGTGTTTAATGGAAAGATTTCTCATTAGTCTTCAGTTACGATAAGGCAGTAAGAGTATCACTAATGTTATCTTTTTGCTTAGAATGAGGCTTGTCCTCCCACGGGTGTCTTTATGGGCCATCAGTTCCCCCTCTCCCTTTGCCCCTAGAAACACGTGTAGGAGTTGTCAGTTTCCTATTGCTGTCGCACATTTCGAGTGTGCTGAAGGCTCATCTAGTGTCATCACAGCAGCTTCCCCAGCGGTGATGGAGCTGTATATTGCATTGTAGCATCTCTCCAGGAAGGGTGTGGTCCTCGCAGAGTAAAACATGGGGTGTCTTTCCTTCTGACTTCTATTTCTCTGAGGGATGGGACCCATAAGTGATTCCTTCCCATAGTCAGTCCAAGTACAAGACACTGTTGACTAAAACATAAAGCAAGTAGCCCTGATTTCAGAGAAACGGAATTACCAATAATGTTTTCAACAGTGCCTTAACTTGCAAAAGGTAGCTTTCACTGCAGAAGGAACTCAGTTCCTTTCAGCCACCTGTCAGAAGAGAAACCATTTCCATCGAACTAGAAATGCTTAGCTCTTAGGAGAATATTGTGCTTTTTAAAAAAAGTTCCAATGTTTACTTTATTTGCAGTGTGTGTCCTAGGTTTCAGTTGGTTTTCTCTCTAGTCCATTTGATCATTGTTTCTGGTGAACGGTACAGGAATATTAATTTGGCATAGAGATCTTCTTCTAGTTCCAGTTCCCCTGTCTCTCGCACTAAAAAAATATCTGTGCACAACTTCAAAATTCGATCCACATTCGGAAGCTCTTCAAACATGATGGAGTGGGAAATCCCACTGAAGAATTCACGGACAAATTTCCCAATCACAAGGACAACTGAAGCATATAATCCCATGATACTGAAAAAAAGTAAGCAGAAATTATGTATAGCAGTTAGATATGGTTAATAAAAGCATATCTAAAATTTAAAAAATCATTTTTCCCTCAAACACCATCAAAAATATAAGCTTCAAAGCTTAAATTTTTCCCTTTTGGTAAAAAAAAAAATGCCTTTTTCTGATTAAAAAGGTAAGTCATGCTCTTTGTTAAAAAATTACATATTACAGAACTGTTAGACCTGAAAAGCAAAAGTCCTTTTAAATCCACATACTGGAAATAACCAGTGCTAACAGTTTCATGTATAGACTTTAGATGGTTCTACTGCATATATCACATGCATAAACTATATAATACATTTGGTAGAAATGCAACTGTGAACCGGGCTTGGTGGCTCAGCCTGTTATCCCAGCATTTTGGGAGGCCGAGGCAAATGGATTGCCTGAGCCCGCGGGCTCAAGACCAACCTGGGCACCTTAGCGAGACCTCGTCTCCACAGTAAATAGTAAAAAAAATTAGCCAGGTGTGGTAGCGTGCGCCTGTAGTTCCAGCTACTTAGAAGGCTGCGGTGGAAGGATTGCCAAAGCCCAACAAGTCAAAGCTGGGGTGGCCATGAGTGTGCCACTGCACTCCCGCCTGGGCAACAGAGTAAGACTCCAACTCAAAAAAAAAAAGAAAAAAAGAAATGCAATTGTGCTATATATACTTTTCTGCAGCAGGCTCTTTTTCCTTTAATAAAACTGCCTTTCTCAGAGATTCATTTTTATAATATACCTCTGCGTGAAAGATAGTTTTTTATGAGGCTAACTCTGAGAAATGTCATATTGTATTTTTTGTGTTTTATAGGGGATTCCTGTATCCTAGGATTTAAGCATCAGAACATGATGAGATGGTTCAGAAAGTGTTCAAAACTGTGATGTTCAATACGTGAATTTACTAAGGGTCAGAAGGTAATCTAAGCAGAAAAAGTGGTAACCTCACACCAATTTCTAAATGTAAACATTGAATTGCATTAAATGCTACCATAACAGGAAGATGTAAGAAGCCATATGCCTGGGGTGTGTGAAGCACACTGGGCATTTTGATCTCTTTGGGACACTGGTTTTCATTTGTCTAAAAGAAGGGTCACAGATGTGTGAATTTCAATACTGCAGTGACAAAAGTCAAGAATTCTAAAAAGACAAAAGGCTTCCCATCTTTGACTTTATCTGATACAGAAGTAGACTCCTGTTCCTTAATTATTAATAAGTCCTTACCCGTAGCCAGCCAGGAACCCCAAGCTGGGGGGACTAACTTTGTCGTTAAAGACCACCAGCTCTAAGGCCTGAGATTGCTGATTATATATTCTATTTCCAGTCAGATTAAGAACCCACCACTCGCTGTTAGACTTCGTCATATTGTCTCTGGACAAAATGATGGTGATATCCATGAAATTATTTTCTAGAAAGGGAGAGGAAAAATCAAGTTAACATGAAAAGCTAGCATTAAATGAACAGCAGCAGTTAGATGGCAATGTCTGGCTACTCACTCTAGCTTAAGATGTTGGGGTGAAAAGGATGTATGGATGTATTAATGCAAGGAAAAACAAGAGTGGACCCTGGGTGTGAACGCAGTTTCTCTTTTTAGTGAAAGAGGCTCAGTCACTGTGGCGACTTGTGCACGGCAGCAAAACCACAGGGAGAGAATGCAGTATCTGCCACTGTTCTGAACAACTGTGCTGATTACACCAAACCCAAATCAGACTGATTTGCTCATATTGCCAGCATTTATTGAACGTCTCCTAGGTGCTTAGGGGTTTCACTATTGTGTATAATATTGCTCCTTATTTCCATGGGAAAAGACTATGTACATAAGCATGGTTTGTGGGCCTATGGCAGCCACCACGGGACCAGCATTGACAAGGAGAAACTGCTTCTGGTTATTATGATCCATGAGTGCTTACAGAGGAGATGGCTTTTGAGCTAAGTTTTGTCAAGTGAGAACTTCAATAGTGGGAGATGGGATGGGGAGGGGAGGTCACTTCAGGAAGGGCCAATGGCATGAAGCTCAGCAAAGCCATACTGTATGGTCAGTGACTGCTGCTGCAGGAGAATAGGGTGAATGCAAAAGAACACAGTAGATGGGGCAGATGAGAAGCTGGGAGTTACATTGCATGGGTCTTTCTTAGAAGGTTCCAGCCTTGCCAATAACAATAGTGCCTCCACTGAAAACCATGGGGGTGAACTGTAAATTCTGTGAAAGCAGGATCCATTTGAGCATTCTTTTATGCTAAATTCCGAGATGGTAGGAACCTAGGACAGTGCTTGCCAAAATGTGTCTGTTGGATGGATAGATGAAAGAAGAAGAATGAGGAACAAAGTCTTTATCAAGGAAGAGTGTGAGCCCCTCAGAACACTCGGAAACAGGAAAAACGTTGACTCTGAAGTCCAGAGACAGTTGTATAAGGAGGAAATTTTGGACCCAGGCCAGAAAGGCCCATGTTTGGATCTACTGGTTATAGGGCCTCAACTGAGTAATTAATACCCTGAGCCTTGCTTCCGTGTGCGATCACCGTCAATCTATGCTAAATATGCTTTGTGGTGCGATTAGAGAGAACTCAGTAAGGTTCATCTATGTGAGCTATTATTCTGGACAGGACTGCACAAGATCAAGTCTGTGCTGTCTGGGGAAGATGGACACCACAGGCTCAACCCTAAACCACTCACAGGCAGAGGAGCCAATGTGTGGAGAGGGACAGAGATATACAAAAGGAACAGCCCAAGATCCTGCAGGACTTAGGGTGGAGACGGGTTGAGGTCTGGGGCACAGGACAGGCTGATCTTGGGAAGGAGAGAGGAGACATCTTTCTTCGAGCCTGAAGGGAAGGAGGAAGGGAACTGTGGAATGCAACCACCGACTGAGCTTACAGGACAGCATCATTTCAGGGGAGAGCTTGTGAGAGACAGAATTATTTCACTGGGCATGACTGATTGTTGAGCAATTTGTACTCTCAGACTAAACATTTCTACAATGAATACCGGCTAAGAGGAAAATGCCAAGCTTCTCAATGCATCTTGCAATTCCCTTGCAGACACATGTAGTTACTGCTGAGGAAGAAAAGCTGATGGATGCGGAGGCCTCCTCGTGCCCATCCACTGGGCCCTCTGTTGTGCCTCTCCTGGGACAATCTCCATGTGGTATTCCAGCTGTGCACTTACATCTGAGTCTTTCCAGCTACACAGGAGCAACACAGAGCCCAGTCTCCAGTACCTGGCCCACTGCCTGGTGCACAGTGAGGGATCTGTGTTGATGGATGAATGAATGCGGAGCTGGATGACTGTATCGCAATGCTACCTTTACCAGAACTACATATCGACTTTTGGTTCAGGTCATTAAGTCAAGCAATTCTTGATAATCAGTGGAATCCAAAAGCATACATTTACTACCATCTCTGCTATACTGGAAAAATACAATCGCTGAAGCACAGTTATTGATACTTGCTAACCTTTGGACTGGATCAAATACATTTCTTGCTGTCTTTTTGCTGTCTTATTGTGAAGGGCCAGTCATATGTAACTACAAACAAAGCAGTGTCCTGTCAAAGATCTGTTTGCTGAGAGAAACAAGTCAACAGACTGATGAATCACTATGATAAGTGGCTCATTGTGAATTTAAGTCAATCAGGTTCTACATCAATGAAGCAAAGAAAATGAAGAATGATTCCTTTGGGTCAGTGAAGGCCAGCAGGGGTTTTATGCTTCCTGTCACACAGGGAAAGAAAACCCAATGTCTTGGTAAAGGCTGAAAATGCAAACTTTGAAATGTAATAAAAGCACAACAGGATTATACATAATTCTGAAACAATTTCTTCTCATTCTTACCAGATAAAAGTTGCTTTATAGGTTTTGAGTTAGAATCACTAGGTGCTTTCACATAATATGGGTAGATCTTTTCTATTGTCCTGTGCATTAAGGGAAAAAAAGATGTAATTAAGTTTTAGTTGTTTTACCCACTTCAAATTGATCTTTTGTTGCTATCTTTGATCTTGTATCAAACAAACGATGATGAAAGTTTCCCATATCTGTATGATGTGTCGACCTCACAATTTAGGGGCTTCTGCTATAATCAGAACTCTCGGAAGCAGAACAAATTCACTGTGTTCTAGCCATATCTGAGGGAACTCTTACAAAAGCTCAGTAATAGCTTAACAAAAGCTCAGTAATAGCTTAAAAACAGCCACGGGCATTTCCCCATGCCTGGGACTTGTTTTAAAGCCAAGGGGCTCTCTTTCTTGCTAGGATCCCCTAACTCTTAGCTATACCATTGAGCACTCTTCAAATCTTAATTTTTTGAATTTCAAAAATAACTACAATCAAGCAGATGGCATGAATTGATGTAGTGGAGGGTAGGGACAGTTTGTGACCTAGACCTTGAGAAACCTCTGTTTTCAAGAGCCCAGTGACCATGAGCATGGCTAGACACATGTTCTCATCTGGAAAGTGACAAGAGGATTTGACGATCTTCAAGGGTCCTTCAGCTTGAGTGGTTCACAAAACCTATCTGAGTCAGGGAACACTTCTAACACTGCATATGGTAGTCCCTATATTCATGCATTAAAACGGGACCACGGCAGACTGGCAGAACTGCTGGGTAATATCTGGATTTTTGTTTAGCTGTTTTAGACCAATATCATTATTTTTCTTGCAGGTTCTCATATTTAGAATCTAAACACCACAGCTTGCATCTGTTTGAAACGAAGTACTTACGTGGCAGGATAATATTTTGAGATATAGTTTTTTTTCTTCCAAATTTCCTTTCATTCCTTGTAACCCCCACCTTTCCCTACTCCTGTTCCCCACCCTTATTCAGTGACCCAGAGGCAGGAGCAATAGTAGAAAAATATCTCACTGTGTCTTTCCCCAGCGTTTAGTAATTATGGTCAGAGAAGAGCCAACCAGAGATAAAGTCAGTACTTTCTGGGCACGGTGGGCAGAGAGTGGGAGGGAGAACAGAGCTTGACACTGATGGTTCCCCAAGAAGGAACTTTGACCCCCTACCTCCTTCCCTTGAGAGTGAAAGGGTGAAGTAGGCAAGCGCACAGACACAGATGACAAAAGGCCTGGGCCGCTTTAGTGCAGTCCCATGTCCCACCCCTGAGTAGGGTCCTCGAAGGCAGAAAGAACCCAGTATCCCCCACAGTGTAGGAGGAATAGAGCACCACTGGCCTCAAATTACGCCTGGACGGGTAGACCCACAGAACCTGCCAGAGCTCCCACTCCAAATGGCATGAGAATCGGCACAATGGTTTCTAGTGTGCCCAAGAATAGGACCATATGGTGGAGGACAGAGCCACCCTAGTGTGTGGGCCAGCACGTTCCCACGGACAGATGTGCTCCCTGGAGGCTGGCTCCATACGAACCTTCAGGCAGAATGTAGACATAATCCCAGGGAAAGCAGAGACAAAACCCAAGGACTGAGATTAAGTTTCTTAAATCTAACAGAATGGAATTTTCAAGTAGAAATTCACTTTGCATTACTGAAGGAAGTTGTGTTTCTTATAGACATGAATTTGTAAATAGACATTTTATATCAGCTGCATATATGTATTACAATTATATGAACAGAAAAATAAACTTACACTGGGGTTTTTGAGCTTTCTGTGTTGTTTCCATCTATCATTTTAGCGATATTCTTTCGTGTAATATTTTTAAGAGGAAAAGAAAGTTTATCTGTTGCTATTTCTGCTTTTGCACCCAGACTTAAGTTTCTGTAAAGGAAAAAAAAAAAAAAGTTCCATGTCAGTGACTATCCAGAAGTGTGGAAGAAAGATTTAAAAACTCTCTTGACTCTTAATTTTATTAATTTTGCCAAATTTTCCTTGAGTCCACAATTGTCAGTCCTGACCCTTTCCGTCCACCACACCTCTATGTCCAGTTTCTTAGGCAACCAAGTTAATGAAACCCAGGGAATTCAGACACTTTTCAGACAGAGTTGAAGGTGAGGACGCAGTCTGCTGACCAAAAAAGAAATCATCTTGATTTCTAAAATGAATTTTTGTTATATTCTCATATTAACCCAATCATGTTAGACTCCAAGATGACTGATAGAATCTATTTTGATTTGGGTCTTTTTGTTTGCTTGTTTGTTTTGATTGTTGAATTGGAGTCTCACGCTGTCTCCCAGGCTGGAGTACAGTGGCATGATCACGGTGATCACCAGCTCATGGCAGCCTCAACTCCCTGGGCTAAGGCAATCCTTTCATCTCAGCATCCTGAGTAGCTAGGACTAAAGGCATGCACTACCTTAGACTCAAGCAATCTGTCTGCTTCAGTCTTCCAAACTGTTGAGATTACATGTGTGAGCCACCACATCCAGCCAGAATCCATATTTTAAGAAGAATATTCAATCATAAGTTTTTCTTTTTAAACTTATTTGTTGTTTTTTGGTAGATTTTCAAAGAAAAATCTAAAAAGTAAATATCTGGTAATTTGTACAGAATGGGATATGAGAATTTTGGGATACTTAAAAGGAGAAACTAGGCTGGACTCGGTGACTCAGCCTATAGTCCCAGCACTCTGGGAGGCCGAGGTGAGTGGATTGCCTGAGCCAGTGGATTTGAGACCAACCCGGGCAACTTTGTGAGACTTTGTTTCTACAGTAAATCAAAAATTAGTCAGGAGTAGTAGCATGTGCCTGTAGTTCTGGCTACTTGGAAGGCTGAGGCGGAAGGCTCACTGGAGCCCTGCAGGTCAACCCTGGGGTGGTCGTGAGCATGCCATGGCATTCCAGCCTGGGTGATGGAGTGAGACCCCAACTCAAAAAAAAAACAAAGGAGAAAATGACATTAAAGAAGGAGGTCTTTAAATTCTGAACTGTGCCTTTTAAAATATTTCTTGACTATTTCCCCGTGAATTCACTTTAGCGTCTAGAAGGCTTTTTTCCCCCTTCTTTCTCTCACTCTTTCTTTCTTCCTTTCTTCTCCTGTAGTCCAGGCTAGAGTGTAGTGGCACGATCATGGTTCGCCAATGCCTCAACCTCCTGGTCTCAGGTTTTCCTTCCTCCTTAGCCTCCCAAATAGCTGGAACTATAGGCACATGCCACCACACTCAGCTAACTAAAAAAAAATTTAGCCAGGCTTGGTGGCTCAGCCTGTAATCCCACGCCTTTGGGAGGCTGAGGTGAGTGGATTGCCTGAGCCCGTGGTTTTGAGACCTGCCTAGGCAGGCGAGACCTCATCTCTACAATAAATCAAAAAATTAGCCGAGCCTGGTAGCTCGCGCCTGTAGTTCCAACTACTTGGAAGGCTGAGGTGGAAGGATCGCTGGAGCCCTGCAGGTCAAGGCTGCGGTAGCCGGGAGCGGCCACTGCACTCCAGTCTGGGTGACAGTGAGACTCCAACTCAAAAAAAAAATTTTTTTGTAGAGACAGAGTCCTACCATGTTGCCCAGACTGATCTCAAACTCCTAGGCTCAAGCAATACTCCCACCTTGGCCTCCCAAAGTTCTGAGATTACAGGAGTGAGTCACCATGCCTGGCTTAGATTCTAGAAGGCTTTTTTTCTGTACCCATCACAATTCCATCTCAATTCTAACTATGAAGTCAGCATCACAGACCAAATTAACCCACTTTACTACTCAGATAAGCTTGCTTAGGGTTCTGAATTCCAAGACTGTGATGAAAGAAGCTCAACCAACCAACTAGTATATTATGTTGAGGTCCCAAAACCTCATCACTAAACTGCTGGGCTTTTGGAAGCAATATCTGGATGTAAGAACTTTTACTAAGATACCTTTTGTCCTCACAAGTAGAGACAAGCAGTGGCTGCATGCTGGCCATTGTCTCAGGTTAGCTGGGAAGGATTCTCAGTCTGTCTCCTGGGACTGCTAACTGTCTTCCCACCCATGTCTGGAGCAAAGATACGCTAGGCCTCTCCCAGTGTTGGAGGGGTACAAGTGATAATCTGGGATTACAGAGGTTGCAGCTTCTGTATTATTTAGACCAAACTTCAACCTTTTTTCACCCAGACTCTGTTTCATTTTATAATTCATCTCTTCCTTTCTTTTCTCTCTACCTCTCTCTTGCTCACAGAACTCATGGACAGCCTCTCTTTAAAAACTGAAGTTAGGCCTGGGCACAGTGGCTTACGCCTGTAATCCCATCACTTTGGGACGGTGAGGTGGGAGAATTGCTTGAGCCCAGGAATTCGAGGCAACATGGCGAGATCTCGACACTACAAAATATAAAAATTAAAACAATGAGTTGGACATGTTGGTGGACACCTGTAGTCCCAGCTACTTGGGAGACTGAGTCGGAAAGATTGCCTGAAACCAGGAAGTCGAGGCTACAGTGAGCCATGATCATGCCACTGACTCCTATTGTTTTAAAAAAAAACCCAAAAAACTGAGGTTAGGGGAAAGAAAGAAAATGAAGAAGTTCTTAATCTGGTCAGTAATTCCTGGGAAAATCATTATTTAATAAGCAAATATATCAGCTTTAGCATTGAGGGAAAATCTCAAAGCTGTAATAATAAATAAGATCCACATTAAACTAATGTTTCTATCTTCTGTCCCCCCGTGCCCCCCACTACAAGTTTAGATTGGGAAAAGGGAGAAATTATGCATGGAAATACAGTAACTACCTCTGAATACTCCATGAAAAAACAACAGAGAAGCTACTATTGGGCTCCATGAGTTCGTTTATCATTTTCTGCTTACTGGGAGGGCTGATGGTCCACAAAGAATTTGAGTTTCCTTCCAGTTCTGCTACCGTTATGTCTTCTTTTTCATAATTTTCCAGAAATTGCATAGCACCCTGTATGTGCACAAATGCACGTGCATAAATAAATTATATGCATGAGCAAAGAAAGCAATTCCTCTTCCTCTCACCTGACCATATAGAGAAGGTTTCTTTTGATAATGGATAGTCTTAAGGTTCTAGTGCACTAACTCTGCTTCCCTGCCCACAGGAACGGGCATCTCCTAGTGACACTGTCCAATCCCTGCAGCCATGTGGCCACATCACCAATACAGTATGGAATCATTCCAATTAAACAGCAAAGGAACACCTGATAACGTAGAGTCATTTTCCCCTCTCTGCTAAGAAGAAAATTTAGCCGTCATGATGAGGGAATGTCACTCTCCTGAGAGAGACGACTTTAATCCACCCAAGACATCCCAGCCCTGGCTGAATAGTTGCTCTTTGCTCAGGATTAGTTTTGACAGTTGCATTATAGGTGATAATTTTACAAAGGAGAGAAGCATCTGCTTACCTTATCACCTTAAATAAAAACATTATTTGTAAAACTAATTTTAATGATGAGGATCATGTTATCATATTACTAAAAGTGCATAACAGAAAAGAATAACATCAGCCACCATTCAGACACCAGAACATCATCACTATTTTATGTGGGAGGAAATGAATTCCTTGTTTTCTAATCATTAAAAAATAAGAGTTTCCTTTGTTCATTTATGTTTTAGCTTGAGAAATTGTCACGTCACTTTTTTATAGACTCTGTAATGATTCTTTTCATTATAAAAGAAATTGCCTGGGAAATCTTCTGACAACATAGCATGTAACTAAGACAGTGGAAGCCCCTTCTCCAAATATGAGCACTCTAGGGTGACCAATGCTAATCAAATCCATTTAATACAGCTGCCATGGTTTCCCCAGGCACTGCCAGCCTGTTGAACTCTCAAACTGTTTCCAGCTCTACTAATACAGGTAATGTGTTAATAAGGAAGCAGCTACGTAGAATTTTCTCATATTTTGAATTAATTCTTAGGACAGATTCCCAGCGTAGACCTATTAGTCAATTTAAAGAGTTAAAAAATTAAAATAGGTCAATAACTGCTGAGCTTATGTTAAAATGTTCTAAATGAAAACTGTTGTCTCCAAGAGCGTAGACATAACTTCTTAGAGGATCAAAGTAGCCAGGAACGTGCTGTATAGACTTGATAATCCTTGAAAAGCCCTCCTTCCCATCGCCTCAGGCCATGGCAAAGTAGTAAATAAAATGAAACCAGTGCGCTCACCTAGATGAAAGGTCTCCATAGAGATCTACTATAAGCATTTACTTACGGTGTCCCTAGAAAAAGATCGTATAAAGCTATTAAACTTGGATTGGTCCATAACCTTCAACTTGCTTTGCTGGGCACTCATTGTGAAAATAGGCTGGAAAACAAAGATACACAGTGTTATCAATATTTGGAGTTCTCTGCATCCTGGGCTAAAAGAGAAACATTTACATACCATGTCACCCACTGATTACCCCCATGGGAAGTGGCCTCACAGATCTCTTCTTGAAGTGAGTTATTACAGTGCTCAAGACTGGAACAGAACTATTCTTTCAGTGCCTCTGCTCCTTATTTAATACATCACATATTTGCTGAACAGTCAAAAATGAAATAAGACAGTGTGGTCAGCAACCTATAACTAAGAACCCTATAGGTGGTGGCCATGAAAGGGTGCAGCACTGGGCAAGGCTCCAACAGGTAGGGGCGACCCTGAGGATGCACACAGGGATTACCTGATACCCTCCCAGGGTGATCGTGACAGAGACGTCTAGGGGCTGGTTGATAACCCCAGCCACAGACTTAATCAAAGACATGAAGAGAAGAGGAAACCAGACGATACAGATAAGTAGGACGATGATCATGCCTCCCATGCCATACTTCACCACTTTCTTTTTCTTCTGGCCCCGAGGCTGGGGGTATCTCTGCAACAGAAGAGTTCAGAAAAGCTTAGGCAGCTGTCCCTGCAGGAAGTGGGGTGGAGCAAGCGTGAGTACTCCTCCCACGGTACTTGGAATATAAATTTAGACCTGATTCTTCTCTGCTTGTTCTGAAATGGGGATAGCAACCTTGCCACACCCTGAATGAAGTTAGATAGTGATGTAAAGCTGTCTGAGCTCACTGCCTGTCCCTATGGCGGTACCACAGGGGCCAACATAGAGGTGAAGATCCTCTCCCTTTAGAATTGCATGGGTTTTGCTGCTGACCAACCAATGGAACGACAGAACAAATATCCTGCTGTATAAACTTAGTGTATCACATGGGAGAAAGCTATTTTACTTTAAGTTCCTGAATATTCAAAATCTGTGCCTTTCAATGACCCTTCCCTGTCTTCAAAAGGTGGGAAAACATTGTTTTCAATTTAATTCATGATACACGTTGTCAAAGACAGTGGTGTTCAAGTCCTAAAATAAGATTCGTATGATTATAAGAGCCCCCTCTGGGTTTCAGTGATCAGCACAGGTCAGGCTGGAAGCTGGCAAGAGGGGGAGGGGGACAGGCGTGTGCTGCCTGGGAACCTGTGCTCCTGCAGAAGCCTGAGCACTGCTGAGGCTGGAAGCACTTCGTTAATTTCTTTTTTTTCCCCAAGGTTAAAAAAGCTTTATTAGATGGATAGCACGGTTGGTTCCATGATCTTGCTATTGTAAACAATGCTGAGATGATCTGAGTATCACATGTTCTTATTCATAAGTGGACCTTGAACAACTACCGTAATACTATAAGAAAAGGATTGACAGTGGAGGGAAACTATGGGGGGGGCCAGGGAGGGGTAGGGAGGTGGGATTAACGGTAGTCAATATTGTCTGGGGAAATGAGGGCACACCTCATCAACAAAGGTACCTGCACAGTGAATATTTGCATGCCTAACCCTTAATTGTACCACCAATTTTAAAGTAAAAAAATATGTAATTTTAAAAATAGCTTTATTAGGAAGACTACAATGACAATGTGGTAAATGGAATAGCCAGGTTGTAGAAGAAAGGACTTGGAAAATTCTTCTGAGTCTCTCCAACACTTAAGACTTCATTTACATGCATCTTGTTTTTTTCTGAGAAGCTAGGAGTAAGGGGATACCATGTCTAAGAAACCTTTTAGCACTTCATTAATTTCACACAGACTGAGGAAGGATTCACTGGGCACCACGCTTGGAGCACAGGAGCAAGCGGAAGCAGCGGCTTTGCTCGCTGATGTCAAACCAGACCTCTGTGTGTACGCCTCACTTCAGTGCCGTTCCTCCATGACCTTTTGTCCTTCCAGGGTACCCTTGAGGTGAGGCCAGAGACAGAACATGGGGGTCATCCTCACTCTCTGACTTGGCTCTGTGATTCAGCCTCAGGAGGGCTCCATTCATTTTGGCAGGTTAAAGTGAGGAAAAATAATCCATAATCTAGCTGTAGATTTCAGGTAGGTTACAGACCAGGAGAGAGGCCTAGGAGTCAGCATGGGACATGGCAGTAGTGGCTGTACAAGCCTTGACACGATGACCAAAGATAGTTGTAGAAACACGAGAAAGGAGGCTTGACTGGGCATGGATCAGGGCCGGTACGGACAGCACTCTTCGTTCAGTGCATGTAAGGTAATACTCTGCACTACGGACAGTGTATAACATCCAGATGGTAGCAGCACATTTTGATAACTTTGCATTGGTATGTGATACAGCTGACAGTGATTTTCTATACTGAAGGAGGAACCAGAGTCCAATATCTGAAAATGTGAAATATATTTTCAAATATATATGTATACACACACTTTTACACATATATGCACATACGTAGATTTGCTTTTTCATTATTTTCTCAGTGAGGCGAGTATGGACAATAGTACATTTCTCTTGCTCCAACAGCCCCTCCATTCCATCGTGAGAGCTCTGTGAGTTAACAGGAGATTAATCTTCTCTCTGCCAAGATCGGTTTTGGTCTGTTCTGCCTGAGACGGGCCAGCATCTGTTCCTCTCCTGCAGGCCCGTCTCTGTGAGGCTCTTCTCCAAAGTTCCCAGAACAACCCTTTCCATCTTTCCATTCTTCCCCTCCTCTGCTCAGTCCACATGGTACAGTCTAGGACAGAAAAGACAAAGGCCTCTTGACCTATCTCGAGTTACAAGGCTGCCTTCCCTTCTCCCTTTTCTTTTCTTTCGAGTCGGGGTCTCACTGTAGTCCTTGGACTGCAGTGGCACACTCACGTCCACCATAGCCTCGACCTGCTGGACTCAGGTGATCCTTCTGCCGCAGCCTTTCAAGTAACTGGAACTATAGGCATGTGTTACCATGCCTGGCTAATTTTTTTATTTATTAAGAGATGAGGTCTCACCAAGTTACCCAGGCTGGTCTTGAACCCCTGGGCTCAGGCGATTCTCTGGCCTTGGCCTCCCAAAGTGCTGGGATTATAGGCTTGAGCCACTGTGCCCGGCCTCTTCTCCCTTTTCAAAGGCACTGTCACCTTCTAGTCCTGGGTTGCTCCATTACCTTTTTCCAGGCACCTCCATTCTTTACGGCATCTCCCAGCTTGGTGCTCCTGGTATACTTGCATGTCCAACTGCTTTCTAAAGTATTCTGGGAAAAGGCTGCATGGACGGCATGGTGAAATCTGAATAGGAGTGAGTGACCTGCATTCCGCGTGCTCATGCCAACATTATGCCTTTTGGGTCATTTTTCTTGTTTCATAAAGTGTGTTCATAAAGCCCCCAAGCATATGACATTCAGTGTGGAGTGATAACCCAGAAGAGTAGCTTCTAAAAGCAGCTTACAACTCCACTTCACATTAGGAACGTTCTAGACACCTATGGGATGAAGTACTAACTTGGTGCTAGACTCAGTCACACTCCTCAGTACCTAACTCCACACATCTACATTTCTCAGGAAGTTCTACCACGAGTGATTTAAAAGGCCAGTATTGATGAGGTATGCCCCTCCCTCCCCTAGCAGTTTCCCTCAACCCGCCCTTCCCCTGAGAGTTTTCTACTACTGCCAATCGCTTTCTGACTAGTATTATAATTGTTCAAGGTCATCTTATGAGTGAGAACATATGGAAGTCAGTTCTTTGTTTCTGTGATAAATCACTGAGTATGATCGACTCCAAATCCATCCAATTTGCTGCAAAGTCCATATATTTGTCCTTCTTTATGGCTGCATAATATTCCATTGTGTATATGTACCACATTTTTTTTATCCAGTCCAGCTTCGATGGGCACCTGCATGATCAATGTTTGTAGAACTAACCCTGAATTGTACCCCACATCTTTATAATAAATAAATAAATTAAAAATAACAGTATCTATATCACAGAAATTCTCTAAAATATCTATTTTTTAATGATTATAAAGTAATACTAGCAGTTAATAAAAGTAAAACCATTTTGTCATGCAAAAAGTAAATAAATAAAAGGCCAATATTCTGAAAAGAGCTATCAACTTGCAATAAAATAGAGGTATGTATTTAAGTAGAGGCAATTACAATGAAAATGAGGGTTTTTATTTCTTAAAGATAAAATAAAAAGGAAACTGCAAGTCCTCGGCAGGCATGCCTAGTGTAACAGGCCGAAGCGAGCATTTCTTCATAGGGAGGCAGGTTGGTGGCTGTGACTGCCTCTCTGGCTGGGTGAAGAATGCTGTCACCTGGTGGTTCACGGGCAGTGAGCCTATGAATGGGCAGCCACAGCTTCTCATGTATTCAGATGGGATGGTCACACTGGCAGGATCATTCAGGGGCCTCTTCTGATTCAGAAACCCCCTGCCTAGGAGCCACCTATTTGCCCAGGTGAAGTGATGTTTCATAGTCAGCGTCCCAGGCTTCTGGGCAGTGCTGAAACAGCCACTTCTCCCCATGCTCTCAGCAGAGGCACTCACTTACCTTATGGAGAAGACAGGCTGCTGGATGCAGTTTGTTCACTGGCCTCTCTATCTCCAACTTTCTGCAGAATGCCTCTTGCTCTTTGCCATACTAACTTATTCACCCATGTCTTGAAGTCTATGCTCTCCAGACCCCCTCTGGGACTTCCCTCCTTTGCCTCTGATACTAGAATTTTTATTTTTCTCTTTTCTCCAGGTCCTTTTCTTACCATCCACAGAGAGCTTCAAAACCTCTCCATCCTGAAACTATCCTCCAGACTCTCCCCTCTCTTACAAGAATTCTCTTTGCCTTCTTTCCCTTGACTGGGCTTGGTTCCTCCAAGACGTTGCTTCCTACTTGCTCCTAAGTCCCTGCAGTTGGATGCCAGCACCCATTGTGCCTTTAAAACTGGTCATCCAAAGATCACCAGTGACCTAGTGAATATGAGATTCATCATCTGTTCTGAGCATTCATGAGTACTTGGCTTCTTGAATTTCTCTTCTCTCTCTGGATCTAAAAATGTGAAAAGAATGAACAGATAGGGAGAGAAGAGTAGGGTAGGAAGCAGACCAGGAGAGAACCAGTAGCTTAAACTCCAGACACAGGACAGGATGCGTGAACCCATTTTAGGCAGCCACAGACAGGAAAGAGAGGTACTAAGATCATGCTTTTGTAAATCACCAACTTTCTTGTCATTGCTGTTCAACAAGTATTTACCCCATGTTTAGGCCCATGGCATTAAGTGATATCTAGGACATATTTTGATGAACAGACACTAAGGTTGACATTACAAAACTTATAATGGAGAAAAACAGAGAAATAATTGACTCTCCATGTGGTAAGTACTAAGTGGGCTGAATATAGGGAGCTGTTGGGGCCCATAGGGAAAGACAGGATCCAGGCTTGAGGACTTAGGGATGACCCATGGAAAAAGAGGTGTCTTCATCGACATATGGGAAGGGAATAGGGAATAAGGTCCTGGGTAGGATGTTTCAGATAGGGAGAAGATGTGACAAGGCCTTTTCGGGTGAATAAGACAGGTAAGACATCCACTGAATAAGTGAACAGGAGTGGAGGAGAGGGGAGGGGAAAAGGATGAGGGCAAAGACCCAGGAACCAACACTAGAACATAGTTTCTCCTTGTGTGCCCAGTCAACTTATACTCTTCCATGAAGTCTCAGCTTGAGACTCATACCCAACCTCCCCGATGCTCTCAGAGTATCACGTGTCTCTGGGTCAAAACATTTGCCATATACTGAATTTATTTGCATCATCTTTCTATTGATACCTGTTTCCCTCCACTGGACAGTCAGTTCCATGATGGCGGGGCCATTGTATGGTTGGTTCACTACCCTATTCTCATGCCAGCAGAGTTCTGGACACATAGGATGTACTTAGTAAGTGTCTATGGTAAATATTTTTTTAAAGTCTCAACTTCTTCTTGCTCCTGTAATGCATTATCCTTTGCAACATGACTTTGCCAATCCCATCAGTTTTTCCATCCCTTGGGATCTAGTCTGGCCTTTGAACTTGCTTTGATTAGTAGAATGTGGCAGAAGTCAGGGTGGCAGAGCTCTGAGCCTCACAGGGCTTTGCAACTTTCCCTCTCACTCATAGCTGCTACCAGGAGAAATCTGGGCTTGCCTCCCTGAGGGTGAGACTATGTGAAGAGAGAGACCAGGTTACTGCAGGTGTTTGAGTGACATAATTGAATAACATCCAGCCCCAGTTGTGCCACCAGATGACAGTAGCCACAGGATTGACCCTAAGCAAGACTAAGCCCAGTCTAAATTGCCGACTTGCAGATTTGTGAGCTAATAACATGGTTGTTTTTCTAAATAACAATACATATTTTTGAAGTAGTTTGTTAGTAGCAATAGAAAACTGATATTATATTTGTTGAATGAATGATTCCAGCAGCTGAAGGTAGACCTAGTGCTTTTTTTAGGGCAGAATTTATGACATAAATTCTCCTCTTTGTGATCCTTTGTATGTACTTGGACATTTCTTGGTGACCACTTCCTGGGGCAGCCAATTCTGTAATGAGGTAGCTTTGGTTGCTAAGAATTCCCCTGTAGTCTGTTGAAATGTACTGGAGCTTTTGACTACTTGACTTAATTCTATTTTTCTTGAGTCTCACAAATTATTTTCAATTTTGCATCTTTTCCCAACATTTCAAATTGTTGAAAATATCTCTTTTTTACTGTACACCACCCCCATCATTTTCTCAGTTCTTTCTGCCTGTCCTCATGAGTCATGATATTCTGACTCTTTGTCACCTAGTTGCTGTCTTTAATGTTTCTTTGGTAAAACGGCTCTCATATTCTGTCATCCTAACAACTCCTCTGCTCCTTCAAAACAGGACAAGTTAAGATGTTTTTAAGTATACTGCCATGCCCATGTCCCTCACTCCCACAAATTCCATAAACATTAGACGCCACAGTACAATAGCTCCAAGACTCTAAAGTTGAAATTCCCATAGAAAGCTGTAGAAAACACTAGCAATCATGCAGAGGAAACTTTTTCAAAGAAGGTATTTTGAGACGAGGAAAAAACATTTTATACCACTCTACTTAGTGCTCATTGGGTATTTCTATTGCTCTCATGCAAAGAGGATCTTCTTTCATATATGTTCAACTTTTGCAAAATTCAGTAAATGATAGTACTCTATCATATTTAAACCATGAATTTTCAAGTTAAATTAAATTAAATTTATTATTTTCTTTATTAAAGATGTGGGGCACAATTCAGGGTTAGGCATACAAATGTTCATTATGCAGGTCTCCTTGTTGATGAGGCTAAATTTTATTTTATTTTAAAGATGTGGGGTACAATTCAGGATTAGGTATACAAGTAGACATCATACAGGTAAAGTTTGGGCCTCCCTTTGGTCCCCACTTTGCCTGGTAAACTTTAATGTTAACATAGCTGAATAAGCAGATATTTGCACTTCAACTTCCTTTGCACAGAGGTTCAATTGTTCATCTCTCATCAAAGAATGAATCAGAGGTAAGCCTGAGTCCAAGCCACCAGCTCCACTTTTCTCTATTATACCACATTCCCTCCTGCTCCCAAATGAGCCATTTAAGAGTTATTGGGATATATTGAGCAATATATCATTTTCTTCTTTTAAAAATAAGTACAATATGCAGTTTTCAAAAGAAAACATCTGGATGTTATTGCTGACCAGGGAGGCAGTAAGTCTAAAATTCCCAACTCTAGTGGGTTCGAAGTCAATGGAACTTTTAGGTCATTGTAGTTTTTGTTCCCTGCTCCCATTTATTTGGCCCTCAAATGTGCAGAAGTTCACAGTGATCTTATAACCAGCCTGTGTGTAAGAGAAACAAACAGGAATAAGGCCTATTCATTGGCTTCTTACCTTTTCTGACTCCCGCCAACACTTCAGGATGAATATGTGGGCATAGATGTCCTCCACACAGATCCAGCTGGACAGGCTCAAGGTTGTGTCTGTCCACACCCAGTCCATCACTGCCCTCAGCTCAGTCAAAAATGGAACGAGGCGGAACCTGGCAGGACCCACATCTTGTCAGAGAGACATTTGTGGAACGGCCCCCACCGCTCCTCTTGTCCATGGAGTTCCCATAGTTCCTTATTGTTTTAAATCTCATGACTCGGGAAAAATTCTTAAGGTGATCCTTGTGGTGTAACTCAACTTGGAATACAACTGCTTTTCGTTATAAGTCCAATATATGGATGCTTGTCTTTCATTCGTTTTCTTTTCCCTGGTGGCCTCAACCAACCAGGGTTGGCTCTTTTAAATAAGCCTGAAGGTGAGTCCATTTCTTTCACATTTATTTGTTTGTGTTATAAAACTTTGTTGGTCATAGGGCTATTGAATGACTGTGGCTTTACTGTTGGATGGGTTAGTAAGGATGATACACCTGTTAGGTGCAAGATGCGGGCAAAGGGGCTATTAGGAGGAAGCAAGAAGTCTGGAGGATCTGGGGGCGGGAGGTCCCACAGCAGTAGGACTTGCTGGAGCCCTAAGGTGAAGGCCTTTAGTCTCTCTAGTTCAGCTGTGTTTCAAAAGGGGTTGGCCTGGGCTTCTCTAGGCTCTGAAGAATATTTCTTATTTCTCAACTGATGCAGAGTTTCTACCAGACTGAGGAAACTGGGTTCCTCCCAAAGCCCTCATAGCAGTTTGGGCCAGGCCACAGAAATTCTCCCCTCAGCTGCCTCAACTATGTCAAGTGAACACAAATCCAACTCCTGGAAGAAATATCAGGCCCAGGCTAGCACTGAAAAAAAAAACACCATTCAACACATGGTGTTTCACAAGTTCTGAATGTGTTGGACACCTCTTCTGTCTGGTGCCTTGGAGGAGCCAGCAGTGCCATGAACAGCCTTACATTTTATGCTGTGGCATAATTTCCAAGGGAAGAGAGAGGATGCTACCAATGAAATGATCACAAAGAAGAACAAATACACTTTGTCTGAGTGGGTAACTTACTACCAGGAACAAGAAAGTCACGTGGCACTCAGGTTGGTGTTAAGTGGAATAACTGCCCCTCTTCAATGGATGAACTTGCTGTACATGAAAAATTCTAAAGGTATTTTGGAATCCCAAAATATTTGGAATAGTCCCGATTCCAAATATTCTGTTCCATTGTGCCCAGAAGTATATTAATACTTAAGGATCCTGTGTCTCTATTTTTCATCCCCATGGTAATTATGCAGGCTATTACATAATTAGCCCATATGGATGATTCCAGAACAACATCGTGGCCAGGCTTGTGGCAATTAAATAGAGACGTGCAAAGAGGCATATGTGTAGGAGTTCCTCTCTGATTTACATTGCTGTATTCTCTTTCCTCCCCAGGTGGGAAACCAAAGTCCTTTCAATGACCAGCCTCCCCTCCAAAGGTGACTGTGACAATGTAGAGTGTCCTTACCCTTGGAACAAGAAGAGGTTGACATAATTGTAACTCTTTGTGAGGAAGTTTCCAAGGACTCTCGTTGGGTAACCACAACGGATCTGGTAAGCTGACAATCCGAAGTAAACACATTTCACAAAGTACCAGAGCTGAGCAACTAGGTTTTGGCTGAATTTCCTAAAATGTAAAAGTACAGAAATTGAACAAATGGAATACTCTTTCAGAACAAAAGGACACCAGAATTATCAAACAGCAACAAACCAACCTAATTTCCCCTCAGTTCTATGGAATTCTAAACTCAATTCTAAGGAATTCTCTATACATAGTGGATCACTTCAGAGGCAAGAATGGGGTAAGAGTATCTGATAACTTTGAAAAATTCCTGTGACTAGTGCCTCCAATGTGTATTATTTCTTTGATAAAGTCATAATAAAAATAATTATTAAGTGAATTTACTAATAAATGTTTTCTTACTATGTGGATGATACAGCTACCACAGTCCAAATTAAGATTCATGAAAGAAAAAAAACCCAAAATATATGTATTTTATACTTAGAAGGATCCAGAATTTGGAACATACAACAGGAAGAATTCTGATAAGCAGACTCCTAATTTTTTTTTTTTTTTACTATGCAAGTATAAACATAGGGAATAGATTAACAAACTCTGAGAATACCTGGATTTGGTTCCAGTTCCGCCTATATGCTATGGGGTTTATTCCTCAAGCCATCAATTCTGAAGACACCAGTGTCTTTATTTGAACGTTCTTCCTAGCTCTTAAAATCTCTGACTCCATGGGCTAACCTTCGTTTTTTGATGATGTCCTCAACAATAGAGATGGTAATCTCTTCTCCAGGTGAATAGTTAGTGAAGAGACTATAGTGGATGTACAGTTAATGAGTGCAAGCACAAGTTTGAAAATAAAATTTAGTGGAATTAAATTTCACACTAGAAAAAGATTGAGAATATAATTTCAAAGAATGATGAAAAATAGGACCATTTTAAGCTTTGGACAAATGAAGCATTCTGCAAATATCTTAAACATGGCCAATACCAATTTTGGTCTTTTGAGTTGGAGTCTTGATCTGTTGCCCAGGTTGGAGTACAGTAGTGTTATCATAACTTATTGCAGCCTGCAACTCCTGGACTCGAGATCCTCCCACCTCAGCCTCTGGAGTATCTGGGACTATAGGTGTGTGCCACCACTCCTGGATATATACATACATACGTATATATATGTTTGCAGAAACAGAGTCTCACTATGTTGCCCAAGCTGCTCTCAAACTCCTGGCCTGAAGCAATCTTCTTCCTCAGCCTCCAAAGTCACCGGAAATACTGTATTCCAACTGTATTCTACCTGTATTCGACCATGCTTGGCTCAAATTATAAAAAGTAAACGAGAAATAAAACTTCATTTGGTGAAGTTTTCTTCCCTGTTCTTAAAGTTAAGAGTAATACTTTTTGATATAAGTAGCATATTACTCTTTTGTTGAATTTTTGATTTGTCTTATTGACTTTCAATTTGGATTTTAGAAGAAATGTTGTTTTTAAACTGAAAATCAGAATTCTGTAGTTGACAAGATCTAAGAGCAAGCCAAGGTGGGTGGGCCTGGGAGTCTGGCGAGCTAGGGACCTCTATGTAGATCTCAGCAATGAGAAACCTGAAAAATATCCCTTCTAAATGTCTCCCCTGCAGAAAAACCCAGTTTTGCTTCTTTTTGAGCAAAGTCCTTAGCTTTTACAATCTTTTAAATTTCATTCAAAGAGCTCTGATAATGCCAGAGTCACACAACCACCAGGTGAGAACTCAAGCACATTTGGTTCAGTGGCTTCCTGATTGTCCTTGTTGACAATGGACTCTTTTGCCTGCCTGAATATCTCATCTTACTCATTTTCTTTTTGTTAGGATAAGTCCACAAAAGGCTGTGCTCTTATCATCAATGAAATGAGTCAGCATTGTTGACAAGCTCATCCATCTCCTTTAAGTCTCCCCCAAAGTAACACTCTGCACATACTAATTAACAAATGTAAATTGCCTAGGATAGTTTCTGACACACTGTAGATGTTCATTAATTGTCTTCTTCCCACATTGTCAAGTAAAATTCAGAAAAAAAAAAAAGTTGCATACAAATTCAGGTTTTAAAATCAATGAATTCCTTTCTTTTAACAGATTGATTAAGGTATTATTGGTATCCATTAAAAGGCACAAATAATATATAATTTGATGAGTTTTGAACTATGTACAAACCCATAAAACCAGTAAGACCATCAAGATAATGAACATATTTGTCATCCTCAAAGGTTCCCTTGCTCCTAAAAGCTTTCTCATTTTCCTTCTAAATTCATCCTCTCTACCTTCCCTACCCTACAATCCCAGACTCATCCATCTTCATTCTCTCACTACAAATTAACTGGCATTTTAAAATTTTATATAAATGCAACCATACAGTATGTATTCTTTTTTTTTTTGGTCTGGTTTCTTCACTCAGCAGAATTATTTTGAAATTCATCATGTAGTTGTGTATACCAATAATACTTTTGTTGTGGAATCACATTCTGTAGTGTGTCTTCATCAAAATGTGCTTATCTAACATTCACCTGTTGATGGGCATTTGACTTGTTTCCAGTGACTGGCTATGACACATGAACATTGACGTACAAGTCTTTGTGTGGACATACACTTGTATTTCCACATGAGAGTGTAATTGTCAGCTCATATGGTAGATGATTATTAAAGGTTTATGAAGCTACCAAGCTGTTTTCCAAGTGGTTATACCATTTCACATCCTCTCCATTGGCATGTAAAGTTGTAACTAATCTACATTCTTGTCAACACTTGGTATAGTAAGTCTTTTGAATTTTAGCCATTCCAATGAATCTATAGAGGCATATTACTATGATTTTAATTTGCAGTTCCTGAATGACTACTGGTATTGAGCATCTTTTCATGTGGTATGTGATATCTGTGTCTCCTCTGGCAATCATAATGGAGTGAAATAAGCCATCGGACAGAAATTACATACAGGACACAGAGAAAGGACACTGTCTTAGGATGTCTCTGGTGTCAGAGAAGGCTTTCTGTGAGAGGTGAACCCTGGAAGTGTGGTATTATAGGCCAGTCAGAGCAGTCAAAGAGGGAAAGAAAGGATGTTGCAAGCAAAGCTTAGAGATGGGGGGAGGGGCATTCAAGGGGATACTATAGATAATTGAAGGAAAGAATCTCAGCTTTTTAGAAGATAAAGGTCCACTTTTTTACAATAAGGTATGAGTCCAGCATGTGTAGGAGTCACTGTTTTATGGATTATGAAATAAAAGCCCTCAATGAATGAAAATAACAGAATAAACATATAGGAGACATCTACAGGAGGACCCATTTTTAAACACCACCATGATATTATAACAAATATTTCAGTTATATTTGGTTTGGAAGGTGTTGCTATGCTGTTAGTCTCTTGAAAAGTCAGGTAGGGCAACCCCTCGGGCCCCCTCCCACACTCTGGGACCTTTTCTGTCCTCTCAATAATTCCTGCTTTAAAAAAAAAAGAAAGGAAAGAAAGTCAGGTAGGGCATTGTGGTGGACAGAATAATGCCACCACACCAAAGACACCCTAAGTCCGGAACCTGGGAATATTTTACCTTACATGGTAAAGAGGACTTTGCAGATGTAATTAGGGTAAAGGATTTAGAGGTGGGGAGATTAGCATGGATTATCCAGGTGGAGTTCAATCTAATCACATGAGTCCTGAAAAGGGGAGAAGCTTTCCTCCTAGTTGTGGTCAGAGGGAGAGGCAACCATGGAAGAAGGATAAGAGAGAGGCCATGTGAAAAAAGCCCGACCTATTCTTTGCTGGCTTTGGAGATGACAGAGGCAGCAAGGCAAGGAACATGGGCAGCTTCTGGAAGAAGGAAAAGGCAAAGGAATATCTCCCAGCTAGAGCTCTGGGAAGGAATACAGCCCTGCCTACTCCTTGATTTCAGCCCAGACTCCTTTCAGACTCCTGACCTACAGAACTGTAAGATGATACATTTGGGTTGTTTTAAGCCACTGAACTTGTGGGAATTCACAACAGCAAACAGTTTGAAGAAAACTAACATAAACAGGAATAACCAAACTATGTGGTATTTTGATCTTGCTAGAATGACTCTCCTGGCTTTGCCTTTGCCCCATTTCTGAAAGCACTGGTTTCTGTGGGGCAGAGATACAGGCACAGGGCTCTGGGGCTCTCTCTTGGGACTGGAATAAGCAAATCCTTTTCACACTTCACAGTGAAACAGTAGGCGGCGTTACTTTAAAATCTGCTTGGAAGCAAGTACGAGATACTCCCCACAGGAGAGGGGGCAAAGAAGAGTATATACAGTAGGTAATGCACTGGTGTAAGAGCCAGGAAGCCTGGAATGGGGTCTACTATCACCATTCACAAGCTGAATGACTTTGCGGAGATCACTTTTCTTTATGGGGTTCTATCTATCTGAATCTGCAACATTAGATGGTTTAGGAAGCTTTTTACAACCTCTTCTCGGAAACTAAGAGTTTCTATGAGGGCTGGCAGAAGATGCCTCTGTGATGCTTTTAAACATCAGGACAAAAATCTCAATTCATCAGTTAGTACTTTGGGTGTTGAATTTGGTTTATTTCTCTGATTTTAGGGGCAGCTATAATTAAATATTTGTAAATAAAATTACATTCGTTCTATTTTGAAGATCAGCAAATAAGGCATACAGCATTCTCATGAACAAAACCCGCTCTATGTATGGACAGCTGCCTTCACTTGAATTGCTCTTACAGTCTGAGCTATGTTTACTCTCTCAATGCATGGTGTGGAATAGGCAATTTACTGGGTGCTTCTGGGTGACATTCCTTTATTTAGTTCTACTTTGGACTCAGAAAAAGTATCCTGATTCTACTTTCCTTTTAGAACATTTGTATGATATCACCACTTATTAGTATAAAGCAATAATTCCTATACTAAAACCAAAAGATCAGAGCCTACACAGTTAAGCAAAAGAAGCCATCTGGCTCCAGCTACTGTTAGAAAGAATTTGTGTCTCCTCATCAAAATTACATCAGGGTCGATTTATTTGTGAGCCAAATAAGTGAAATTCATTTTTCTTCTTTCTATTTTCACTTCCAAATGGTGTTAAACTGCCTGATTGATGTGCTATATATAAGGCTTGGCTACAAATGACTCTGAGGTGTGATTGAAAGATGAAATTTACTGATGAACATGAGACTGTTCAGTGATGCCTGAGGATGTTTAATACAGCACATTACAGTCTGGGAAAGCAGGTCCAGAGGTTTTCAGAATGCTGCAGACAATGGTGGCCTCACTGGATTGGAGACGTGGATCCCCACTCGCCATGCCAATGACAAAACTGCACTCTGCCTGTAAGTTCACATGTATTTATTAAAAGTCCCTACCCCTTATCACATTATATGACACATCTGTGTTCACCTTCTGTGCTCACTTTTCCTTCATAACCTGATAGGACTGATATTTCCCATTTATACTGATTTCCTTTGTTTTCCTTGACTGGCTGACCAATTCATTTCATGTACAAGCACCAACTGTCACAAGCTCTATTCTGGGTGGAGGCATGGGGTGGGGAGACCCCTTAGGAAAAGTGACATTTAGATCGACCTCTCAAAGTGAAGAGGAAGCAGAACCATGGGTTGGAGGCAGGTGAGAAGAAGGTGAGAACAGAGCTTTGAGATTCAAGAGGACCTGGCACATCAGGGAACTGAAGGTCAACACCCCTGGCACTTAGGGCTCTAAGTAACAGGGGGAAAGACAGCAGCCACCTTCAAGAATCTTTCTAGCCCTTTCCAAAAGCTTTAGGCTATTCTTTTCTAATCCTACCCAACATGACTCTCAACTCATTTCAACCAGTGGTGCTGGCTGTCTTAATGGCAACAGTGTAATGGTGTGATGGGTCTGGCTGCCTTGCTTACCATGTGCTAGGCCTTGCTAGGTGCTTTAAAACTCTGCAGCAGTTCACCCCCATCACTATCTATGGGCATACCCGCTATCGTCTGCTCCCATCCCTCTGTATTTTCTTCCACCAGTTAAACAGTCTCAGTCTTGTTCATCCATTTATCATGTAACATAGTCTCATGTCCTATATCAGCTTAAAGATGTTCCCAAGACCATACTCAACTCTGTCTCATATCTGCTAAGGTGGTCAGAGAAACACAGCACAACATTCCTGGGTTTGCGCTGATCATTAAGACTGTTACCTCTCTATTAATTCTCTATTAATGTGAATAAAATCCAATCAAAATATTTTTGAAGAATCAATTCACACTGTGGCCTTGCACTGAATTTAATATTAATCCCAACCTTTAACTCTTCCTTCCCGTGGTGCTGTTCTGCCATGCTTTTGCCTGTGGCTGGCAATTCTGTACAGATGCATACGCTGTGATAATCTCATGAAATATATTTGCATTAAGGTGGGCCCATGCCTCTGGCTTCTGAAGATCTTACCTCTCAGTCACACCGGGTAGAATAAAGAACATCCAGAAGTGAATTCCAAACACGAGAATGACCTGGAAAATGACCTTTCCCAATACAGTCTTCCTGAGGTAGAGGGCTCGGTCCACCACCATGGTTCCAAACTGAATGAGGACCATCACCAAGAATGGCCCTGGCACCTGGTCCTCCGACAGCGAAGAGGTGATGTCTGTGGCTGCTGAGTGTTTCTGGGGAAGAGACAAAGGTTCATGTCCAAATGGCACTTCGCAGGAAGCAGAGTCATCACCCTCTGGCAGTGGGTTTGCTGTGGCCTTTACCCCAACCTACCCCAAAGGCCCAAAAGCCAAAGACAATGATGATGAAGTCCACAGTGTCAGCCAGGAACATGAGCACGTACACATCGGTCACAGCACTGTAGTCTGGGTGAATGAGGTCATAAAAAAACTGCCGGATGGGCACATAGATCTGCAGAGTCCTGCAAAACAGAGACCCCCATTCACTTGATTCAGGAGGGGCGGGATGGCAGAAATGACCAGATATTGTGATCCTGTCATTCCTCTGCATTTTTCTTTCCTACCAGGTGCCACCTTCCTCTTTTAGCCTCTGAAGAGTCTATCCCTGCTCTGACAGAGAATGCACATGAGTTGATCACCAACATGGGTATTACAGTCCTCTCTGCCGATATCTGCTGGTGGTACCACAGCCCTTTCCTCTTGATTGCAGCAAAACTGACTGGCATAAGGCCCGGGAATTTGGTGCTTGGGTTTGGAGCCTGATTCCATTGCTCACTACCCCTGAGACCTGGAGATGCTATGTGACTCTCAGTGTTTCAGTTTCTTCTTCTGTAAAACTGGGGTGATAATAAGATCCGATGCTGAGGGCTATGGTGAGAACTAAATACTAAATAAGGGAACACACGAGAGCATCAGACTTTGAGTGCCTGGCTGGGCTGAGCATGCTTGAATGTCAGATGCCCCCTGCCTACATTCCCGTCTTAGGGTCCTTTGCTTATCTTGGCTCCCAAGAACAGTCCTGGGCTTTTACCTTCAAGGTGAAGGTAGATCTGCAAGGTGCTGTGGGTTTGACTACTGTGTCCTGCTGGCTCGGGCCCGTCTCATCTCTGCCCTATCTTTGCTGTGCTCTGGGATCTGTCTTCAATTCTAGGCCACATTCAGGTGTGGTCAGCTCTCCTGGTCTCAGAACTTTTTCAGGACTCTGCTCTGGCCAGCAGCCCAATCCCTTCCGCACCACTTCTGCGCCCAACAGGTGGGAGTTACTAGTGCAGTTTGCTGGGGACCAGGTGCGTGACATCAGACAAGCCATTTCCCCACCATGCACCTCCAGACCCTCCCAGGATGAGAGTGCATCTCTCAGCCCCCTCCAGCTTTGGCATCATGCTGCTGTCTGCCTGGCAGGACTTTACCATAATAATGCCTTGGATTACCAACCATGAGCCCTTGAGATGACTCATGTGTTCTGTTCAAAAAGACAAAGTATGTGTAAGTGCAATGGATATAAAATGAATCACACTAACTGAAAAATTATTTTTAATACCAGTATGAGGGGTCATTTTGTCCTGCCTTAATGATAGGAGAAATGACTTCTCTGCTCCTCACCCTAGTTTACAAGAAGTAATGGATACCAGTCCCCCAGCCCTAAACTAACACACAAGACCCAAATGTTTTCCAGCACTCACTTCTTTATGGTAAACGCTTTTGCTTTGATTAAATGCTCTTGAAGCTTCTCCATGTAAAGTTCCTTTTTGCTTTTTTGCTTAACGCTCAAAACGCTACTTCCTTTCTGACTGCTGTTTCGGGTGCTTGTGCTGCCTAGAAATAAAAAGAGATCACAAGGTGTGTGGTGAAGGATGGAGTTTGTTACCCTGACTATCACAGAAGTCCCCAGAGCCCAATGGTAGAGGGTGGCTTGAAGCTCGCAGAGGAAGAGGATTCACAGATACCTTCAAGAACAGTTACAGAGTCATTTGGGATCTGGCCTCTGAACTCAGCTTGCATAGTAGAATAGATCTGTGGGGTTTCACACCCAATGGTGGCTCTTTCCAAGATTGTTCTATAATCTTTATCCCAGGAAGAAATAAGTTGGAAGAACAGTTTTTATGGTGCTGAGTAGAGCCCTGGGTTGTGGGGTTTCCACATGGGAGCCATGGCCCATGTCTATTTTCCCATCCTAATGTCTCCAATTGTAAAATGAATATGGTATGATCTGCTAGTGACTGCCTCAAGGGCAGACTCTGAAGATGAATACTCGCAAGTTTGGAAAGTTCCAGAAAGCAGCCCTGTAAACACAAAGCCCAATGGCTCCAAGAGAGGCAAAATGAGGCATAACTCCCTTGTGACTGCACTTGCAGTCTAGTAAGAAATTAACAACTAGCTTAGGAGGAAGTAACTAAACTGTTTGTCTTAAGGTCTCATCGATTAAACCTGAATACATTTTCAAAGTAAATTGTTTTAGTTGTTGGGAGCCGGCCATGGAGGCCCACTGAGCGTTAGGGATCAGGAAGGGCCGCTGACCCCGAGACCACTAGGATGTGTTCGGGAGCTATTGACCCCATTTCCTCCCCCTTTCTACTCAGCACTAACCAGATTAAGCTCCTGTGAGCTCAAAACATAAAAACTCTGAGACCGGGATGAACACAAGCTAACTTTAGAAGCTCATTGCTCCCATTCTTCTGCAAATTGCAGTTTTGGCTTTCACACAACTTAAAATTCAAACTCATGTCACATCTAAGAGGCTTAGTATTGGTCACAGGCTTCTGGGTCATGATCTTAGGATTTATTGAAGGTGTAAATTGTAGAATATAGTTTTAGAAGACAGTCATTTTGTTGAAAGAATGCGGCTGGGTTACTTGCAGGTAGCCCACTGTGAACTTTGGACTGGGCCATATTCCAAACATTCTGGGATGGGCCGCTTTCATTTGTAAAGTAAATACTTAAGCTTCTATAGAATTGTTTAACTTGGCATAAATCAATCATCTTAGGATGAAAAAGGTTTATAGAATATGTCAGTCACAGATAGGTTATCCTTTGTTATGGGATTTTAAGATTATCATATGAAAAGGGTTTAAAGGCGATCATTGATTAAGTTTTCATGGATTAAGGTTTCTGGTGGGTGGGGGACGCCCCTCCCACATCTGACTTTGTGTATAAGGGACCCATTGTAATTCCCAATAAGACACACACATCGCTTCTGCACCAGACCGGAGTCCAGTCTCTTTCTTTCTCTCTCTCTCTCTTTCTCTCTTCTTCCCCCCAATCGCTGACGCCATCTCCACCTTTGGGGTACCCTGAACCCAACTGGAGCTGGTCCCCGGCAGTTAGAGCACTCTGGACACATCCAGCAGAATTTTTGCATATCATTTAAAAATGTTCATAAGTCTGATGCTTGCTAGGCACCAGATGGTGTGCTGGCCACTTTTCACAATTATCTGAAATCCCTGTCCTGGGAAGGAATCCGATGTTTTGAGCAATGAAGTCACACAGCTAAGGCAGGATTTGAACTCGGATCTGCCTGATTTCAGGCCCTTTCTTTTCACATCACAATATCTGTCTCTTGATAGCACCCAATAAACTCCCCTGCCCCAGATATGCAGGCACCAGAAAAACAAGAGAACTTGGAGGCTTATTCCAGCTTTGAGATACCATATTGACCAATACCTCTTTTGGACCTATTTGAAGAAAAGCTAGATGTCTGGGATATCTGGGAGCTGCTGCTGGAGCGCTTCCTGCGGATGGCCATCTGCTGCTCAGGGAAGGTCACGTGCACTGACTCTGCCGACGCAGCCAGGTTGATGGACTTGAGAGAGTCAGAGGAGTCTCTCCTCCCCAAGGAGAGCTCATCATCAGTTTCTTCCTTGTCCATGCCACTTTCAAGAATGTCATCTTCATCCCATAAGCCATGGCACTGAGAAAGCAGAGACAGGGACAACTGAGGCTACTGTTTTTGGTGGCGCCCTAGGTACCCTTTCTTACAAAATCGAATCCAGCAAACTGTCCCTTGAAATTAGACAAACAGGAGAAGAAACCTTATCCTATAGAATGTTACAAGGGTCCCAGTAGAGTGGAGACAGGCAGGTGTAGACATTAAGAATTTGGCTGATTGAGATGGAGATAGATAATTTTGGCAGAGTAAAGATGAAATTGTAATCACCTGACTTGCTCTTTGAGTGACAGCATTTTTCAGAACACGTCTCTCTCTGTGCTCACAACCAGCATTTGAAGTATCAGTTGAAGAGTTTAACCCTGCCACCCTGTGTTCTCCAAATGCCTTTACTTGAAGAATGATACTGTCCCTTTCCCGGCCTGCAGAGTGAGATGTGAATCCTTGACTCACCCAGGACTGACTCAGAAATAAAGTTGCAAATGTACTCTTCAAAAAATGTTGGCCTACATATGAGACAGAGATTGATGCATTCTTCAGAGTCTGGTTTTTGCTTCAAGAAAACAGAAGCAAGGGGTAGGCAAAGGGAGGAGAAATGCATGCAGAAGAGGAGGATGGGCAACCAGGAGTCTTGTAGGATGTTGGCCTGGGCTGCATGGGATGACCTCGCTCCTGTCAGATAGAGCTTGCAAGGAGCTATCTCCTAAGCGCCCAGCTGTGCGACTAACCATCTGCTCCCTGACATTGCCCAGTCCTCCCTCTGAGTCATCCACAGAGGATAAGAGTTCCAGGCCAATTTGTCAAAAATCAGTTGATCAAAAACCAACTCAGAATGATCAGTTCACCAAAAGACAAACTCATTCAGTTGACAGATAATCCTTAAATATTTATTTATAAATGTATTATTTTAAAAACATATTCAATAATTATTTTTTTCCGACAGGGTCTTGCTCTGTTGCCCAGACTGGAATGCAGTGGCACGATCATAGCTTGCTAAACACCCCATCCACCTCCTGGGCTCAAATGATCCTCCTGCCTCAGTCTCCCAAGTAGCTGGGACTATAGCCGGGATGACACCAGTGTCCAGCTAATTATTTAATTTTTTTAGAGACAGGGTCTCACTTTGTTGCCCAGGCTGGTCTTGAACTCTTGGCCTCAAGCTAATTTCCTGCCATGGCCTCCCAAAGTGCTGAGATTACAGGCATGAGCCTAGCCCTTAATGAATGTATTTTTATAGACATAACAGATATTTTAGCTTTTCATAATGGGATATTTGAGCTTATATGGATTTTTTTCAAATTATTTTAAAATTTATTTCTTCTTTTATCAGCATTAACATATTTAGATGCTTTCACACATTTCTCAGTAGCATATTTATTCGTTTGCTAATTCTTCTAATTATTTATAAAATTCACAGCAATTCATACAAAGTAGGATAGTTTCAAAAACTTTTGAAATTTCTACATAGTTTTAATTGTTTGGTTTTCATAGCAACATTGCATGAAAGATTTATTTTTTCAAAAGTGATTGAGAGTAGTTTTGCTTTCTTAAGAAAAAGATTGATCATTCCAAAAAGTATTTTTCATATCTTTAGTTTTAAAATTCCACATAATAGCATTACCTCAAATCTCATCTACATTTATGATATATCTTCAAAAAAGAAAACAAAGAAAATTATGAAACAAAAAATAGTTTATTATCTACTTTAAATATAAAATTGCATCTGCTAACGATTTGCATATTGACAAAAAATAGTAAAAATGCTTATAAGTGTGTAGTGATATGTAGAAAAGTATTTGTGACAAGATATAGTGAGATGCAAAAGTTACAAGAGGATTCTGAAGCGGTCAAAATGGTACAACCATGTGTTTAACACTGAAATTTTAAAATGTAATTTCTAGGGCTAAAAAAGATTAATACAATTATTATTATTTATAACATATGAATATATTATAAGACGTCGTCTACTGAATAAATTCAAGTAATTGACATGTCCGCCAGAAGAACTGGAAAGCTTAGGCAAATTCAATTGTGGCTGACTGGTGTCCTTGACTAAGGTGCTTTTGTAAACTTGCTATAACCCTTGATCCACTATGGTTCTACAGAATGAAGGTCTAGGGACTCGGGTGCTTTGCAAAGGGATGGAAGATAGATTGAAGATTCTGACCAGGGTACACACAGATGAAACCTAGTTTGAAATGGCCCACAGAACTAGGATAGATGCTAAACACACTAAAACACAACTAAATCTACATGTGTATGTATGTCTATGTGTGTGTATATGCTCACTTATGCCAAGCCTTGTTCCGAAAAGGATTCTAGAGACCAAGAGAGATACAACTTGATAAAATGAACCTAAAATATTTAATAAAACGAGACAAGGCTAAAATAAAAGAAGGAACGTAAGGTTTTGACAATAGGTAATTAATACATAAAATGGATGTCGTGCGATCATTTCTGATAAGAGTTATGTGGCATATTCACAGGCTTGGTCTATAATTCACAATGTAAGAGGAGCTAAAACCCACATAGTGCTCAGGAGAAGGACAAGAGTCATGGCACCCGAGAAGGGTCACCCTGCGTAGAGGTCTTCCTGCAGCAGAGTGACAAATGGCTTCCTCCACAGTAAGTTCAAGGAAGCCCCGCTCTGGGTTTCCCCCGACCATTTAACACGTGGTCTCTTATCAAAAGCTGCTGGTTTCATGACTAGAAACTACCCAAAAAAGCAATTCTACTGAAGGGAGGTAGGCAGAAGCTGAGTTGGGACAAGAGGCAATGGGATCCACCCCATCCTGTAGTTCCTTGATGTGCTGGCTTGACCCAGGGTCGAATTTAGCATATCAGCCATTTTGATATCGTGCACCATTCAATAAACATTCCACAAGTGTGGATCAATTATGATTTGGCCAACCCAGGATAGACACAGGAGGATACGTTCTGCCAGATTTATGCTAAGTTTCATGATTCAGCACCATAATTACTGGAAAAAATGTCCACTAAATAAATATAACATTCTCTTCAAAAAAGAACAAAAGCGCACACAGGTAGATGCCGCCCACTGGCCCCTCGGCCCCCTACCAGGTTCCCCAGGAGTATCAGAGGGGCTGCCATAGGCAACTGACTAGTTGTTAACATGCAATACCTTCAAAATGGATCGATGGAAGAACAGAGCCAGGAGCTGAATGAGATCATAAAGAACGTAACCTTCCTTCTTTTCCACTCCTATAATATTTGCAGGGTGGTATGGTTTATCTTTGTGCCTCTCCACATCCTTATTCCAGGGAAAGAACCCAAATTGAAAGAAATACTTGACTACAATGGCCACCTACGCACAGATGATAGAAATTAAAACAAAATTAATCCTCCTTTTAGGATTAGAAATACCTGTATATAAGAAACAGTGATATAAAAATTAAGAAAAAATACCCATTTCATAGTTTTGATGGTAGTAATGCCCACAGTTATGTGGACTAATAGCATCATTTTCATAGGCTATGAACTTCATAACAAGAGCAATATCTTACTTTTCCAAGTTCAGTGCCAGATTAGCAAGGCCAATCAGGTTCCTCATGCCAACACTTAGAGGCCTGGTCGTTTCCCCCATTTTTAAGGCATTGGTTTTTACACTGTTTTAACTGATATTTATATAATTACTCAACTATTAAAATATGGTGATTAGGAGAAAATTGAACAGAAACATATTTATATCTCTGTATTCTATGGATATCTTTGGCTTATTTAGGAGCGTGCCATGTGGTTTGGATGTACACAGTTTTCACTCTTGTCCAGCGTATCTGTTTGCTATATTAGTCTACGAACCACTGAAAACAGAAACAACTTTTTTTAAATACTTCTCTTTGTCTTAGTTAGCATAGTTCTTGGTGTTTGGCTCATAGTACAAATTGTAAAGTGAGTTCACACCAACTGAATTTCCCACTTACTGCACTCCTCAGTGTGACAGAAAAAAATGAAAAACCCCAACTTAACTCAACCAGGAACATTTTATCTTTAAGGTGAAAACTACACAAATGGTTCTGTCCCCTTGTCCACATTCTTGGTCTCCCCTCTTATAAACTCATACACAGAGGGCTTATAGACTGGTACCCCTTCCAAAGCATGGAGCCAATTATGTCCTGAAGGGATGTAATGAAAATATAATTTAGAAACGATGATTTTGGACAGGCTAATTAAGGTAATAGACATCTATTTGGCTTTTCAAGCTTTTTTATTATAGAAATCAGATACTATCTATACTTTAAGCTGAGTACTTTTGAGATGATTTATTTTATAACTGTTTTGCTTTTCCTGTTGAATTACTTATAAACCTACAAAAATTCCAGGCTCCAACCGAGTATTGTCATTCAAGAAGCAATCACAGTGCTGTCGGAAGTGGAAAACTTTTCCATACAAGCCGGGGAAGCAAATCAGCCTCACAGACCTAAGAACACAAAGCACCTGGTAGCCCATGGCACCAAGAACATTGAGTTCTTTTCGTGAATTTTCATGGGGATTTGTGGTCTGTGTTTAATAGGGGAGGATGGCAAAGCAGGTCCATATGTCTGGGTAGACTGTCCCCTGTCCCCTGTGATGAAAACAGGCTGGTCTTTTCTGTCATTCAGATTTTAAATGGGTGCTTGGATAATTCTGTGCTAGGACACGTGGAAATTGACCTTTAGGTTTAAAAATGGAAAATATACATGCTGCATCAAAGCACTCTACTGAACTTTCAACTCAGTGGCCATTCACTGAATATCCTACGGAGCCAGGCACTACACTTGGCTCTGTGTAAGACTGTTGCTATCTTAGGGGTTAATACCGTAGGTCAGGCAACCAGACTCCAGACTGCTAGCTGGGCAACTTTGGGCCAAGTATTTAATCTCACTGGAGCTGTTTCCTTATCCGTTAAACAGGAATGATGCCAGCATCTACCTGCGTGAGGTATGAAGCATTTGTATACCTAAGAATGTCCACGGAACGGAGTGTTCCATCTGAAACTGTCCTGGCTCAGGCAGGCCCATCTAGAGATGGCACAGGGGCACACGGCACACTTCTCCATGCACAGCTGCCTGAAGCCATCGGCATGGAGGCCACGTCCAAGGCCTACCTCAGTGTAGACGATGGCCATCATCCAGAACCGGCGGCTTGGCCTGGGGACCGACAGCATGGCCCAGAGGAAGATGAGGATGGGCAGCAGGAGAGTGATCACGGAGGCAGACACCATGTGGTTGAGGATGATTACAAAGTAGCACACCATTTCCGAGCGGGCCACCAGAGTGTTGTACATGGCGTAGAACAGCAGCAAGAACCGGGGCTGCCCCACATAGAATTTCTCTGACTCTTCAAGTTCATCGTCATGAAACATCCTGTAAAGATAAACAACATGACAGCATATTTGTCTTTAACTACTCCAGAAGACTAATTTCCATTAGTGTGTTTCTTTCAGATGCCGTGTCCCCCCGCTTTCTACATCCGCATATTTCTTTGGGAAACAAGCTAGCATCAGACTTGATCACAGAAAAATGTCAACACGAGGATCTACTGTCAGGTCTTACTGGTTCTACAATCTGGCCTGGAAGGACTGGAGCTTTGGGACCGTCAGTTCAAGAGGTCCCATTTGGCCTCACTAGCTAGGTGAACCTTCTTTTTGATCTATGGATTTTCCTCCCTAGGCGAAGAGAGTGCACATGTAAGTGGTGGCTTGGGGACACGGTGGCTGGTCTGCTTACTGGACTCTTACTTGTTCAGCAGCAGCTCGCTGGCAGTCAGCTCGTGGGTCAGGGGAGGCAGGATGCTGGACTCCAGCTTGTCAGTGCGACTGTCGTCCGGACTGACCACCATGCGGTTCTTGCCCGCGGAGTCATCCTGTGAGCTGAAGGACAGATGCTCAAAGCTGACGGCCTTGCTGTAGGAGGGTGGGGCCTCCACATCTGCATCCAGCGTGGAGAACTGTGTCAGATCCTCCTCAGGGGTAAGGCCAGCCTCCTCTGTGCCCGATGCATCGTACTCGGCCTCATACTCCTCCTCGGCCTCTCCAGGCTCTGCTACCAGGTCCCCTGCCTCCTCCTCCTGCTCGGCCTCCACCTCCTCGATAGTCTCAGTGGTCCCCTGGCGTGAGTACAGCATGGTACACTGTGTGGGCTCACTGGGAAGAAAGGGCGGCACGGGGCCTATATCAGCATCCACTCCCATTCTCAAGACCTCATCAGAACCCCCAAGTGACAATGTGAGAAATCGGGTTACCCCCACCCCCCTCTTCTGCATCTCATCTGCTTTATTCCTTCGGGATATTCATTCCTGATTTTCAGAAGCTGAAAGCAGCAGCCTCTCCAATGCAAATATTGACGGTGCCTGCACACACACGACTGAGAACTGAAGCCAGACACGTGGCTGTGGAGCACCACATGTGTCAAGAGTGAAGAGTGTCAAGATCACAGCCATGCAGCCCAGAGTTTATTTCCAAGTCAGCACACAGCACAGCATACCTACCAGCCCCTAAAGAAGGGAAGGGAAGAAGCCCTGCAGGGTTTGTTCTGGAGGTTTTGACCAAGATGTGTTCTCTTGATCCTACACAACGGACCCGGCCAGATACATAAGGGGGTGACAGGAATGATTAAGTATTGGTCAAACAACTGCGACTTAAAACTTCCCCTTTGGGCTGGGCACATTGACTCAATGTGTAATCTTAGTACTTTGGGAGGCTGAGGTGGGAGGATGGCTTGAGTTTGAGACCAGCCTGGGCAACACAGACAGGCCTTATTTCTACAAAAAGTATTTTTAAAAAAGCAGGACATGGTAGTGAATGTTTGTAGTCCCAGTTACTCCCAGCAACTCTAGCAGCTGAGGCAGGAGCATTACTTGCATCCAGGAGTTTGAGGCTGCAGTGAGCTGTGATCATGCCAGTACATTCCAGCCTGGGTGGCAGAGTAAGACCCTGTCTCTAAAATTTGCCCTTCAACGTGTGTTTCTTCTGTTTATCCATTTGTTGCCTTTTTCTTTTTGGTGTGTGTCACATCTGACTGAAGGTCCACTGTCACTCTAGCTCCCATCCCCAGCATGAGCCCTCTTGGGCCCTTTCCCCTTCTAACCACTTGCTCCACCCAGGGTGTACTCCTGTTCTGTCTGCTCCCAACAACTTCACTTATTTTCTTACACTGGTCCCTCTTCTGATTTTTTTTCCCTAGAAGCTTCTGTGCTCTTATCATCACTCCCTACTTTTGGCATCCTGTTCTCTTCTCTTCTATTCCTTAGTCTTGTTACTTTTCCTGTTGGGTCTGTGCAGAAAAGGTTGGGCACCCAAACAGAGTAGTCACACCAGTGAAATCCATGGCATGCCTTGTCTACCCCAGGCATATCCAGCCACCAAACAGGAGAGGGGAGAAAATGACGCAGAGATTTGAAATCTGATGGATGTAGGAGTCTAATTTGCTGGACTCTAAAGTGTGTACTGTTATCTGATGGCATATATGAGCACCTGGATTCCATCAATACTGAGATTCTCAAGCATAGATTGTACCCATTTTTCTTGCCATGGAGACCAGGGTAGACATGCCAATGACTGACTGAATGAATGAGCCTTCTTAGAGCCCTTCATCCTGTAACTGAAGAGCCAGATTTGCCTGAGCCCTTGGTGTCCCCTCAGTTGTTTAATATCCCCAGGGCTTTGTTCCTGAGTGCACATGTCACAGAGAAGTCTCTTGGAATGCCAGGCTCAATGGATTTTGCTAAGACTTACCTCAGGTAGATTCGGCTTCCTAGGAAGGTCACGCATCGACCCATCACCCAGAGAATTTTTCGATCACTGGAACCAACCCCTCACCAGTCTAACTTTCAATATTATTGTCATCAATCATAAGCATACTCTCTAACTTTCAGTATGACTGTCATTAATCATAAACGCACTCTCTAAGGGTCCCCTGTGGCTCCAGGGGGACCCAACAAAATATACTGGAAAAGCATGCACGTGCCACCAGAAGGTATTCAAATGGCCAAGGCATTCTTAACAATGCCAGGAACAAACCAGGCTGTGGTGGCACTGTGTTAAGATACACAGCAACCATCAAAAAAAAAGAAAAGAAAAGACAAAGAAACAAACAAAAAAACCACCCCTCTGATTTTCCATAATGAGCCATCAAATGAAAATCATTTTGGATTGGGCCATTTTTTGCCAAGATAAGCAGGAGGTGCCTGATGAGTTCTGTGTGCCCACCGACTATTCTAAGACAATTCAAACACAACAAAGAGTTTTTAGATTGTATGCAAACAATTTCATTTCTAAATGATTACTGTTTTATGATAGGATTTAATGAAATAACTTAGGTAAAAGTAGTTTTTTCCCCCAAATCGCCCAAAAGTTATGAGACTACACAGGTGATGATTCTACTGCATAATAATATTCCTAAAAAAAAAATGATAAAATATATTCTGACTTTTATATTAGTTACGTATATAACATGTGAACAGATTTACTCTGTATTAACTGAAAATGATGACATATGGCAGGTTTTTTGTTTAGTACATGTATCTTTTGATGAAATCATAAGAAAAAGTTTCCCACCTTTCCTGACAGATTAGGGTAGAGTTTGTCCCACACAGACTCTACATTATGGAGGAAATATGATTATGTCTTTGAAAATGGAAAGCATGAAATACTTAAAACATGGAGGACAACTTTTATAAGGGTCTTTAAGAAATTCCTAACAGACAAAAACCAAGGAGCAGTCAGTTTAATACAGTGCTATCATGGGAACAATTACATCTCAGAAAGGGTGGTGGTTATGCTTTTGTTAGTCATGCAGATTCTCAAAATAAAAAATGAAATGAAAACATACGTCACAAGAACTTATATGTGCAATGACACGAAGGGGGAAAGGTGATAAAATTAGAGAACAAAGCATGCACAAGTTAAGCACCTTGATGCTAAACTGCCACTGTCAGCTGATGAGGAGGACATATCCATGCTGAACATTTTACGGAGCCTAGGCCGAGCGCGCTCACTCGTTTTAGGAACAGTGTCTGGTCCATCTAAATCATCAAGGGTAGACTGCCTTGAGAACAGCATGGTTGCTTCAGTGTAGCAGCTAGCAGCGCAAACAGTTACAGAAACACAGTGTTAAAACACCAAGTGGTACATCAGGTTACACGCAGATCAATTGACCAACACATTGCCATGCAGCAAACCACACACGACACCAACACCACCAACAAGGAAGACCACCACAGTGGAGCTCCAGGACAGGGAAGGGCCTGTTTGGCAGGACGGTGAAACATAAGAGTACTGGATTTAAACACAAACACAAAAACAAAAACATATTGGCTAGCGATAAATTATGAAATGGCACTCTCTGGGTGGGACTAGGGCATAAAACTATGACAAGTCCCAATATTTCTCTCACAAAGCAGAATTTATATAATTATAACTTTGTAATAAGTTGTAACAGAAATAAGTGAATTTTCGTATGAAAGAAAATATGCTTTATTTGGAGGTCGCAATCCTGAGTTTATTGAGAGCATTTATTAACCAAATTGCTTAAGCAGAAATAACTGCTCATGTAAAATTCATACACCAGAGTTCAATCTCTTTTTTTATTTTTTATTTTTAACACAGTCTCCAAAACGAGAGAGGAAAACTCAGGAATGACAACAAACTGAATTTTGCACCCCATTTTCTGAGTGATATTCAGTTAAGCCAAACGAGATGCCTTGCGTGTAGTAGAGATGCTGGTTTGATATGCAACTTGATATAAACCAACATCAGAAATAAAATAAAATGCTGTAAAGAAAACAACAAAGGAACTCTAGCAACGGCAGGCTCATTTTGTCTGTTAACTTTTCACTTTGCCTAATTTTTCTTCTGGATCATGTTTTAAATCTTGGTGGATGTGATGAGAAGAGAACCTATTGCCGACAATCCTCATCTCCTGGTACCCAAGAGAATAATGGCTGGGGAGGAAAGATGGCGGACCCAGGACTGAGATGCAGCTGGATAAGGATGTTAACTAAGGAGGTATGATATAGGCATAATTCCAGTTCTGGCATGTGGCTCACCTCCAGAGAGGGACAGACAACTCAAAGAGCCTTTGCAGTACGTAACTGGAGTATCTATCTTCCAATCTGAGTGCTAAAATCCTGGCTGGCCCAGGTGAACAGGCCCTTAAAGAAACAGGATGGCTGATTTCCAGGATGACCATGCCAGGCTGAGCACCCTCATTAAGTGAGCTCACTATGAGAGTACAGGGTGCCTGGTCTGCACAGCCATATGCTGTCCACTGAGGATCCTGAGGCAGAAATGGAAGCCATTCAGGATGAAATGACCTTTGGGGGCCTGGATGGGAGGGAATTTGCGTCATTCACTCTTGGAACCAGTTCAAGGGCTTTTCAGGTCCCATGTGCTAGAGCACAACCCCATGACCTCTCTGCTGGAGCCATACTGCTATGCAAGTCACAGCTATGTGGCCATGGCAGGGACAGGAAGTGAGGGAGGTTTGCATATGGACAATCACACGATCTCTCTGATAAAGACACAGAGACGTTTTGTTTGTTTGTTTTTCACCTTTTTTTTTTTTTTAAAGGTTGTCCTTTAGATGTCACCAGATCCTGGACCAAATGAGGAGATGAGGATATGATAAACTAGAAACGCACTGGACAAGCACAGCGAAATTGGGCTTCAGTCCCCGTGCTGACATTCCCAGGCTGTTGGTTTTTAGATGGATCAGTTCTCCCCTCTGGGGACCCAGATTTATGTTTCTAAGATAAGAGAATGTTGAACTTCTATTTTTCCTTTTATATTTGTAGAGACGCAATTCCGTAACTTTTTAGGAGTCTACAGGCAGAAAGGTGCCGTGCTGTCTCCTTCAGCTCTGCTCAGGTGTGTTCCATGGGAACGGAGGGTCCTGTATCCCACTAGTTCTCGGGTGGAGTTTTACTGTTACGTCAGTCAACCTTCAAGACCTCTACAATCCCACACAAATGGGTTCTCTGTAGGTTGACCAATTTGTCATCCAATCCAGGACAATGTTAAAGTGAAAGGGAAGGGAAGGCAATTAGTAATAACAGGCCCAGGAAGCAGGCCTCACTGGAAGGCTGCCATTCCCTGGCTGATGGGCCCCACACTACGAGCCACAGCTGGGGCACACATCCTCTGATGGGACATTTTTCAAATGATAATCACCCCCTTCCTGTCTGGGAATGCCCCTCAGAATGTAGCTAATTATTTTGCAGCAATGTAAGCTAATTTATTTCCTAGAGAGGTAGATGTTCTGATTTTGTAAAGCAACCATTGAAAAATAAGTTTGCCATTTTACATCTGGTTTTGAAAGAAATTGTGACTATTCCCATAGGTCAAAGAGGACACAAATTCATTTGTTGAGTTCCCACCCAGACTCTCTCTACTGTATGCCCAAAGTTAAAAATCCATGACATGACTGCCAGAGCAGGAGCTGGACAGGGTGTTGGCCATGCTGGGCAAGGGTGTCCTCACTGGGGAGTGGTGACCCTGTGGCTGCCAAACCCATCCTAATGCCATAAGCTTCCACAGCAGAATCTCTTCTAGGTAAGGTTAATGCCTTTCCAGCAACCACCATGGGTTTCCTGAAGACTCTAGGACAGACAAGTTATTGTCAGGAGATTTGAAAGTTTCTTAAGTGGATAAACTGGAAATGTGGCCCAGCCTTGAGGATAAGGGCTGGCAATGTTAATTCATTTGCTGTCAACAAGATGGGCCATATTGTGTCTCCCCTTTCTTTAGGTTAAAGAACAAAATAAAAATACATTAAAACAAAATTTTAAAGGTGCTGGTTTTCTACTAGTAACTGAATTTATTGATTGAACATTTTATAATTTACAACATACAATGACAGTCTGTTGAAAAACAATCAATGAATTTAAATATCTCTTACCTCACAGATTTTGATCATGGATATGGCTTTATAATTGTAATCTTAGATCCCACTTACAGGTGTTATTTGATTTTAATTTAACTAGGCTTTTTTATTTTTCTTTTTTTCTCTTTAATTGTGATTTATAATATTTAACTTCCTAATATTTAACATAAAATGTTATCAATTGTTATGCAGTTAAGAGTAAGGAATATAGGAATCATATACGCTTATTTTATAATGTTTACTTTCCATTTGCTTTCAAATATTGTCTTTGATTCTACTGATTCATGTTTTGGTTTGAGAGCAGATATTCTCCAACCAGGCTCATGCATAATATTCAGGAGACTTGTAAATCCCTTGAGATTTTATTTAAAAATAGTATTTATGTGCATTTTTCTCATGGAAGAATATATGGTTTCATAAAACTTCAAAAGAGTTCTTTAACATGTTACCAATCATGTTAATGTCAGCACAACTCAGTGGAGAAAGGCAATTCCATCCATTACCCTTCTCAATGTCAAGCTTAGAAATGCAGGCAATAAAAAAAAACCCTCTGTATTATGAAATGAGGCAAAAAGGGAGGTTAAAAAAGACATTAGAAAAATATTACAAATCACATGATATGGCAGCATCTTTTCTTGAAGAAAGACACAAAGGTGCAATACTCAAACTATATACTATGTACATATACAATTGTAAGACTCAAAAGTTCATTATTCAAACTATATACTATGCACGTATACAATTGTATTCTTCACTATGTGGGAGGGCATAATTCCAGTTGAACGTGAGCGTGACTCTCAGATAAGTTCACCAGAGTTATCTGAAGCTTTTTCTTTTGAAATTGAGAAAAAAAGGAAAACATAATTTAGATCAGATCCAGTCCATATTCAATATATGCACAGCAGTGCAGTCCACAGCTGAGGGCACAGGAGGATGCATACATGTTATGCGAAAATAAATGGATGAATAAGTGAAACATAGCTTGGAAAATGTATGTGTAGAGAATCTCAGCATTTCTTTCACCCTTCCATTTCCTTATTCTTCTGAAAACGGGTTGTTTGGTCATGAATAGTTCCTAAAGCAGGTGGACTTGGACACTTTTAAATTCCCCAGTTCACATTCATTCACCCTGTATCTAGGAGGCAGCATGAGTGAGCATCACGAGTGTTCAGTATATCCGGGTAAATCTTGCCTCTCCCTTCACCCCTGCCTAGCCACACATACCTGTGCACTTTTGCACACCTACCTAGGAAGTGCCTATACATTATTAAGGGAAGAGCTACCGTGTGATAAGCTGGAATACTAACAGCTTAGGTAGAAGGGAGGCAAAGATGGTTTTTAAGTTTTATCATTAAGATGAATTAAAGAGAAAACAAGTCAGTTTAAATACGTTGATCCACAGATATGGAGAGAACTGTTGCGACAAGAACACATTTAGGAAGGCTGGCTGCTTTCAAATAGGACAGCTATTATGGTCTTCAAAATATAAAAATCAAATACAAAATAGATAATGGCTTTTTGTCTTAATGGTGTTTGTCAAAGGAGAAGATGGCCAGCTCCCTTTCAAAATGTTGATTGTGGGAAGACCTACAACGAGGGTCTGTTAACAGTCACCAATTGAAAGTTATATTCTCACAGTTTCTCTTTGTAAATGCTGATATTACTAATGGTTTCAGAAATATCAGAAGTGATTGAGAGACATGCATATGCTTGGGTAGGAGACTGAAAAAGAAAGTGTTATTACCAATACACATTTTTCTAACAATATTTTATTCTAAGAATTAAAAACATATTAAATGGAATCTCAATCAGGGAACTAATGTTTGACCTTGAAATCATGAAGGTTTCTGCCCTAAATACTTATTCTTCTCAAAAAAATAAAAACAAATAAAACAAAGCTGAATTATCTGTGCCTTTGGAATTTATAAATAAGCAAAAATCATTCACAAAAGTAAAGGAAAAATAAATCTATGATCTCTCAAAGAACTTTAAAATAATCAACAATTATTTTGAGTGGACAGGAAGGGATATACCCATGTATAGTTTTATCTTCACAAATGTTACACTGAAATTAACATATGCAGGAATATATAATTAAAAGATGAAAATGAGGCTTTAGCATGCATAATATTTTTAAACTTTCTATTAAATATATGTATGTTTACTGTATATAACAAATATCTTTGCATATCAATAAATATGGATCTGCATCCATAATAATCAGTGAGTAGCAAGACAACAGGCACAATTAGAGAAGCTCAAATGCAGAGACTCAGCAGCAGTTAAAATAACACTTCAGGTAAAACAATTTTTACCCATCTCTTCCTCCTCAAGTTGCAATTTCAGTTTTCAGTTGTCTATTTTGCAAGTGGCGTCAATAAAATGGCCTCAGTTCTCGCCCCTATTTCATCCAGAAATATATTCAATATTTGTGAAGGATACTCTGGGCTATTCGTGCCTTGCTCAGTCTATGAAGCGTGACTCTAAAGATATTTGGAAGCTTCTACACCAGTAGTCAGATGATGGCCAGTCTCTACTGTCCTCCTGAGGCAAGCATTTTAGGAGGCTATGGCCTTATCTCAGAGATTCTTCCTGGGCTCAAACCATTTAGGTGACTGCTCAAAGGTGTGTCTCTCCCAGAATTGAGCCCAGGGCTTGACACAGATGAGGTGCTTTTCAACATGTTTGATGAAAAAAACAAATATGTGGATATTCTTAGTGATACAACTCTTTAGCTATGAAAATGGCTGCAAGGTGTAATTCATTCAGTATAGCTCATCCCTCTGGGCAATATGATTTTTCCTAAGACAGGGGCTTATGCTTTAAATCAGAAGCTAGTTCTGTACAACTGACAGCAGCTATCTAGGATACTGTGTTGCAAAGAATTCCAAGGCTTTTCTGGGATAGGAGTAAGCTGGCCTGCGGTGCAGGAAGAGGCAATGACAGAGAGTGTACCACAGGCTGAGGGCTTGTGTTCTGAGTTGAACTATATGATTTTGGATTCTGGGTTTCCTTTTAAATACTGCCTAGTTGTGCGACTTTGAGTATGTGTCCTAACTTCTCTGTAACGGAATACTGTCTTTGTGAAATAGGGATGCTAAGAGTATGTATCTTGTAGAGTCTTGAAGGATAAAATGATGAAACCCACATACAGTGCTTAGCTCTGGCTCATGGCAGATGCTTGATGCGTGGCCCCAAGACCGCTGTGTCACCTGCCAATCCTGCTGTGACAGTGCAGATGATCACAAAACCTAAAGAAGATGGAAGCTGACAGAACCTAAGTTTCATTGTAAGACTTAAAGTAACAGTTCTGAAAGGAAAAGATAGCAACAGAATGTAGAAGAGCCTAGTATAGGAGATACTTTGTGGACCGGTTATTTGGAAAGGCACTAAAGTTGCAACTCTTGGCACAAACTAGTCATTTTTAGATTGGGAGGGATCATTCTTACTTGCCTCCGGCTGGGACATCTCTCTATTGGCGTGAGGATCGTACGGTCTACCTGGGTGTCTATTATCGATATCTGTTTTTGTCTGGTTCCATCCAGGCGAGAACAGTATTCCTTGTACTGTATGGTGCAGATGGAGAGAGCCGGAAGAGGGTGGGGATTCATGCAAGGTTTTGATTGGCTTTTACCTCACACATCCATTTCTCATATTTGACCGTGTCCACCTCATTTACCTTTGTCAAAAGCAAACCCAATGTTGAGAAAGTGAAATACCTGGAGATACTGTCATGTGAATCTAAGCTATCCATCCTGTGGGCTGTCTGTGGCCCCAAAGCTGCTCCTGGATGCTCGTCGATGGTGTCCAGGCCCGACTCCCTTGAAAGGTTCATGATGTGGTTCTGGTAGTACATGTGGATGCTCTCCCGTGTCGGAACGTTTCCCTGAGGAGAGGAGACAGGGCCACAGCTCTTAGGGGTGCTGACTGTGCAGCCACCCAGCATTTTTCAATCCAGACAACTCTGTGCCCACGCTTGCTTGGAGCAAGAATTAAAACCAAGGGAGGCAAGCTGGGGACTGAAGACAATTCATTTAATACATGGTTCCCACCAGGTCATCCTGAAAGAGAAATCCCTCCTTATATGTGGATAATGTTGCTCCATCATAGCAACTTTGCCACAAATGAACTATTATTTCTAAACAAAATCTTTAAACCATATATGAATATATTTTGTTGCTCTGTGTATGTACTAATTTTTCTTATGAGAGAAGTTTCAAACCTCCCAGACTAAAACTATAACTCCCTGGGTTGCACATCAAATTCAGGGGCTGATCACACCACACTTGTTTAACCTGCCTGGGAGGATCTAGAAAAGTGGCAGAATAATATGCTTCCATCTCGCCAGTTTTGTTTCATTGTACTGACAACCTCAGCCAGCATCACGGACCACGAAGAAACAAGAAGGAAACACACAGGAGGAAAAATCCTGGGATTCTTTTTCTAGGGATATAATACATATGAACAAACAAAAAACCTCGGTGGAAAAACAACAACAACAAAACTATAATCCCTTATAGGACAGGGTTATATACCTGAAAACTCTGGTGAGGGGAGAGGATAGGCTGAATAAACTAGTCATTATCCCAGGACTCTCTCTCTCTCTTTCTTTCTCTGTGTTTGTGTGTGTATGTGTGGAGTTGGATTATTTTAACTTTTAATTCAGAGCATGGCATAGTTTAAACATATAGAAAAGAAAGGGTTATGCAACAACTGCCTGGACAGAAAATATTTTGTCTTGTCCTACTGGGAGTTTTAGATACTGACTTTTAAAGTCTTTGTAATGTGGGAAGAAGCAAAATAGAATGATATGTACAGTGTTACCTTCTTAATTTCTCTGGTCAGCATGCATCTTTCAATTCTCAGAACCGTAGATATATCAATATGCTCCCTTGAAATGGAGTTGAGCCAAGTAGTGAAACTGTCCACGGTTGCCAGAAACAGGACCCAGGTAAATTTCAAAATATTAAATATCCTCTTGATGATATTATCTAGGAGGAAGAAAAGTACACGATTTCAAAGGAACAACATACTCCTCGTTTTTGCAGTCATGTAGCACAGTGGTGTTTTACCAAAGCCAGGCTGCCCCGTGTACCTAATGGGGTGTGGAGCGTCTGCTGCCCAGCAGGGCACAGCAGAGGACTGCCCAGTAAGAAGCTCTCTGTGGGGCTTTGCACACTAGCAGTGGCAAATCAAACCAGGAAATAATTTGTAAGCTTTGGCCGAGACGTCAATCAGAAGAGTCCACATACAGCTGACCCCGGAACAATGTGGATTTGAACTGTACAGGCCCCCTTATACATGGACTTTTTCAATAAAGGTTACACCAAGTGCGCCTTCCTCAACAGTCTCCCCCCACCCTGCACCTCTTCCCCTGAGATGCAAGGCCAGACCCTCCCCTTCTTTTCCCCCCTCAGTCTACACTGCATAAAGACAATGAGAATAAAGACTTTCATGATGATCTACTTCCACCTCATGGATGGTAAATATGTTCTCTTGCGTACAGTTTTCTTGATAACATTGTCTTTTCGCTAGCTTACTTTATTTTAAGAGTATAGTACATGATAGAAAATCTGTGTGAACTGACTGTTTATGTTATTGATAAGGTTTCTGGTCAACAGTAGGCTGTTAGTAAAGTTTTTGGGGAGTCAAAATTTATGTGAATTGTTGATGGCATGGGAGGGATAGGTGCCTATAACCACCGAGTTGTTCAAGGGTCAGTCGTAATATGTTTGACTAAAAGTAGAGATTGTATTCAAAGATATGTATGTCTGTTAATGAGTCAGTGATAGAAACAGTCTGTCTCTAGCCAACTGGATCCTTTAATGGATTTCTATCAGTTTCCTCTTTTCTTGAGTAAGCGTTGTTGGAAGCAACTCTCTTAGTTCAGTCATACATTGAAGCTGTCCATTTGCATTTCAGTTAAATCACCTTAAAGCTATTTTTGTAAAGAGCCCAAATACACAGACTGTGGGACTGTAAATCACTAAATTGTCTTCATCACATTTATTCTACTGAGCTGTGCTCACAACATTCTACACATGGGATCTTCCCAGACAACACAAGCCCTAAGATTCCTGATGTACTTGGGTTCTCTCCCTTTATTGTGGCTTGAGGATCCTGGGGAAAACGTGGTGTGGCACTGAGCCCACATCCCCACAGCATACATAATGCGGACACATTGCAGCACACACATCTCCCCAGCACCCTCAGAGATTCAGACATGGCCAATGGTCACTGACAAAGAGTAGAGAGTGTTCCACAGTGTTCCAATATTTTTGAAATATTATTTAGCCTTGAAAAGAAAAAAAAAAGGAAAGTCTGTCATTGTAACAGGGATGAACACAGAAGACATTATGGCAAATGAAATAAACAAGGCACAGAAAGATAAATACTGCATGACCTTACTTATATGTGAAATTTAAAACAAACTCATAGAAGCAGAGAGTTGAGTGGTGGCTACCAGGGGCCGGGGCAGGAAGAAATGGTGAAACAGGTCAGGAGTCAAAACTGGCCTCTGTGTGGGATGAGCAAGCCTAGAGACCTACTATGTGCAGCTTGACTGCTGCTAATATTATCGTATGGGACACCGGGGATTTGCAGAGAGTAGACTTTACATGCTTTTACCACACATGTGAGAAGGTGCCTGGAAGGCGATGGATAGGTCAACTTACTTGACTATAGTAATCACTTCACTATGTATATCAAAACAGCACGTTACACAGCTCAAACATATGCAATAAAAAGAAAACAAATAAAAGAGGGACAATATCACAGTAACTGTCTTACATATTTGTGTAAGCCAGTGGTTTTTCAACTGGTGTATCAGGAACCCTTGAAGACATGCCAAGTGAATTTTTCCATCCTTTAAAAAATTTAGTCACATCAACTATTTAAAACATTGACTTGAATAAAGTGAGTACTTGGTGAACATAATAATGAATTAAGAATTGCTTTGCTGTTTATTAAAAAAAACTAAAACCCATTAATGCCAACAACAAAAACAACTTATATTCTCCATTCGTTCCCCACCTCAAGAAAGGGAAAAAATGGTTCAAGTGTCTGTTTGTTAGCCAAGGATGATTTTTGTATTTTTAAGGGTTGAAATAAAATCAAAATAAGAGTATTGCATGACATATGAAAATTATGAAATTCAAATTTCAGTGCCCATTGGTAAAGTGTTACTGGAAACCCAGCCATGCCCATTCACAGACAGTTCATTCCTTGTCTGTGGCCTTCATGCCCAACTGCAGAATTGAGTGTTGTCCCAAAGAGAGTCTGGTTTGCAAAGCCAAAACTGTCGGCTGTCAGACCCTGTGCAGAAAGTTTATTGAGCCCTGCACAAGATCACAATGGCTTATGCCAGGGAATTTTGTCTTTTTCTATAGTCTGTGTTAATTATTTTAAACAATAAGAGTTGAGTTATAGTTTTGTTCTGCACTAGCTTGAATAGAACTCTAGCTGATTTGAAGACATAACAGGGAAGCTTGAGCCCTGGAGGGTAGAAGGAATACTTGGGGTTACACTGATCAATAGATTTTGGCAGTTCCTTATATTTTTAACAATTCATTTTTTCTCATGTTCATAATGATTCTCTTAGGGTTGATGAAGGTGAATATTATTTCTTTCTTTCTTTCTTTTTTTTTTTTTTGAGTTGGAGTCTCACTCCGTCGCCCCAGCTGGAGGGTAGTGGCTTGCTCACGGCCACCCCAGCGTCAATTTGCTGGGCTCCGGCGATCCTCCCGCCTCAGCCTTCCAAGTAGCTGGAACTACAGGCACGTACTACCACACCCAGCTAATTTTTTTATTTGTAGAAAGGAGGTCTCACCGAGTTGCCCGGGCTGGTCTCGAACCCGCAGGCTCAGGCAATCCACTCGCCTCAGCCTCCCAAAGTGCAGGGATGACAGGCTGAGCCACTGAACCCGGCCATGAATATTATTTCATAGTTTTGCTATGGTGGACCTGATGGTACAGCTAAGATTGCTGCCCAGAAGACATGAGTCAGATGCACTTTACTAACTCAGGTGATCGCAGGCCAATGTGGAAAAATCAGGATCTGAATTTTGATATTATTTATGTAGCCACGGGGCAGTAGAGCATCGTAGTTAGGAGCACTAACTTTGAATTCAGCTTCCAATGCCTCCTCTTTGTGTTCTAGATCTGGAAAAATTAATCTCTCTGCCTCAGTTTCCTTATCTGTCGAATGGGGTTTGAGGGGTTTAAACAAGTGAATGTGCCTAAAGCTCTCAGAAAAGTGTCTGGAAAACAAGATGTGCTGTCTGAAGTGTTGGTTATCATTATTATCATTTTGGGTAGAGACAGAGGTCTCGTGGTGTTGACCAGGTTGGTCTCAAATGGGCCCCAGGTGATCCTCCCACCTTGGCCTCCCAACGTGCTGGGACTATGGGAGTGAGCCACTGCATCTGGCTACTGCTATTGTTTTGCAAAGCTTTACAGCAATATTAACACCCAGCTCCACATATATGCGGGTCTAGTTACCTAGAAATGGATGTCTGGGTTTGAGTACTGGTACTGCAGAAAGCATTAGACAGTCTTCAGCAAGTCTCCTTTCCTGCCAGCAGAGGGCAGCCTTCGAAGCATATGCAGGGAGAGGCAAAGAGCCTGACAACTTGCCGGCTGAGAAATCATGTGTACAGATAAGCAGATGGAAAAAATGCCATGTCTAGAGATTCAGAGACCACTGAACTCATTTCACTCGGAGTCTTTGTTTTGCCTTTTTTTTTTCTTCCTGCATGGAGAAACCTTCCTCCAAATCACATGAGAAGCCCAAATGGCCTCATCACTGGGCCAGGATTCGGAGACAAGGGTTCTATCCCTGGCTCTGTCATTCACTTAGGAACTATGGAGTCCTGAAAAAGACACAGACTGTGACTTGGTTTCCCCTCCTAAAACGAGTACTTTGGCCCCAAGCTTCTAGAGTACCTTGCATTCCCACTTCTACTTTTCTTCCCTCTAATTCCTTCTCTCTGTGTTCTTTAAAATCAATCGCCAGTATTTTTCATGCCTCTATTCTGATGGCTTCCACAGGATATTCAAAATTTGCTCCCTAAAACCCCCTTTCATAGGTGTTTGCATAAAGAAATTTACAACTCGATGCTAATCCCACATTTCATCCAACTGCTTGTAAAGCCAGTTCTGCTCTTAGGAGTCACCTTGTAATTTCATTAGAGATGAGATTTCAAGGGACACTGGTTATTGATGCCACAGTCCAGAAACAGTGTTTGGTTTACTATTTTTCATGCAGCCTTCCATTATATACCGTCTGGGCAAGTGTCATTTTCAAGTTCCCACAGCTCCCATTTGTCTATTTTGTTACCTGGTCCATCAGATTTCTTTTTGATTGGTTCTTCCTCTCGCTCCCATTCCACGAGACCTGCCAAATGTGTTCAATAAAGACGAGTTAAGTTCCATTTAGGGTAAATTAAATGCCAACACCACTCTTTTAGATTAACAGGAATTTCATAATCAAAGTTAGGACATTCTGCCTATTCTGAGAGTTCCCGGGCAAACGCAGAAATAATTCCCAACTTTTAGATTCTCATGACTCTACTCCAGGATGAAAACCACATGATATGGGGCAGCTGAAAACATGGGAGTTCGGAATGGCTTTTGTATTTTTAGTGGTTAAAAAAAATCTAAAGGAGAGTAATATTTTTTTGCATGTGGAAATTATACAAAATGCAAATGTTAGTGGAAAGGAACCATGCTCATCTGTGTGTTGTCTGTGATTGCTCTCGTCTTTCATGACACATCGTGGATGACAGAGCTTAAAATATTTACTGTCCGTCCCTTTACAGAAAAGTTTCTTCTATCGTGAAATGATTTCATAGGATTTAACTTTATTTTTTATCCTCTTACTCAAGGCTAAAATGGTCAGATTTAAATTTGAATTAAAGATAAACAAGGATTTTTTGTAGTATAAGTATGTTACATGAAATATGACCAAATTATACTTAAGCTAAACATTATTTATTGTAACCTAAAAAAATTCAACATCAACTGGACTTCTTGTATTGTATATGGCAACTCTATCTAAGACCATTTGTGATCTGATCCCAGTTAATCTTTACAAATTTGTTCTCTGTTTTCCTCTTTCCTACTACTGTTTCACATCTTGTCTTTACCAGATAAGCTGATCTACAATTTATTTTTCATACCTGGCCTGCTTCCTTCTGTCAGAATGTCAGGCTCTTTGCAAAAATCTAATTTTTTCAGGAAGTATTATCTGACAAGCTTGGCTACAAGAAATCCTTTGTCCTCCTCTTCCCCCTCTATTTTATCTATCCTTATTTTTTCAAATGGAACTTCACAGTTTCTATGTCATCGGGATTTTTTTTCTATACTATTTTATCTATCCTTATTTTTAAAATGGAACTTTGCAGTTTCTTTGTCATTGGGATTTTCTTTCTTTTTAAAAAATTATATATATTTTTTTATTTTAAAGTTGTAGGGTACAGTTAAGGTTTAGGTATGCAAATATTCATTGTGCAGGTACCCTTATTGATGAGGTGTGCCCTCCCCTTCCCCAGACAGATACAGACTGCCGTTAATCCCACATCCTTGCCTCTCCCTGCACCCCTCTTCATAGTTTCCTGCCACTGTCAATCCAATTTTTTTTTCTACACTTGTCTTTGCTACTGGTTAAGATAGGATGTCCTGGTAGGAATTCCAGACCCACTACTCACTGAATGACTTTGTGACCTTGGGCAAGTTGCTTTACTCTCTGGGAACTTATTTCCTCATGAGTACAGCAGGGTTAATAAAATGCCTCTGGGATGTTGTAAGATCAGATCAGATGAGCTACTACAGTATACATACAGCACTATGACAGCACCTGGCACTTCAGAAGGACAGAATCTATGTGCTTTATCCGTTTGAAAAGAACTTGGAAGAAATGATGCCTCGTGTAAGAAGGTGCTGAATAAATATTTATTAAAAGAATATCGGCCAGGCTCGGTGGCTCAGTCTGTCATTCAAGCACTTTGGGAGGCTGAGGCTAGTGGATTGCCTGAGCCTGCCAGTTCGAGACCTGCTCGGACAACTTGGTGAGACCTCGTCTCTACAATAAGTCAAAAATTAGCCGGGCGTGGCAGCGCATGCCTATAGTTCCAGCAACTTGGAAGGTTGAGGTGGGAGGATTAATGGAGCCCAGTGGGTTGACACTGGGGTGGCCATGAGCAGAATGCCACTGCACTCCAGCCTGGGTGACAGAGTGAGACTCCAATTCAAAAAAAAGAAAGAAAGAAAGAAAAAAGAATATCTTTAAAGTATTGCTGTCTTTGATTTGTAGGTGCATCTACACATGAAACTAATCTTCATCACATAGAGTCATGAGCTATTTTTAAGATGACTAAAGAACAAATTCTTATAACTGGACAAAAAATTTTGGAAGAACAAATGTCTGAGAATATCAAATTTGGAAAGAAAAAAAGTAGCGAGGTGAGTTTGTCTCACTAAACATTAAAACTAACTCTGGCTACTAAACTCAACAGTATATGTCATTGGTCCAGAGCTTGACAACACGAGAGTAGAGCAGAAAAGAGACTGAAAAAATTCAACAAAGAATAAACGGGAGCATAATATTGACAAAAGAAGCATTAAAATCCAATAGAGAAATGAAGACATTTAATAAATAAGGATAACATAATTGAGCCGGGCTTGGTGGCTCAGCCTGTAATCCCGCGCCTTTGGGAGGCTGAGGTGAGTGGATTGCCTGAGCCCGCGGGTTTGAGACCCGCCTGGGCGGCGAGACTTCATCTCTACAATAAACCAAAAAATCGGCCGGGCGTGGTAGCGCATGCCTGTAATTCTGGCTACTTGGAAGGCTGAGGTCGAAGGATCGCTGGAGCCCAGCAGGCGAGGCTGCGGTGGCCGGGAGCGGCCACTGCACTCCAGTCTGGGCGACAGAGTGAGACTCCAACTCAAAAAAAAAATAAAAAAATAAAAAGATAACATAATTGTTTGAAGTCAACAAATCAGATCTCTAACTTGTAGAATAATAAAAAATTCAAGATGTAAATAAAATTAGTAGGAATTATAGGAAAGCATTTGCCTAATATTTGGGAGGAGAAACTTTCTTAAGCAAGATGGAATCCTAGAAACTACAAGGAGAAATTTAGACTTATTGGACATCAGAAAAAAACTAATAACTGAATAGATCACAAACAGCATAAACTAAATCAAAATATAAGCATTAATTTGGAAAAAATATTTGTGACACATGAAAAAATGTTAATAAGCCTAACATATAAATAGTCTAAATTGGTAAAAAAAAAAAAAAATGAACAAACAACCCATAGAATTATGTAGAAAATGAGAAAAAGTGTTTCAATCTTAGACTTGGAAGTAGAAATTACCAATAAAATGTGAACTAAACAATGCTCAGTTTTATTTTATTTATTGATTTATTTTTTTGAGTTGGAGTCTCACTCTGTTGCCCAGGCTGGAGTGTAGTGCCACTCACGGCCACCCCAGCGTCGACCTGCTGGGTTTCAACAATCCTCCCGCCTCAGCCTTCCAGGTAGCTGGAACTACAAGCGTGCACTACCACACACAGCTAATTTTTGATTTATTGTAGAGAAGAGGTCTTGCCGAGTTGCCCAGACTGTTCTTGAACCCATGTGCTCAGGCAATCCACTCTCCCTGGCCTCCCAAAGTGCCAGGATTACAGCCTGAGTCACCGGGCCCAGTCACTCAGTTTTATTAATTAGGAATCAACTACATTCAAATGAAAATAAAAGTCATTTGTCATCCCTCAGAAAGACAAACGATAAAAAGAACAGTAACATCTTGTGGTATGAGGCTAAAGGAAAATGGGCAGTCCTATGCCTAACACAGAGAAGTATAAATGACTAAAACGTTTTGGAAAATGTCTACTAAAATAAAAAGAGGCACACCCTTCAACTCAGTAATCCCACTTTTAAGGAACTATTCTATGGAAAGTGCATATTCCTCATAACTTTTGCTAGACATTTAAATACACACACACGTATGACTGCATACAAATGTGTGTGCAAGGATATCTATATAGCATTGCTCACTGTGGCAAAAATCTGGAAGCAACCTTTACATCCATTAAGGATGGAATAGTTGAATAAATTATGCATAATTCTACTACAGACTATTTTGCAGCTATTAAAAAAGAATGATATGGTTTTATAAATACTTAATTGAAGAGATGTTCATGATATATTGTTAATGAAAATACAAGAGTAATATGTAGAGTGTGAACTTATTTAGAAAAAAATAAAGCAAACAACCTGTAAACATGTGAGAAAAGGAATGAATGTGTTAAGATTTGTTCGCTACTTAGAGGCTGACTTTTGATGGGATAGATTGGGACAGAGTTTGGCTTGTTCTAGCGGTGGTTGAGTGTCAATTTTGTCTTTTGAAAGCAATAAAATAAAACAAATGTAAAGTTATTAGGAGGTATCTGGGGGAGATCAAAAAGAAGAGAGAATTTGGAGTTCCATTAGAAATTACATTTGCCTTTTTTTTTAATGCCTTTTAAACTTCACAAGCAATATATAGATACATTTCCTTTGTAAAGGCCAAAAATATAACAGATGGTCCTAAAGTTCCCTATAGTAACACCACTTAATCTCCACTTTCTCAAGAAGAAACCACTGTTATTAATAAGTTACGTTTTCTTCCTGACCTTTCTCTTGCATTTGTACACTATTATATATACACTCATTAAAAATGCAAACTTTTGCAATGTGTTGTGCTTCACTTAACAATGTGTCAGGAATTGTTCTCCATGTCAGTTCAAAGTTATCCGTCTCATTTTTTTAAAATTAAAAAATATAGTTTATTTAAAAGTAGATTAGAGAGAGAGAGAGAGAGAGAGAGAGAGAGAGAGAGGATTCGCCTCCCCAAGGCACAGGAGGAAGCCAAATACAGGAAGCAGGGCGACAGTCATAGCTCAAAGAGCACGGTGGCCACACCAGAATCTAGTAAGGCAATGGCCCCATTTCATTTTTAAACTATCAAACAATATTCCATAATACTGTGGTAACAATTTATTCGACTCTTCTTTATATGGACATTTAGGATATTTCCAAATTTTTGTTATTAACAGATACTGCCTGATGGATATTCTTAGACATGTGTGTTCATGTACATGTGCTGAGTATTGCTTCAGGCTAAGTCACACATCTAGAAGTGGGATTGTTCTATAGTATGACACGTAGCATTTAAACTTTCAGTAGAAATTGACAACTCTCCAAAGTGGATATACCACTTTACTACACCATTCATGGTAGGTGCAAGTATTTATCTTCCCACCAGCTTCTGAACAGCGAATATTATCAAATGTTTAGGTTCTTGCCAATCCAATAGGTCAAATAACAGTATGTAAACATATTTAGTTTGTGTTTCTTGTATTACTATTGAGGCTGAGCATCTTTGGGTCATTTGTGGTTTCTGGTCTATGAATTGTTTTTCATATCTTTTCAATAATTGGGTTGAATTTCTCTCTTATTGATTTTTAGGACTTCCAGAATACTAATCTTTAGTCTAATATATATTATAAAAATATTATTCCTGAAAATACCACTTGCACTTCAAACTGGCTTTTTGTTGTTGTAGTTTGCAATAATTTCCCCCTTAGATATGTGTTTATATCATGTGTTTTCAAATATATTGGTATAATGTTGAGTATAGTGTTGCAAGTCATACTGCATTACTTTGTTTCTGAATATTGTTTAAGCATGCTTTCCTTTTTATTCATGATTAAATTGTCAGAGGTTCATCTTTCTTACTGGCTTTTTCAAGAACAGTTTTTAACTTAATGATTAGGTCTTATATTTCTTTTTTATTATACTTAATATTTGCTTAAAAGTAATCTTTTTCTTTCACTTTCTATGGGTTTAGTTTGCAACTCTTCTTTTCCAATATATATGGAAATATATATATAATATATATAAGATATATGTTTTTTCATATATGTATATATATATATTCCCATATATAAGTGTGTGTGTGTGTGTGTGTGTATACATAAATTCATGTTTTAATTTATTCCAAGTGTCAGATATGAACAATTAAGGACAAATTAAAACTCTTTGTTCTCTTTAGAACTTTTATCACTAGAAAGCTTCTCCCCCATATTAGGACCACAGGCACCAGCCACACCCATGTCATCCCCCGACACTCACCCTCCCCAGATCCTTTTCGTCTTCCTTTCTGTTCTCTTGTAGACCTTTTTTTCTCTTTACGTCTCTGTCGGAGTGCTGTTTTAGGGTCAGTAATCCAGGCTTGATAAACAAACTGAAGTGAGAAATTTCAATTATTTTTTGGCCTCTTAATAATTTGAAATGAAAAGAAAAGAACCTACACCAGGCTTTCTGACTTTCGGAAGTGTTTTTTTTTTTTTTTCCTCTCCCAATACAAACTAAATATACCTCTGCTATTTTCATTTTCATGAGACAAAATTCTAAAAATAGCTGTGTAGGAATATATTTTATTTGGTATCACAGATATCATGAAATAAACTTTGGATATATCATACAAACCATTGTCCCAAGTCCCCAGATACCACCACCATTTTTGATACTTGGTTACTGATTCCTTTGCGCTGTACACAATGGGAGCAAGCTGGAAACCTCACTGAATATCATTCTTACTTTCTCCCATCACCAAAAACATAGAGTCAAAAGCAAAACAACATCTCTAATAGTCTTATTTACTTTGGGAAAACAGTTTTATGCATTCGAGGCTTTGTCTTGTGAATAACAGCTATTACCAGCAACTTGAGAAAGGGATTTGCAGATTGATTAGTATTTTGAAAGAAAAATAATGTGGTATTCAGGTTAAAAAGTTATTTCAGAATAGTATGGAAGGAGGATTGTGGTGCTTTTGGTTGTCTTTTTACTGTTTTCATTCAAGAGCTGAAAATAGTTGCATTAATGTATTCCAACTGTTCGCCAGGAAAGAGTAAACATCTCCCAAACATCTCCCAAATCATGCAAAAAGAACAGAAAGAACACTTTGATGTATAAAGTCAGCCATCTAGAGTCATGAAGCCAAGCAGGCATGCACTTCATGCACTACAAACACACTTGGGTCTCAGGGAAGCTGGGTTTTCCATTATGATGACAAAGTTAAATACATGTGTTCCGGGAGCTCTTATAAACCCAGATCTTTTTCATTTTATTCTATATTATTTTCAGATTTCTGAAATCTTTGGAAAAACACAGTATAAGTAAACCAGTGGCATTGAGATGCCAGTAGAAAATAAAGAGGAATTCAACTTTTCCATATATGGAAACGTAAGGGTCATAGGTTACTAAGAAAAAACATTTCTGTTTTTTTTTCCCCTCACTGGTAGAAATCTGAATCTTATAGGCAATTAGCACAAAGACAGTGTATGTATTATTTCTGAATAACAGATCCAGGAGGAAAAATATTCTATTTTATTCCAAAACATGTTTTAAACAATGTGAGGATGAATTGGACTTAAAAGAAGGACTGGATATAAAGAAATTTAAAGTTAATATTTATTACATGTGTTAAATTGGAAATCTATCTATCAATAATATCTCTGGAGCATAGTACATTAGCAAGCAAACTTGTTTCAGCACAATATTGGCTGTTTTAAAAGAATCTGAACTACTAAATGTAAGAAATTTTCAGAAGCCAGGCTCAGTGGCTCAGCCTGTAATCCCAGTGCTTTGGGAGGCTGAGGTGAGTGGATTGCCTGAGCCCGTGGGTTCGAGACACTCCTGGGCAATTTGGTGAGACCTCATCTCTACAATAAAAAAAAAAAAAATTAGCCAGGCGCCTGTAGTTCCAGTTACTTGGAAGGCTGAGGCGGAAGGATTGCAGGAGCCCAGCAGGTCGAGGCTGTGGTGACCGGGAGTGGCCACTGCACTCCAGTCTGGGAGACAGAGTGAGACTCCAACTCAAAAAAAAAGGAATTTTCAGGTTTAAGAGCAACATGTGGTGACATTTCCTTCAAAAACATGTGACTGCAATATTGCTTTTAGATTATGCAAAAAGTCCCAAACATGGAACATTAAAAATGGAGGCTCTGTGAGTTGTACAAGTTGGAGGAAAACTTTTGCTCTGAAGAAAAGGGAATGTCTGAGAAGAGCAAGGAGAAGAGAGGAAAGGGGTGAGCAGACAGAATTGAAGAAGTCTTGTAGGCAGGCTGGTACCACCAACAACTGGACATGGTAAAAGGGCACTCCTGGTCTACACAGGACCCCTAGACGATGGAGCCTACCAGTGCCGACTCACGAGATGAGAATTTTGACAATGCAAGTAAGCCAGGGAGGGGAGGAAGCCATGTGGTCAATCCTTATTAGAACACGAATTGTCTGAACGTCGATGTCTTGAAATACAAACATTTTACAGTTCCAGGAACATTGACAGAGGATCAGAGCAAAGTTGGTAACGAAGGAGGAGGAGAAAACGTCCTGATCCTTAGTGAGTCAGAAATGGAAGGTTCTGACTGAAATTTCCAGTTCTCACTTGGTAACTGTAACTGTCACCCAGCTAGATGAGTCTCTCTGAGGAACCAGACACAAGCACCGCTAACCACAAGTAGAAAAATACATGGAGATGTACATAAAAGACCTTTGGGTTGGCAAAACAGTCACTACCACTAGGGTGTGTTCACAACTTTATCTTAAATCTTATCACATAAGTTAGGGAGAATGGGATTCATTTTACTGAAAACCTATTAAGCAAAAATGCATTATTTTTAAAAACAGGGTGAGCTTTATTGAAGTAGGGATCTGAAATTGAAATTGGTGAGCTTTCATAATCTGTTCTTTAATTCAGGTGTGGTCTAGCACCTTTTTTATGTTGTCTGTAAAAAGATGGTTTTTTTAAAAAGATTAAGATGGGTAATAGTTACATTGTCATCTTTCATTTAAATAAATTAGTAGATATGAATTGAGAGCGTCATATAGCATACACATAAAAGAAAAAGAATCTCTGGGAAGCAGCAACAAATAAATATTAAACTAAAAATCCAAATCCTGGCATTTTAAAAATGGAAGGGTCCTACTATGTAGGCAAACCTACAACTATGCCACCCCTGGGAGCTTGGGAGATATGCAGAATTTCCAGTCCCACGGGACACGCTGGGTCAGAACCTGCATTTAAGTAAGATCCCCAGGTAAAATGTGAGAAGCACTGGTCTCCGTCCCTATCCAAACCATTTGCTTAACACTGGAGGGACATAAAGATCAAAAGGTTTAGCCAGGCTCGGTGGCTCAGCCTGTAATCCCGCGCCTTTGGGAGGCTGAGGTGAGTGGATTGCCTGAGCCCGCGGGTTTGAGACCCGTCTGGGCAACTTGGCAAGACCTCATCTCTACAATAAATCAAAAATTATCCAGGTGTGGTAGCGCGCGCCTGTAGTTCCAGCTGCTCGGAAGGCGGAGGCAGAAGGATCGCCAGAGCCCGCAGGTCGAGGCTGCGGTGGCCGGGAGTGGCCACTGCACTCCAGTCTGGGTGACAGAGTGAGACTCCAACTCAAAAAAAAAAAAAGATCAAAAGGTTTTAGTGAGTTTAGGAGAAAGAGCTGTCCACAAAATATGAGAATAGTGATTCATTATTTATAGTTTTCCATAAGGAAGTGACTGTAGCATAGGTAGCTGAATAACTTCAATTGTGCATTAGATTAATCAACAAACACTTTTTAGCAGTTTATTCAAAAGCTTATTCATGGATCCCCTGGGAGGTAGGAGCTACACAGACTGTGTTGGGCAGAACAGCCCAGAGAGGAGCCAGCTGGACTGAACTCAGAAACTTGAAGATGGAGACCAAAAGGGAGCGGAAAAAGAGGTGGAGTCAAAGGAGTCTTTCATTCGCTTACCCAGAATTTTACCAGCTTTCTGAGAGAAATTATCATACTTTTTACTTATCATAACTGATGCATGCAAACAGATATGACCCTTTTAAAATGAGATGTGACTTAGGCAAAACTATGAGAAGGACAGAGAGTATACGTGTGTCTGCATTTTCTCCTTCTATTTTTTGAGAGTTTCTGGTGTCTGTTTTTAAAAAAAAAGTCAATAAGAAATTGGTTTCTAAGAACTCTTTTTAGAAAAGTTTTGCTAACACTTTGAATTCTTATAATTCCTTCATAGCATGATCTATAGAACAAAGAAAATGCAGAGATCGGGCAATGGGGATATGTCCATCTAAAGTTCTACAGAGCAGAAAGTCACATACTACACATCAGTAAAACATCAAATACCTTTGCAGCTCTGATTAAATACTGAAGAATAGTTTTGGGAAGTTTAATGACAGACTTTGGCAAGGCTAAAATGGCTGATGCAAACTTCCCAATAGCTCTCTACAAAGAAGGACAAAGCAAGAGTAATTAGTAGAAAAAAACCCAAAAATTAGTAATTTAACATATGATGTCAGTATGAGTTTGTCTCTAGAATTATACCAACTGGGTTAAAACGTGCCAATCACTGAAGCTAGAACAAAATGTGCTTTGCTTGTAAGTTAGGAACAAAGAAAATAGTCAATTATCACATGTACTCCATCCAACATGGTAAAGATGATCATGTTCTCTCCTTTTCTGCATGATAAGTGGTGGTTAGAATAAAACTCATTAGGAGAAAAATAACAAAAAATGAGTTAAGTCATTAGTATTTGACAAGTCAGCTATGCACATGCACACAAACTCAGTTATCAAGAAACACACACAGTGAGTAATGGGACCAGTAAGAAAGCATCAGATCAAAGTGTCCCCATCCATTATTCAGTTTTTCAATGCCATTGGGAAGACGTGGGTGGATGAAACCTGCCCACTTGAAAAAGCCTGGCCATCAAAGTGACAATGGCCTTATCATGGCTTCATGGATATTATTCTATGTGCCTCAGAGGGTAGCAAATGGGAGCTAATAGTCCCAATATGTTCACTCATAAAGGAAACATATACTTGGATCAAACATATACCAGGATCAAGGTCAGTGCCACCAACCTTCTACTTCACTTTATACTGTGCAGACCTGGCTTCTCCACATGTAACACAAGAGACCAAACATACATGGCAAGACATTTAAAAGAGTTTAAAAGAGACAAACACATTGCCACGAGGGAGAAACAGGTAGGTAACACTATAAACAAAATGAAACAAAACACAACAACAAAGCTTCATCTTTAACAAGCCTTGAGTACACACATTCAGTGGATATGCTGCATTAGGGTGGTGAGCTATAGCTTGGAATGAGATAGCAGGTTCTGGAACAGAAAGATAGTTAAACTGAAAGAATCAGACCTGGGTCAGATATTTTTAATATTACTTCAATAATTCTCAAGTCTTTATCAGCATAAATGAAACTGATTTTCAAAAATTTGAAGCAACATTTAAAACAAAACAAAGCAAGGATTTTACTTTTAAGGACAACTATTTTACATATTGAAATGTACATCCATTCAGGCAAACCAAAGCAACGCCAGAGAAGTCTTCTTCATCTCTTACTTAAAACAGAAAAATAGAGTGCACCCAGTAAAGCTTCATTTTTTGTTTATAGTGTCAGCAAATGTTTTGGCATAAGCGAATGAAGCCTGAACCGCACACGGTTCTTGCATGGCAGCATCTTGCTGAGACAGAGCAGCATCACAGTTTAATTAGAAATAAACAATTTCAGATGTCAATCAGAGTCTTCTGGGAACTATGACATATAAATATGATGGGGGGAATCTAGGTCTGCAGTCGAGGTCTGTCAATAAGAGAATCTCTTCCAACCAGCAAAGGTTGTGACTTTCCCCAACCTTATAATTACCTGGAATGCTGACCTTCGTGGTGGCTCTTCATCTTCCTTCTTTAATTCTTCCTCTTCTTCCTCTTCACTATCCGTTTCAAACAAATAATAATCTCCACTCCTGACCACTAAGCAAAACAAAATATTTACTTATTTCTTGAAAAAGAAATGAGAAAACTGGGGCTTATTAATGAAATGCCCCCTAAAGATACACAAATTATTCATAAGAGGACACAGCGAGAAATGTTGGCAGGGAGAAAGAAACAAGAGATGACTGGAATTCATCTTAGGCTAATGCTATGTGGTGTTGGCATGTTGGGTCCACAGAATATGAGGCCTTGTCTATGCCATGTAAGAGAACTGGCCACTACAGGGTTGATATTGATTTTTCTCCCTTCTTCATTATAAATTTTGTATAGATGAATCAGATCAACTCTGCAGCAATGAGTTTTGTGACCAAGATGACCACAATAACTGAAAATAATCATTTCATAATTCAGCAATTCTGGTCCTTTAGACAAGGCCAAAGTGAAGTAGAGGATTTGGCATTGTCTGTGTGAGCCCAAACGAGTGTAGATAAGCCAATCAGGAGGATTCAGGATCAAGGTCAGTGCCACCAACCTTCTACTTCACTTTATACTCTGCAGACCTGGCTTCTCCACATGTAACACAAGGGACCAAACATACATGGCAAGACATTTTAAAGAGTTTAAAAGAGACAAACACATTGCCACGAGAGGGAAACAGGTAGGTAACACTAAAAACAAAACAAAACACAACACAATGACAACGACAACAAAAACGTCACCACCAACACTCTGGCTGCTTCTACATGTAGTCACCCTGGGACAGACTGAGAGCAGCAGACAGGGTCCACATGGTTAGGTAGTGTTAGGCTTCTGGTCAACAAGAAACTCCCCAGTAGCTTACTGGAATTTGAGGAGCACCACACTGACCACAAGACAAAGCGTAAACAGCATGAATTGTCTTTGCCTTGTCTGGTATTTTCCCTGCCTGTGCAAGAGTTGAGAGCAGAGAGAACTAAAACGTTCAGAGATTGAAAGAAATTTGAGACATGAAATATTTACCAGTTTCATGGTTATTTGAAGTCTATCAGAGAAAAGAGACCTGGCTTATACATTTCTGATACTACAAGAAATGTACCATCATTGAGGAAAACGTATTCGTATTTACAAATTACATTCAAGCTTTCAAATGCTGAGGCATCTTTTGGATGACATATCGTGATGTCTTAAGTTATCTTTTGGACTTACACATTGTAAGGTAATGGAAAACCTTGGCTTTTAAAAAATTAGTTGCTTGAATATCACTACATATGGTCAAAAGTTAAGTAATTTTGCCCTTGATTTCAGATGGATGTGAAGCCTCCATTCATGAAGATACAGAGTGAATGAATTGGGCCTTATATCCTTGAACAGAAGCACTGTAACTTGTTATTTTATTCTGAAGAAAGAACCAGACCCAGAGTACTGGGTCCAGGCCCAAGGAAATAAATGCGATATAACATAAGGTAAGAATAAGCAAGAACAAATCAAAGTTACAGCATTACATTTGACAGTGAGGAAGACCATTAAAGTAATGCCTTCATGTAAGCTGAGAGATTTGCAGGAAAGTTACGTGGTCTCTATTATGTGGTCATTTGGGAAAAACACAGAGTATCATAAGATTGGGCATTTTACCCTCATTATAGGATCTCAAATCAACAATAGCTTAAATCTTATTCAATCATACCTTCTATGACCCTTATTCGTATGGACGAACACAAAAGTTTTTCATTTCAAGCAGTTATAACATTGATTTTATCATCACCAATTTTTGCATGAGCAAATGGAATTAATACATAATAAAGAAAATGTGAAAAAGGTCTCTTATTTCTTTATCAAACGTTATCAAAACAAAACAGGAAAATAACAGAGAATAGTTTCTTTAGTGTCTTCTGCTAGTAAGAAGTAGAAAAGCTCTTACACATATGTTTATTAGCTCAGCTGGAGATACCGTCTCCAGCCTGTGTTCACATACATATCACAAATGTAGATGTGATTGATGAATTACTGAGTGTTAAATTAACTTTTTAAATCATACCACTTGTCCGGACGCAGTGGCTCAAGTCTGTAATCCCAGCACTTTGGGAGGCCGAGGTGAAGGGATTGCCTGAGCCCACAGGTTTGAGAACAGTCTGGGCAACATGGTGAGACCTCATCTCTACAATAAGTCAAAAAATTAGCTGGGCATGTAGCGTATGCCTGGAGTTCTGGCTACTTGGAAGGCTGAGGTAGAAGGATCACCAGAGCCCAGCAGGTCGATGCAGGGGTGACCGAGAGCATGCCACTCCAACTCCAAAAATAGACAAACAAATCACATCACTTGTGTCCTCAGAACTTGGCCCTTTATTTCAGATATTTAGGTATAAGGCAGGGCTTTATATTTGTTTAGGCAGTACTGAATTGATTTGGAAACACACAAAACTAGAATGGAAGGCATCATTGAACAGCAATAATGCAATCGTATGTGTGCACATAGGAATGGAAGTAGGAGATTTGTCAGCTATAGACCGGTGTGATATCCTGACTGCTTACCAATAACATCAGTAACATAGCAACATTTTTATACTGTTGGTAGATTTACATATCTACACTTATACTCAGCATCTCTAAGAAATATCTCTTTGAAAGTCCAGTAATTCAAGAGAACCGAATAAGGGCTTTTAATAAAATATTTCTAGATCTAAAGATAAATTCTGGGACTCATCATAGACTAAAAAAGAAAAGCACACACATTCTTTCCCTTTTGTTCCTCACAAGCTGTTAAAAAGAAAAAAATTTTGCAGAAAAATTAACACTATAGTCAGAATATGATTCCAAACTATGAATTACACACATCCCTGCATTATTGCATCATAAGGTATTGTAACAAGGCATATTTAGTTTAATATCAGTCTTCAAGAACTTGATATAATGAGGGTGAAATGAATAGGACAATATAAAGTCAATAACCATTATAGTAAGGTTTTAAAATTATTATCAACTTGGAAGATAATTATCAAAGACCATATCCAATTCCTTCAAAACTGCAATGTTTAGAAAAGAATAGGAGATACAACCACAAATATTGCAATGGGAATTTATCCCACGTGAAGTGATAAAACATCCAATAAGACACACAATTTTGAAATGGATAGGTCTCTCTAAACTAGCAAAGGCCCTTTCAAAACAGAAAGACAGGCACAGTTTGCTTGTGACTTGATAGAAACAGGCATCTAGGGCACAGATTGTTTGCATGACTAACACGCTCTGAACAGTAAAAGGAAGAGACATACTTAGTTTCAACTGAAATTTTTGTCTTTGGACTTGGCCAGAAAATTAAATGTAACTCTTTATAGCTCATACATTTCCTTTTTTGTTTTTTGCCATAATGCTGACATTCAATATTTAGTTTTAAGTTTAATTGCACGCAGATATACTGAGCAAATTTCAAATATTGCTTTTTGAAGCTAGCTTGTTGATTTAGAAAATTGTTGTGGGGGCTGAGAGAGGCCAATACCAGCTCTATGTGAAACTAAGAATTAGACATGGGCAAAACTTCTGATTTATTCAATTTCCTAGTGATTCTGAATATCCTCTTATAGAGTCCCTCTTATTGCATGACATTATGTGCCTTGTTAATACTCTTTGTCTGATTAGTTTAGCTGCAGGTATGGAGACAGTACAAGGTATAAAAGACTGAAGACATTACAAATGACTTGCAAATAATAATTACTCAATATTCTAACAAAGTTAAGGGGGACTAGATTGAAACGGGCTCTCCATTATAATGTGATAGGCCAACTGTGATGTCTTCTTTGCTGAACAGAACAAGTATAGCCACTGAGTTCCATAATTCCTCATATGTTTTTATGATCAGCTGGGAAACACTCTACTTTCTGTGTGGCTATCGAGATATGCTTTTCAAAATAGTTTTTTGATTTTTGCTGTTAACTGATCATCTCTGAGTGCAAGTGGTTTGGAGGCTGTGCCCCATGCTGGGCATAGGAATTTGGAATGCAATTTTAGAGCCTTTTTGGAACCGGGGAGGAGGAAAAGTGAGAGAGTATATGCATTTTAAGTTATCCTTCAACTTTATGGTGAATAAATTGCCAAAAATCCTTAAATGCAAATAAAAAACAAAGCTGTAGGAATGAGGATAGGGGAGGCTCATTGGCATCCATGCCTAGTGCCTTACAAAGAGGGTCACCAATACTTTGAACATAATAATCTTCCTTAAAACAGAGTCCAAGGAGGAGCCAAAACTCATTGTTAGTAGGGATTTTTAGCCATAAAACAAATACATATAAGCAGAGCTCTAGACCTCAGAATTGGATAATTATTGAATTTTCTTCCCATTTGGAGCCCATAAATTGTGCTCAAGAGTCTGTAAGACACGTGTGTGGTTTTCTTTAGCCAGCACGGGAGTCAGCTGATGTCTCTGGACAAATCGGTCCTTGGGCTCAGAGACCCACTGACATGACAGTTTCCCTACACTTTGACCCCCTATCAAGTCACAAGGATCAAACCATGCATGGAACACATGGGTCATAGGAACGCCTGAATTCTGGTCAAGGATATAAGGGTTAGAATCGATGAGGTTGTAAGAGGATCAAGAAAACCTACTGGAAGCATGATCAACCCAAGGCCGCCACCACTGCTTTTTTTTGCCCTTGGCTTTCTGTTTGTCTGCTTCTCCTAAAATAAAATATGTCCAAACATTAATTCTTATAAAGTGAGAAAACAGATTTTGAAAACCACGCTTTAATAACTCAATTTTCAAATACATCAGAGGTCAGGAAAAGGAACTATACTATACATGTTTTAACAGTCAATTTTTCATGATAAATACTAACTGTCCTTTTAATAGTATGCTATATTTTTACTTTCTTCTTAGTAACTGAGGGCATATAAAAATATACTAAAAAAGAATTTTCTTTCAAAATGCATCACACATTGGGTTTTCCATTGATTAACAGAAACACTGCACAAATTGTATAGAATCATTTAGTGGCAAACAATTTGTTAAAATACATAAATTTTAATAGCCAGTGTTTTTGTGACTATTTTAATGCATGGTTGAAAAATATAAATTTACTGTAATGAATAGGTACTCTGTACTGGAAAAATATCATGCATTCTTTCTCCATTCCCTTCAAACAGAAAAGCAAGCAAGCCTCTAGAAGAAGATTGCTTACACTTCAATTGAATATAATAATATATGATTAGATATAATAAATATATATTTCATGATACATTTCATTGCAACAAGCAATAATTGAATAATATTTTAGTTACCAACATTTAAGTGCTATACAAAATATGCATATATATTTCAATTTCATATAAAATTTATAGAAATAAAAGAGAACAGTAGGCTGCCTATCTTAAGCACATTCCCTAAAGGAATGTATTAAATAAAATCATGTTTGCGAAAAGAGCTAGGTTGTTTGTTTGTTAAAGCCACCTTGCTGGAGAGTTTATACTCATAAAGTCATCAATTCATCAAACATGTACTTCATGAAACAAATGAACTCATCCCATTCACCACGGGAACATAAAACTTTCTGAGTTAAAGAATACATTGAGAATATTGGCAGAGTGATAAGTAATGTTGTTTTACAACCCTACCCCATATCATACTGTTATTCAATGCCAAGGTACTTGAATAAAAGAAAAATGTCTCAACGTACTTTCATCATCCTCTTCAGAGAGTTTTTGGATGTCCTGGCCTTCCCCTGACTCCTGGGTCAAGCTCAGCATCCTCTCCTTACCCTTTTTGTATTTCTGTTGTCTGGCCTTGATGCGATCCATCCTACAAAATAAAACAGCATCAGTAATGCCAAGAACACATCTATAGTTATCATATAGTCGGTATTTTGGACTTATCTTGTTATGTATAAAGCTAAAATCATGGACAAAGTGGTCGATTTACTTTGGAAAACTTGGGAATTGTAAAATATTTGCTTACTAGCAACATTCATCTCTTTCCTTTTATATACAAGGGGAACCCCCCAAAATTGGAATTTATTTAATTCAAAAAGTGTGTTTATTTTTACATGTTTAAACTTCAGTCACCTTTAAAGTACTCGTTATTTGATGCAATACACCTATTGAGTCTATCATACTCAGTGATTTATCACAGAAACAAAAAACAGAGTAACATGTTCTTACTCATAAGTGGACCTTGAACAATGATCACAATACTATAAGAAAGGGATCGGTAGTAGTGGGAAACTGTCGGGGGAGGGGGGTTGGGATTGGCAGTTGAGGGAAACTGCTAGCGAGGGGCACACCTCATCATATTTTTTAATAAATAACTTGGGTCTTTGTGAAAATAACTATGCTGTGGAAGAATCTAATATTTATACTAGGAAATATTTCAACTTGAGGGAAAAAGTTGGAAATGAGGTCAGAATGGAAGGAGGCTGCCCTAGCAGTCTTAGGAAACATTCCTGGTGGGCTGGTAGAGTCTCCATTATCTTGGGGAAAGCGTCTAGGTTCTGAATTCTATGGCCATCACTTTTAAACCTGATCCCCAAACATACGAAGTGCTACCAGTGCTCAAAGTTTCCGTCACTGCTGGAAATTTCACTCTAATAAAATTCTTTTCGATGGAATTCTCAAATCCCCCTGAATGGAGTCAGTCTATCTGTTGACCCATCAAGAATGGTATAATGGGGAAAGCTTTGAACAAGGTATAGGAAAATATAGGCTTTCTTTCTTTCTTTCTTTCTTTCTTTCTTTCTTTCTTTCTTTCTTTCTTTCTTTCTTTCTTTCTTTCTCTTTCTTTCTTTCTTTTTTTCTTACTTTCTTTCTTTTTGTGAGAAAGCAGGATTTATTTCGAGGACAGAAAAGCTCCCACAGTGGGAGGGGACCTGAGGAGGTTGCCCGGGTTATTTTTCTAATGTTGCCTCTAGTTAGTGTAAATTATGAGTCATCTAATACCAGGGGTCATCAGTTTCTTCCCAAAGAGACTGGATTATGTTATCTCAACAGACGCTTCCAAAGTTGACTCCATGCTTATTCCCTTAACCCACGGAAGTATTGAACACTTATTCCAAGCACTTGGCACTGAGCAATACCCTGTCTCATTCATTAACTAGTTTAGTCTTTACAAAAATCCAGAAAGTCAGAATCATAAAGCCCTAATTTAAAAACAGAAAACTGAAATTCAGAGAACTTAAATAACCTGCTCATGCTCTCAAGTAAGTAACAACTTAGAATTGACCCTAGTCCTCTCCGAGAACTCCCCTCTCCACTACACTAGCACTGTCATCTGTTAAACTGTTTTCACTTCCACTCTAGAGGCATAAACAATTGCCCCAACTCAAGGGTAAACACATGAGAAGCTGACACAAATAGATGTTTCAGAAGTTTGAAGCACCCCAGCGCAAGAGTCAGCTGACTATTGGCAAACAATCAGAAAATTTAAAAAAAAGAGAGAGAATGAGCACAAACAGAGCTTTCTTACTGTCGCTTCAGCTGGTCCATGGACTTCTTCTCTTCCTCAATTCTTGCCTTGACAGCTTTTACAATTGTGGCCTGGAAAAGTTCAGCCCCTCTATAGGAAGATTAGTAACAGAGAAAAAAATCAGTATTCTCATCATTGTTGTTCATTCACATTCCCCTGAAAATGATTGCTAAGGGTTAGAAAACATAATATCCCTTTTCTTGCAGCGGATCAAAGTTTTCTGGCTAGGAGTGAGAATCAGCAAGGCCCCTTTTAGAAATCTTCCCAGTGGATCAACAGGGCACAGGCTGCCTCCTGGGAGTCAGTGGGCTGCTCACAACCCTGGCAGACCAGCGAGGATAAAATTGTCTGTGCTCTCCAAGACAGTAAAGGTCCCACACTTCTTCAAACCTGTTCCACTAAACCTTAGAGTTCAGTAAAGTGTTATTCACTTGACCTTATTATTGTTGGCCCAAGAGAGAGAAATTTGCAAGGAGGAGTGAGTTCAGATTAGTTTTCTACTCCATGAGCACAGAGGGAGTGAAACTGGGGCTGGCTTCAGGGAATCTCCTCCATCAGCGGGATGTTCAGTTTCTTGCCTCTTTGACTCACTTCTTCCTGTCCTTCCTCTCCTTTCTGTTCTTTCTTACTTCTCAGGTCAACTTAAGTGTTCCCATAAATCTCTTCAACCCTCTGTACTCAACTCTGTCCCCACAGGAACCCAATAGTGTGCCTACCCTGCACTGAGCGGGGCTGTTATCAGCCCTTGAAGGAAATGCCCAACTGGGTAGACTGTTGGACTGAGCCCCATACTCCTTGGAAATTCTTCTGCTTCTGGTGGTTGCAGTTGTATCAAACTACTCTTACACTTTTCTCAAATCTTGACTTCTGTCAAACGACTTTTCACTCCTAGCTCCTTGATTCCCAGAGGGAACATACATCATAAGGTAATATGTCACTCAGTTTCCTGCACTTGTCCCTCACGCAGACATCCTTCCCTGCAGTGACAGAAGTGCCATCCTCCGTCTATGGTTTGCTCTATGCTCCAGTGTGTCTTTCCCACTGTGGCATGAGGAACACCATCTTTCCATTTATTCTTTTCTTACCACATTTACAGCCTTTCAATCTACTGAATCTTTCAAAAGCTCGTCTTACTAACCTCAAAAAAGAACTCAGGTACATCCCACATTTTCCTATGTAGAGATTTACGTCACTGCCCCTTCATAGTCAAATGTCTTGCAGTCACTGTCTTCAAGTCTTTGTAAATTCAACTTCAGCTCTTCACTGTTTGGATTTGACCCTTCTGTTCGAGGCCACTGATTCCAATGTTAGGTGTCAGTCTTATCCTAATATAACCTATCTGATGAGCTTCCACTTGAAAGCCATCTTCCTCAGGCTCCCAAGGCAATGTGCTCTCCTAGTTTCCCTCTTTCCCGCTTCTTGGTCTTCTTAGCAAACTTTTTCTTTGACCATTTCTCCAATGCAAATATTCCCCAGGGTCCTCTTCCCATTCTTTACACTCCCTCTGGGCAGCTCCAACTCACCTGCTCCAATTCTCTCTGGTAACGATGGCACTCAATCTGCTCACATCTCCAGACCTGACCACACAACTGCCTGTGGACTTCCCAACTAGTCAAGTTTCACATGCCCACAAGACTTACAACTTCACAACTGTGGTCAGTCTTCCCTCCCAGCCTAAGCTCTTAGGTTCTCTATGTTTGGGGTTGGCCCCACCATTTGTATAAGCCAGAATCCTGGGCATATCATCCTCTATGCTTCCCTTTTTATCACCATCTCCTTTCCTTCCAAGCAACTTTCCAGCTGTGCCAGTTTTACCTCTTAAATATATTTCTAATTTATCCCATTTTGATCTAGCTGTTATCTCTATCCTAGATATCTTAGCTGCCACTTGACTGTCTCTCCTCTCTGCCTGCAGTGCTTTTTATATCCATCTACTCTCCACAACACAGTCACTGTCTCCAAGCCTTTACAACTTCAACTTCAGCTCATTGCTGTTTGCTTTGACCCTTCTGGTCAAGGTCACTGATTCCAAGGTTTAGCCTTCAGTCTTATCCTTATATAACCTATCTGATGAACATCCACTTGGAAAAAATCTTCCTCAGGCTCCCAGGGCAATGCACTCTCCTAGTTTTCCTACTACAAGCAGAGTGAGCTTTCTGCAACGCCAACAAAGTGATATCATGTCCCTGTCTAAACACTTCAATGCTCTCCTGTTGTCTGTGGGAGTATTTCTAAAATCATAAACCTGGTTGACAGCCCCTGATTAGATGGACTCTCTTGCCCTTTCCAGCATATTCCTCACCACTCACTAGCCTTATCTTCAAACTTCAGTTCTTCAGCCTCTCTGAGCTTCTTACAGCTTCTCAATGATAGCTTTCCTCCATAGCTTCACTTAGAATGCTTTCCCTACTTTCTCCTCTCACTAAATCCTATTCACCCTTCTGACAGCAGCTTGGAATGGAAGGCCACCCTCGGTTACAGTTCCTTGATGTGCTCTTAATGCTCCTCAAATGTCTCTTACCATCACACCTGTTGTGGTATGAATGTTTGAGTTCTCCCAAAATTCATATGTTGCAATTCTAACTCCCAATGTGGTGGTATTGGGAGGTGGGGCCCTTGGGAGCTGAGTAAGTTGTGCAGGCAGAGATCTCATGAATGGGATTATTGCCCTTATAAAAAGGGCCCACAAGAGGTCTCTTGCCTCTTCTATTATGCCAAGATACAGCGAGAAGATGGACATCTATGAGAAAGTGGACCCTCAACAGACACCAAATTTTCCAGCACCTTGAACTTGGACTTTGCAGCCTCTAGAACTGTAAGAAATACATTTGGGTTGTTTATAAGTCATCTAGTTCATGGTTTTCTTGTTATGGTATCCCAGATGGACTAAGAATACTTGTCACACAGTATTACAATGACTTGCTTTTGTGTAATCTTCCTGCGAGTCCAAAAGCTCTATGAAGGCAAGAGCAAACATTTATTTCTTTTACAGCAGAGTAGGCAGTGAACAAATGAATGGATGGATGTGTATTCTTTGGAAATGTCATGGTACGTTCAGGACTTATGAATGACAACATGGCTTTTCTTTGATAAGCCTGAGTTGTACTCTGAACCAAAGTCATCACTTTTGCTATAACATGAAGGAAACGCATCCTAAACAACTGGAACAACTTTGAAGAAAAGTTGGCTTTCTATTATATCCTGAGCCTCTAAGGACCAAGTGTTTTTGGGAAGGCAAAAAAAGATACATTGAACTGCAAAATTATTTGTTGCTTTTTACAAGTAAATATAGTCACTACTGGGATGAGGCATTATACTCTGCTCTGAAAATGATGTCCTGGGTATTAGAAAATGATTATGATGGCAAATTCCAGAACTAATAATGCACATGATGAGGGCTGAGGATGCCACAAGATTTCTCCTAAAACTGTAGATCCCCTTCTAGAGCCTCTTTCTATTTGGCTCCAAGTTTGGGAAAAAAGACTGGTAATTGCTCTCATCTAAATGGAATTTTGAAATAAATATTTTGTCTGCCTTAGCAAGGCTCTATGGAAACTGGTGGCATAAACACAGGTGTATTAATTTAAACCTCAAGTCAAATGATAGATATTGGTAATTTCATACAGTACAATGTAATGTTTCTCAGATTGTGAGCACCAAGGATCTGGTGGGACACAGGTAAGGTCCGAGTCTCTGAGACAAGCATAACAGCCTAGGGTAATACAGCTAGCCACTAACACTCGCCCCCTCCTCAATGCCATTCCCTTTGTTGCTTCTTTCTACTCTTATTTCCTAAACCTACAAGATCAGGGGCAAAGACTTGAAGAAAGATCGAGCCTAAGGGAGAAAAAGATAGCTCATTGTGCCAGTGGCCACAGAAGAAAACCAGCTGGATCAGGGCAAATAGTCTAAAAGCAAGAACAAATAAGGGGCTCAGAAGGCTTGGAGTAACACACCACTTCTTTATTTAAGATCTGCAAAATAAGAGATAATACCTTTTACCTCCATTTTCATGAGTTTCTTCTTTAAAAAGAGTCAGGGAGAGGAAAGATAGACTAAGCCCTAGACCAACATGGCATACATTGCTGCTTTGGTTAAGGCCAGCTTAAGCCAGTCTAGTGAGGTAGCATGTTCTTTCTAGGGCATCCTCATTCTTGTAATGTGTGACTCAGTTCTGTAGACTTTCTTGTTACCATTCTGTTTTAAAGGCCTCATGCTAAATTCTTCTTTGAAAAAAAATTGGTTTTGCTAGAGGGGATTTCTTCATTTCTTGTGAGTTCTATAAGCAAACTCAGACAGAAAGCAATATTACGCTCAGGCAAGTTTCCTAAGAGAAACCACCTGATCCCGTGGCCTGACCCACCTTGATGCCAGGATCTGTGACGCTTTTATATCAGCCACAACATGTAGGAAATAATAACTCATGAAAACTCTTCTTTGCAACAAGAGGAAAGCAAAACATATGCTGTCCCAAATAATTCCTGCTTCACCACTGGGCAGTTTACAATGTGAATCATCATCAGCTGTGGTAACAAAGTAGGAAAAAAATAATAAAATTAACATTAATTTCCATTGTCATATTATAAAACCTGGGGTATGATCAGGCTTGGGAAATCACACAGGCAAAATGATGTGATTATATCAGGCATAATGATGCACTGACTTACTTATGAGTTTCAAATTCATTATCAACACGGATTCCTAAGGCTGACCACGCAGTGACTTCATGACACTGTAAGGCTCAAGGGGACCCCTTTCACAGAGAAGCCTCCTGTCTATTTCTTTCTCTTAGGGAGAAGGGGCTCCCTAAAAGTATCATGAAGAAATAATGTCTCAATGACAGAGGAAGTGTTCTTATACAAAAGAAATGCTCATTCTGAAAATGGCTTCTACCCGGGAGTAACCAACATAGCAACACATATAGATTGGTCTGTTAGACTATTAATAGCACATCTTGCCAGGCTCAGTGGCTCAGCCTGTCATCCCAGCACTTTGGGAGGCTGAGGCAAGTGGTCTGCCTGAGCTTGAGAGTTCGAGACCAACCCGGGCAACTTGGCGAGACCTCATCTTTATAATAACTAGAAAATTAGCCAGGAGTGGTAGCACGTGCCTGTAGTTCCGGCTACTTGGATGGCTGAGGTAGAAGGATCACTGAAGCCCAGTGAATTGACGCTGGGGTGGCTGTGAGTGTGCCACTAAATTCCAGCATGGGTGACAGAGTGAGACTCCAACTCAAAAAATAAAAAAAAATAGCACATCTCATCCTAAGTATGAAACAAGTTCTCAGTGACGCTTCAGCAAAGTGTAGCCTGAATTAGAAGCCACAGTGGGGAGAGCACTGTGTCCAAGTAGCTCCCACTCTGGGCATTGTGGAAGACCATGTGTGATGTTGTCCTGGGTTCTGGTGCAAGAGGAGGGGTGGGGGCAAAGGCACTTCTGTCTTTGTCTTGGTGGGAGTCTAACTCCAGAAATCCCAGTGTTCTTCCAATTGTCTTCCAGAGTTTGAAGCTGCCTGGGATTCCCAAGAAGAGATGAGCCTGGAAGTCAGAGTTACCTTGATTATCCAAGATCCTGATTAGAGCAACTGCAGGTTTGAATGAACTTCTGAATCCTTCCTAATTATAACTCAAAAAAGTCTTGGGGGTTACTACAGCACCACAACCAATCTCTAGACCCTAGGCCCCAAGTCATCAGAGCTTGCGAAGTTTCTAGAAGATAATAATGGATGCCTAGCATAGGGGGCACCTCATGTTAGGGACAATAGATTCACAGTGTACTACAATTCTGCAGCCTCCATCTAAAGATAATTGACTTCTATTTTTATCTCTTTTCCTTATCTAATTTTTAAATTAGAACAATACAACTGTCCTTCCATTCCCAAGTTTGCTTTTCATACTTACGCATTTTATAGCCTTTGACTGTGCAGGCCAGGCTGAAAGCTTGGATCAGCCAGCAACTATTCTGAACCAACGTTCCGATGTAGCCACATGCTCCTATCTGAAAAATAAAGGCGGGGGGGTAATTTTGAAGGTTTGAACCCAGAAAAGGTTTGGTATCCTGTGATCCCAACTTATGCAAGAATTTACAAAGTCTTAGTGCTAGTGATTACAGGAGATGTCAATTATACCTAAAAATTCAGTCACCATGTAGGAGTACATTAATTGCTTCAGGAATAATGTAAACTCCTGAGGAAAATTAAGCCTAATGAGTAAAGAAAAAGTCTTTAGTGTAATGTTTTCTGCACTAGGAAGCACCACTTTTCAAAGACAAAATCTTGGATTATTGTCAGAATAAGCCTCAATTCTGTGATAGCAAATGGATGGGTACTGAACCCTGGGACTTTGATTTTGGTAGAGTTATTTTCTTATAGGCTAGACAAATCAAACCTATACTGTTCCCTGGGGATCGTTCTGGACTTAAGCTGCAGGGTTCAGATCTTAGAAGAGAACAGAGTATATATTTTGAGCCTTGTTTGGCCAAATCTCCAGGCAAAGTAATCTTGGTTGATTGGCATGTGGTTGTCTCATAACAATAAATTTTTTCTAACAGTTATGCTAAGTCCAAGTTCTAAGGGGAAAAGGTTTAAGCAAACATGAATCATTACAAGCCAACCACATAAAGGTGATGGTTGAATTGCATATATTTCCTGGGAATATGTGAGGTAAGAGAATATCATTAGAATTTGTTCCGATACCAGTGGCCACTTGTCATGTATTTCCCCAGCTCTTAGAATAGCTTCCCAAACCAATATTCCCATCCTATACCAGATGCTTTGTTCTCGATCTCTAGGATGCGCATTCTTACCCCCTTTGCTTCCCTGGAGACCTTTTGATCTATTTTTTTGAGTCTCTGATGGGTTCCAATGGCATCATCCCCAGGAAGTCTCTTACCAACTTATCTAGGCAGGACATTAGACATCCTTTTTTTTTTTTTGCTTTGTTTCTCTAAAATGGTATGATCATTATCATCAGCAGATGGTATTGTAATTATTAATAAGAAGGTCTATCTTACACTCTCTTAAAATATAAGTTCCTTGAGGCTAAAACCTGAGAAGTATATCTCTCTAGTTCTTCAAGATATAAAACAGTGCTTAGGAAAGAACAAGTCTACAATATAGGAACAAACGAATGAACTTTCCATCCAGACGTTTTCCAAGAATGCCTGTAAGATCAGCTTCCAACAACAGGTTTCTCACAAGTGCACTAGCAGTTGTAGAAGGAGGTATAGGGATGAGCTTTAAGTTGGGGCCCGCTAGAGAGCTATTAACTTCTTCAGCTCAAAAAAGGCTTAATTTCCTGCAGCACTAAATCACTTAAATGGTATCCCTGTGGCCTGAAAGATTAATGTAACCCGGGGATTGCTCATGGGCAGTTTGAGTTACCTGCCATATTTAAGGGAAGAGTTGTACCTTGGAGCATAGCTGCTTAATTGTAGAACAGCCAGACCTGCCAAGGGAGGGTGTTTATCCTCAAACCTGCTGTGTTTTCCTGTAGCTGTGTTCTAACCTGGACATCTATGCTCAGGGGCCACCAGAGAGCGGGATTTTCTCCAGTGGGTATCCTCGTCTTATGGGTATATAAAACATTCTTGCTTGTAGTATCCTTCCACCTCAGTCCCCCTTCCACCTAGTATATTATGTAGAATTATGCCCATTTTATTTTACATTCCTAAAGTTCTTTCTAGGTAAGAGAAGAGTCACTTTGCCAACACGATACAACCTCTGAAAAGATTCAGTGACTCTAATTCAGCTCGCAACAGGGCCGCTACATAACTCAGACAATGAGTGATGACACGTTGTTCCTCAGAAGGGATGGGCTTTCCCTCACAAAATATATTTTATAATTTCTTCCTATGAAAGCCTATCCTTGTCATGTGACCTTGAAATGGTGGAAATGAGCAAAAAGCTTTCTGTTTAATATAATAAGCAAAGAGTAACAAATGGCTGTTTGAATTCTAAATCTGCAACATCTTAGTTTGGGCTTTTAAGAGAGCAATATGACAGGTTCTGGGCTTTTAATAACCACGGAGTCCATTGTTTACTCTTATGCCAAAACCACAAATGTGTTATACAGTGGGAACCACTTACTGACAGAATATTTTTCATGGTTATCACAAAAACGTTGTAGGCGATCAGCCAGTCCCAGTAGCGCAGGATGCTCTTGATGGGTTTCAACAGCAAATCGCCTCCAAAGAGCAGGAAATAGAAGCAGGCCACCAGGTACCCCATGCAAAAGATGCTGATCCTGGTTGTTCCGGTAATGAAGATGATCGTGAGCACAAACCAGAAGAGGTAGCTGAAGATGATCACTTTGGACATGTCTAAGTAAGATCTGGAAAGCAAAATCCAACAATAAAACAACAAAACAAACAAAAACAGCACAAGGATACTCTATGATAAGGGGAAAAATTTCATACCTTACATTGGCTGTGTAGGAAAGCACATCGCAAATCACAAGGTGAGTGAGCTTTCCTTGAGTACCACCTGGTATACAGGAAAACCTCACATAATTAATAATGGACCAATAGAAAAGGTGTGGAAACACTGTGTGTATGCTTATCAGCATCTTATTCCAATAATGAAGTGTGTGTGGTTTGAATTCAATGAAATTGTGCTGCTGGCATTTTCTTCTTTCTTTTCTTTTTTTAATTTTTTAAAAAATGATTTATCTTCCTTTAGGTAGATAACTAGTGGTAGAATTGTGAGATCAAATGGTAGGTCTGTTTTAAATTCTTTGAGAAATCTCCATACTATTTTTCATAGTGGTTGAACTAGTTTACAACCCAGTGTGTGTTTGTGTGTGTGCATGTCAACACAGCGTGTGCTTTCCATGTAGTTCCTTCTCTTGCCTGCAGTGGTTAATAAGATAATCCTCTTATTCAGCCAGATTCCTCACAAACAACAAGACTTTCTACCTACCACTGGAGTACTCAAAATTCCTCTTCATCATTTGATGGGATGCAGAAATAATTGTCTGGCAAAAGAAATCCTAAGATACTAATGCCCTTCTGATAGTGAGAGAAAAGTTACAAACAGATTCCTTTTGATAAACAAGGAATGAACAGAAATAAATGAGAAATTAATTTTTTAAAGTGATATTATATTTAAAGGTCTCATTAGAGATGGAAATCTCTTCTTACAGATAAGAAGTGGTTCTGACAAAGTAGACACAGCCACACAGTGAGGTTTTTTTTGGCTCTTTCTAATATTCAGTCTTTGGAGTGTCCCTGGGCCAAGTCAGCCTCTCTTTTGGGGGTCCATCGTGCCCCTGCAGCCTTTCTGATGGAAGGTGAGGCAGGTGTTCAGGTCCCTGTTGTCTTGCAATAAGCAGTTGCCATCTGACAAAAGTCATGCAAGCCAAATCCCATCTGCATTGGCTTGATTAGAGCGTCTTTGTTTTGGGGTTTTGCTTTGGTTGTTTTTTCTTCCCAGGTTTGGGAAGAAGCATGGGAAAACGAATTCTGAATTTATTCTTTGATTAATAGGTTGCTATCTTATAGGAGGCTAATAAGTCATCTCTTAATAAGATATGTACTGCACTTGGCCTATCCAGCATTATTAGAGAACAACTTTGAGTTGTGCCTTAATGGTACATTTTTCAGATAAGTTAACTTTTGACATTTAGGGTTTTTAGAGTAAAACATGTAAAATATTTTTATGAATTTTTTCTAAAATATACTATGCCCTTGACTTCATCATCAAAGGAGAGTGAATAAAATGCCAGTATTTCTCTATATCCCAGGTGAAGTTTGTGGTTAGGTAGAGCCCACAGGGCCTTCTGAAGTGTGTGTGGTTTGAATTCAATGGAATCAGGCTGCTGGCATTGTCAAGTGTGTGTATATGCATGTGCGTGTGCATGTGAACGCAGCGTGTGCTTTTCATGTAGTTCCTTCCCTTGCCTGCAGTGGTTAATTCCTGGTCTAGGAGCCCTGGCCTCCACACCTCGGCACTTAAACTGCTTTGGGTTCAGAAATCATAAAACTAAACTTGCAAGGGCAACATGGAAAACACCAGTAAACATACTCTAAAGAGGTTGCTGGGGGACCCCAAGTAGACAGACCGAGTCCTGGTGACAGGCACTGTCATTAAGAGGTCACCTAACACGGAAGCTCTGGCTGCTTTCCAGAGAATCCAGGCTGCTGTGGAGTTGACCTCTGAGGAGGAAAAGGAGGTGAAGGCTGCTACGCTTCTGATGAGCGGACTGAATAGAGACATCTTCCTCACCGCTATGGTGTTTGACAGGTTATTTCCTGAATGGGTCATTCCACTGGCAATTCTTATTGAGAAACAGATCTAAAAATCTGAGCTAACAGGAAACAAATTCAACTCTAAAAATCAACGGTGCACAAAAGCTTTTCATTTGAGTTGTTATTTAGGTTTTTCACTAGCACGTTATCAAAAACATATTTTTCCTCTGCATTAGGGATAAGATTGAGCTGGACTGATTTTTCTCTCAGCATCATAGAGAAGAAGTAGAATGGAAGTCTTACCTTAGGTTAGTGTTTAGTATGGTACTTTATTCATGAATAGAATCCACAAGTCTCTATATCATTTTGAAGCAAATTCACTTATTAACTCAGTACATAGTGAGATTCGTATGCTACCAAGCAGCATTAAAGTACAGAATCACTCAGATTTAGGAGATTGATTGACTTCCAATCTTTATTTGGCTACTGCTTACATCGCATCCCTTTACCACTGTCTCCTCATCCATAAAATGGGGATCATAATATTACCTCCTCCTGATTGGTCATGGGGTAAAATGACTTCATATATATCAAGCCTGGACTAGAACCTGGAACAAAACCTGGCACATAGAGAGCTCTCAGTGACTGCTAGCTATCAGTATTATTATATGCATTATAGGCCAAGACTAAAAGGGTGAGGGAATGGGGACAAGTACAAAAATAAGTGAGAAATGGTCTTTGCCCCAAGATGCCTACACCTTGAAAGAGGGACAAGATAGGTCCTTAAAATAGCAATACCAGGCAAAAGCAATTCATGTCATGTAAATATGAATCTCTAGATCAGAAGCTGGGGGGGTGACTTCAGCCGTGGAGAACGAGCACCAGTGCTGTACTGACCGTGATCTATCTCCATGTCACCCGCAAGTGAGCTGTGACCATCCTGTCCTCTCACTGTATGGATGGCATGAGAAGGCACACGGTGAGGATCAAAGGTTAGGGCATCAGCCTGCATTAGCTAGTAGAGGAGGCATGGAGAGTCACACCAGCTTCAGGGTCTGAAAGGTGTTTAGGGAGGGGAACAGCTGACTGCAGAGGCAGAACGGGTCTGCCCTCCTCAAAGCGGGGATCAAGTGGCAAAAATCTCAATGTGCAAACCCAGGGAACGCAGAGGGAATGAATGCATGCTGAGAAATCAAGCATAAAGACAGACAGTGTGAAGGAAACTCTGCCCAAATCAGCTGTCATGAGACTGGGTAGGATAGTGGAGGACAGAAAAGGTACCCCAAAGGGAGCCCATGTGTTACACCGAGGAGATGCTGCTTATGGAGAGCACAGAGGCTCTGGGGAACCACAACTCCTCAGTGCTTTGTGAATACAAGAGATGAGGGCCAGGGGATGAGAAGCAGGGCCAGGAAACGAGGAGGAGGGATGAAGGATGAGGAGGAGGAGTACAGGATGACAAGGGGGAATGGGGGATGGGGAGGAGGGCTCTCTGCGTGAGAATTGCTCACCAGCATTACTGGCACAAGTCAGTTTCTGTAGAAAGAGGAAAACTGAGGCCTTAGCAAGGTGGTTCACACTGACAAAAGCAGGCATAGAGCTGCAATTCAGGGGCTCAGCCTCCAGGCTTCTGTCCCATATTTATTAGCCTCCATGTTTACCATTCAGCTGATCTATTTCTCCAGCATAGAAGAGAAAGAACTTGCGTATAGAGAAGCGATCTAAGTGAAATGCACACACTGGAATGGGGTTTCACAGAGATGAAGCTACTGTTACCTGCAGTGAATAAAATCTGGCACAGGGTTATGTTGGCTGAAAGAGGCTGCATCGAGGTTCATGCAGATCTCAACATTGTCCCCTGCCATAATCCTCACAGCAGCCTTGTTCTCATCCTCAAAGATCTGCCGTTGTAGGGAGGCACATAGAAGCAGCATGAAGTCATCTGGCAAGACAGGGGTAAGAGCATTAAGCGAACTCTTCTGGTTTACATAATGCAACACACAGTCGTCATACAACATGAGTGCTCCCTAGCTGCTAAGTGAGGTGTGTTCCCAAGGTTCCTGGTAAATTCATCCTGGAGTTCAACATAGGGGCCAAGTCACACCTTCCCTGCCTTGGAGACAGAGTGACCACAGACATTCCAGAGGCTCACAGTGGGGAACTTTTGGGTTTTGTTTGCACTTTGGTGAGTGGAAATGCTAGGTGCTAATTCCTAGGCTTCATGAGTCCCAAAGGGGTTAATGTTTTTTGCATTTATCTCCCATCGGTTTTGAGGAGCCTATCTGAGCAATTACCTCATCTTTTCCTTTATTCTTTCCATCCAAAGACTGTTCCTGCACCTACCATGGGCATGGGAAGAGCAGGTGGAGAGGGTGGACAGGTGTGAGAGTGTAGAGCTGCCTGAGAGAGCCATCTTCCGCAGCGACTGCTTGGAATAGGCCACAGTCAAGGCTGGCTGGCATCCTGAAGCACAAGTTGCTATCTTGTTTTTTAAGTGAAAAACCTGAATATGTTTAGGCAGAGTAGCCACTCGAGTTTTCTGTAGCACCCAGCATCCTCTGTGGTCTTGGGGTTGCTGCTGGGCCTTTGGACCCCAGCGGCCCTAGGAAGGCCTTGAGACTGTGGCTCAGCCCTAGAGGGAATGAAAGTTGGGCAGTGTCTGCCTGGGTCCTACAGCCCTATCTTTAGGTTTGGTTTGTCTGCAGCTGCAGCCAGAAAGCACGGAGTCACAAAACACAAGCCCTCCTGTCTGGCCTGTCTTTTGAAAGGTGGGCATGTAGATGTGTGTGTACTGGGGGAGGTGAAATTATGCAAGTGAATGTGGTATTTCCAATACTGATTTATTAATTTTGCAAATGCACTAGGGCAAATAGAAGCCATTAGCGACTTGTGATGTGAATGCATAAAGACAGGCCTTTACATGATTATGAAGTCTGTGGAAGATGCAAAGGCACTAATGCATAGCTCAAGAAGAATGATCAGCAATAAACCCAAATACCAGTGCTCTGTGGCCTGGTGGCTAAAGCACTTACAGACGAGAAACACGGGGTTGGGCCGCACAATGAAATCTGGGAAGTACAGCCACTTTATGATGTTGTCGTTGAAGTCGGCACCCTTGAATCTCCACGGGTAATCTGCGGAGAAGGAAGTGGTAAACAACACAATCACGACTCGTCTTCACCATCTTCTCCCAGTTGGCCACTCGGTAATGCTTCTTCTAAAAGCAGACAACTCCAGGAAAGGGCAGGCTTACCTCGGCACGGAGCAGGTGGGATGCCGATGCAGATGAAGTACTGGAAGGTGATGATGCACGCCAGGAAGCAGCAGTACTTGGGCCAGACCTCGGCGATGGCTTTTCTTCTCCGTCGATATAAGACGGCGATCAGCCAGCAGGCGTGGATCATAGCGTAGAAATCCATTCGTTGGCCAATGACATTCACTGACATTAGGAAACAGGTCTGTGTAAGGATGAGAAGAGGCAGAAAGTCAGGTTTACGGGGAAGGGGATTGGTGTCAGGTGTCAGGCCTGTGCAAGGTGGCAGAGACCGGCATTCCTAAGAGCAGGTCTGTCTGCACAGGCTCTCCAAGACCTGCCCTTTTGAGTGTCTTTTAGTGTGAAGATAGAAATATTGTACAGACTACTTCCCGGAGAAAAACTAAGTCAGTGTTATAATATCCACTTCAAACAGTAAAGAAACAACGGCCTAGGATTTCTTCACAAAACGTCACCATTCCAAATGCCTCCTAGTAAGGGACAGGTACTATGACAACCATTTTAGGTTAAAACAGTTCATTTTGGCTGTAGATTACACTTTCAGAATGCACAAAAAGAAGATCAATAATATTTTATTCTTTTTTTTTGTTTGAGTTGGAGTCTCACTCAGTCACCCAGACTGGAGTGCAGTGGCTGCTCCCGGCCACCGCAGCCTCGACCTGCTGGACTCCGGCGATCCTTCCGCCTCAGCCTTCCAAGTAGCTGGAATTACAGGCATACGCTACCACGCCCGACTGATTTTTTTTGATTTCTTGTAGAGATGAAGTCTCGCTGCCCAGGCGGGTCTCGAACCTGCGGGCTCAGGCAATCCACTCACCTCAGCCTCCCAAAGGCTGAGCAGGATTACAGGCTGAGCCACCGAGCCCAGCTAATAATATTTTATTCTTAATAAGACATCAATTAGCATGAAAACTGATGTCCATGCATTTAGATGGCTCTTGAGATCCAGAGAGGCCAAGTGAACTGCTGTGTAGGGAAAGGGGGAATTGGCACCTGGTCTTGGAAAATTTTAGCCAAGCCAGGTTAATCCATCAGTAGAAACTCCTCCTATCCATCATGAGCAGACAGCAATCATGGCCTGGAAGTATAACACAAAGCTCTGGTGGCCAAGTAGCCGAAAGTAGATACCTAAATCTACATGAAAAAGATAAATAAAACATGCCAGCAAGGCAACTCACCTCCAGACCAAACTTGTAGAAGAAGTAATTTATGAAATATTTGGCACAATTAATAAGTCCATCATCTAGATGTAGTCTCGTAATGTCGTGAAAGATAGTTTTAGACACAGGGGCTGTCAGGTTGTTTCGACCTCGATAATATTCCTGATGGCGGTAAATTGTAACTTCAAAGGCCAGAATAGCCAGCATCAAGAGATTATTCTACAAAGCAAGGAAGCACAACTGTATGAGCCAAATGCTTTATGATTTGGTATTTTCAAGCAACCCCCATAATACATCATTGTATTTAAGTCTTGATATCTAAAAATCCCACTGCTCTTAAATATAGTTTTAAGCTCAGTGATCATTTGCCCTGTTGTACTTGCTATGATGTTATCTCCATTGCTATATAAGGCTAATTTCCATGTAATAGCATTTAGAATCTCTAGACAGAAGACTACTACTGTTCATTCGTATTCCTCAAAAACTTCACACCTCATACCATGGAATTTGTTTCTACTTATCCGAGGAGGATGGTCCAACCATGTTTGCAGCTAGAAGCACAAAATAGTAGAGACACAGCCTGGAAAACAAACTAGGCTGGAGGAGGGGGAGGCTAGTTATGGTAAAATTTTTGAACACTGAAATCATGCTAGAGAGAGAGAGCAATAAATTGAGAAGTATGCTGATGGAAGTAAAATAATAGCAACAACAATAATAATAATAGTGATTATACTACTAAAAATGAAAATAGTTAACATTTATTGAACCAGGCACCAAGCCCTATTCTAATCTCCCTTTTCAAATATCAGTTTACTTCACCCTCATAACAGCGATTTATGGCAGGTACTATTACAAAAGATATCTACCATATGAGGAAAAACTAGAAACTACACAAAGAAAATAGGATGCTTAGTACATTTTAAACTTCCAGATACAAAGTATAAAGGTTTTATTGTTTAGTGCATTGTCAGTGTAATATAATTAGGACTGCTCAAATTACCTATCAAAATAAAAGGTGAAAAATCAAAAGTGTATGCTTTTCATTATGTTTGTATGACTATTTGCCATCAAAGTTCCTTTTGCAAATAATGCTTTATTACTCCTAACTGTCATATATATTCTGCATTATAAATTACCAAGAAACAGAAGTTAGCAACATTTTCTTGTAATGCTATATCCACTTCTCAGAAATAATCACTACTGACCATTTGGCATAATTTACTCAATATTTTTCTTTGTGTCTAGAAGAGATGATATTACGCACATTGTTTTGAATTTTGTTTTTTTTTAACTTAATATATTTTAGACATATTTTATCTGTGATGTATCTACTGCCATCCATCTTGTAGTGGTCTTATAATGGTTGTATAATGTTCCAGTGAGTGGATTTGTCATATTTATTCAACCGCTCTCAGCATTTTCTCCTCAGCATAACACAATACCGATTTTATCATTCAGGATTTGTTCCAAATGCCACATGAGAAGATTAGGTTACTACCAAATGTGACATCCAGCTATGGGTGCTGACCCATAGCTGTATGAAGGCCCAGATTAAGTACAACAAAGCCATTACCCTCAGGTAGATGAGCAGAGGAGAAGACTTTCTCAGGCCAACCCACTCTGTTGGATCAATAGGAGCACTGTAGAGTAGAGACTTGTTCAAGTCATGAAGGGGTATGTTCGTTTGATTTTCATTTGGCTGAAAAGAAGAGAAAATGGAGTAAAAACCGGAGAGTTCAGATTGTTCTTCAGATTTAGGCAAAGGGCCACTGGTGGGATAGGAAGTGGAAGGTCCATTCCAAAGGGATATCTCAGCATGAGAGGAAGCTTGGGTCCAGCACATAGGCCAGAATATGCCTAACTAGGATGTGATGATTCACAAGCTGGACAGAATGTGCTTGGGCATGTGGTTTCCCCGCCTATCTGCCTCACTTCACTAACAGGCAGTTGTTCCCCCATCATTGAGGCTCACCAAGGAACAGTTAACAGAAAAGTTCTCAGGCTTAATGGTTTGGAGCTGGTACAACATTTTGCAGACGATGATCACACACGTCCAGACAGTGCAGACGCTTGAAGCCAGACGGCGTAGCTTGGCATAGGGCAGAGCAAAAGCCCAAGAAATCAAAAATACATAGTTGAACAGAGACACCTGAAAACATAAAATCAGAAATGGGGACAAAAATACATAACATGGCATAAGATCCACAAAACAGGATGACTAGATTTACCCAGTTCAGCAAAGACTGATTGTGTCTTGAGCATTAAAGCAGATGAGATAGGGTCTTATCCCTTGGGGACATTATGTCTTGAATTGCAGATGGACAGGTAACCAGGTAATGTCAACGTAATGCAGCAATGCCTGATGTGATCAGGCTTTTGTGAGAGCACCCAGAAGTGCCTTTGGTCCAATACAGAGATTTGTGAAGTGTTTTCAGGAGCAAAGGCAGGAAAGCATGAGTGAGCATGGTGGGAACAGGCGACTGTAAAAACTGGGAGGTTTAGAGTGGAAAGCGTGAAGCGCAGTAGGAGGTGAGGCTGGGCATGCAGCCACAGCCGAGTCTTGATGGGTCCTTTATGTACTATGCTACGGCACAGGAATTCATTCTTCAAAAAACAGAGAGTGACTGAAGGGCATTAGGGAATTTGAAGGTAAGGTCTGCGTGATGTTGCGATAAAAGTAACTGAAGAATGGAGGGTGCATTGCGGGGACTGGATGCGAAGTTAGGAAACCTGCTCACATGCAGCTGCAGTAGCCCAGGAAAGGAAGGAGGTAAGGATTCATAGGAGGGGCAATCAGCTGGATCTGATGATCGATTGGCTTGGCAGAGGGAGGAGGAGCTAACGAAAAAAGTACAATGAATAACTCCCAGGTTTCCTCTTGGGAGCCTGAGTGGATGATAGTGCTATTATTGAGACAGGCAATGTTGAGAAGGAAGCTGGTTCGAGGAGGGAGGGCAATGAGTTCAGCTTGAATACATTGACTTTGGCGGGATGTCCCCACATTCCTAGCACTTCTTAATTCTCTGTAGTTTATAGTTAATCAAATGGTATAAAAACACCACCATCTTATTTAGACATGAGAAATACTCATTTATCCTGAATGTTATTAATGTGATATCCTAGGAACATTTCATGTCAGCAGGTGGACATAACAGGGTGCACTCAATGGATAAAAGTGAACATGTACTAAGTACCAAGTACTGTGGGTTATAAGAGATGTGGTTACCTAACCGGCTAACAAAACTATAAAACAAAAATGCGGAGACTGCATGACACTATTTAATCCTATTATTTGTTACTTGCTAATCTTCCACTTAACTACTTGTCATGGTCCAAGGCAAGGGAACCTTGAGAATTAGGTGATGAAATCAGGGAAGGAAGAGTTGCCTATAGAATTAATTGAGGATAAAAGAAATGCTGTTCATGGAAGTACTCTGTAAGCCACAAAACACTCATGAACATAATAAATGTTACATTAACAGTATTTTGATCAACTAATTGACTCTTTTCCCTTATTTATCAGCAAGTGTCATATCAATATGGATATTAAAAAGCAAAACCTATTAAAGATACCATGAAAGTAAGTCTTTTTGCTGTGTCTGTTATCACACATTTAAGGCACTAAGTATAAAAACAGTATGATTCATTTGCACAGAACTTTTAATTTTCTGAGTAATGGAAAAAGAGAAGAAAAGATAATAACTTTCAGTAAGTCTTAACTAGGTTCAAGGTAACATATCCCAGAATTCCCTCCTCTCAAGAAGCATATAGGAGAGAACAAGAAGTACATAAACAGTCCATGACAGTGTCATGGGCTGAGTGCCTGGCCAGGGTGAGTCAAGTTGTCATGGGCGCACACCGCTGAGGCAGCTGACCCAAGGTTGGGGAAGACTGTCCAGTTAGATTTAAACTGAGACCTAAGGAAGAAACAGGAGTTAGAGAGACAGGAGGAAATTGCAGTTCCCATGCCTTATGGGGAGAGGAGGGCGTGGGGTTGCAGATCCTTGGGGAAGCAAGTGGTTCAATAAGAAAGAACCGTGATCTAAAACCTTTCAGAAGACTTTAGAATCCACAAGGTGTCCCAGAGTGTCTAGGGATGGCAATGGCAAAGTGGTCGGGGCCACATCATGGGAGTCTTCTCTTGTGTTACTGTGAGGATAAGACAGAGCTCACAAGGCTTCAGATAGAGGGTTCCCATGATCATGTTTATGCCCTGAGAAGATAATTCTGGCTGCATTATGCAAGGCCTACTGGAAGGAGAAAAGATTATAGATAAGTTGGGAAACTGTGAGAGTAGACTAAAGGGAGAACTGAGATGGAGGTAGTGAGTTCACCTTCAGGATAACCAATTGAAGGTGCTTTGGGGACACGCAAGAAGAGTGAGATCATGTCCAGGTGTCATTTGGACATAGGAGTCCGGTGTTTAAAGAGAGGACTGAGTGAAAGATACAGATTTAGGACTCATGACGCATAGACAGCAACTGAACCAGAGAGCTCATGAGCTCACCCACATACAGTCTAGAATAAGAAGAGTAGGCTGTACAGAGCATGAGGGGCCCTTGGAGGAAGTTGATGGGAAAAGCAGGAGGAGACCCTCAGTTCTCATAGGACCCCTCGCTCAAGGCTGTGCCCTCAAGCCTCACAAGTTTGTATGCAGATTAGGTGGTGATTTGTGTAAAAGCGCTTTGTTAGGAAAGCATGATGACAAAGTTATTTCTCAAAATTCCTTGACAATAAGAGTTCCTGGACACATAGATTAGCAGCTATCTCCTCAGAAATTCTAATTCATCAATTATTAGTAGGGACATGGGTATTCGTCTTCTTTCATTTTTTTTTTAAAGTGAACATTCCATTAGATTCTTATCATTGGGGAAATGATGACCGTGGTCACTTTAGATTCAAGCACTGCGAGAGAGCATGGGTTGGAAGCAGACACACTAAGGTTTGCCCATGGCTTGCTATTTGCATTGAACAAAAAATTAATTTCTCCCTGGTCTCCCTCCTTCAGGGAATCCCCAGTTACAACTGTCACCTCCAAGATGCAACACTCTGCAGGAGATACACCTCCCTGTGCAGCCAGCACTTCCTGGGGACACCTCTAACACAGCCATTGATAGCACGTTGGGTTTTATTTACCAGACAGTTCCCATCAGGGTGTGTGAACTGAGACAAGTGTGTCTCTAAAGCTTCTACCCCAGCATCTAGCACTATATAGGCATTCAATAGCTTTTATTATGCATTATGTGGGCATAATAAAGGCTAAATGAAGGCTTAATGAGCATGAAAGCAATAATATGATGATCCTTCATTTAGCCAGTGAACATGGGGCGTCTGCAATTGACCAGGCCCTATGGGAGGCACTGAGGATACTCAGAGAAATAAAATGCAGCCTCCTTCCTCAAGGAATAACTTGATCTCACAGAGCTCTCCAGCAACTTTTTGAAACTAGAGAAGTAGTTGTGAATTTAAAAAGGAGAAGATAATGTGTAATGTTTATATGTATAATATATATAGTATATAAATACATCTATATATAATACATAAATACATCTATATAATATATATATAACCTAGGTTATTCCAAAGTGGTGTCACTCCTGAGTAAGAGATACCAACGTAAAATAAAGGTTTCGCTGATGATTGCTTTTCCCATGGCCCCTTCTTCCTCAGATGCCCCAGATGAAAACTTTGAAAATGTTTAGTACTTGTGGGAGAGAGGATTCCCAAACTTTGTGAAAACAAGCACCCTTACCGAAGCCTTGGATAAGGATGGCTTGAATCCAAAACGAGTGACCATAATTGTTGAAGAACTTTCTTTGTAGAGAGAGGCCGTGTTCTGCCTGTCTCCAACACCAAGATGATGGGGCATGTGGGGAGTCAGGGAGGAGAATGACCTCAGCCCAAAACCCAAGAGGGAAGCTATAAGTAGGCCAGTCAGAGATCCTGATGTCTTCACCCTGAGGCTTGGCACAAGGTTTGGACACTGATGTTGAACATCTACCCAAGAAGTCCATGGGGCCAAAAGAGGGGCAAGGATGGTAGGGTACAGAGAGTTGTTTTGTTGGGCTCCAGGTATATCAGCAATACAGGATCTGTGTGAGGGTGTCCCTGGAAGCTGATGCTGAGGAACAGAGTACCTGGAGTTGCTCTGAGACTACTCAGAGGGGTGCCTGGAAGGGTGGTAGGACTCCATGGAGGGCTTCATGAGGAGTGATGCTGGGAAAACAGGGGCTGGGTGCCAGTGACAGCCTAGAGTGGCTGTGGGTACCCCACCAAGGAGCCTCCATGAATGGAAAGGTGTACCTGGCTGCCAGCCCAGAGTGTGAGATCATCAAGGAACAGCACAGGCCAAGTCAGAATATTCCCCTCCCGCTCATCCCTGCCCCGAATCTGCATCTGTTCTCCAGCCCAGGAGGTTCCTACAGAAGTGAGGAGGAGAGCAGATGTGGGTAAGAAAGAAAGAGGTTGGAAAGGAACAGCGTCTACCTGGGAAGAGACCCAAGTTATGACGATTCTCTGGCTGCACAGTCTTAAAAAACGCAATGAGATTTTGCTTACTATGAAAGTCACTGTAGGAATGATCCGAAAGTGTGCTGTGTTCAGAGGCACACAGAAGTTTCCCTGTAAGATGCATTTTAAAGGGACAATGAAGGTCTAAAGCTACGTTGTTTTTATGATTAGGATCCACTGAATTGATGGCTTAAGATGCCAGTTTCATTAGAAAAAAATCAACTGCACACATGCTGATGAGAGCCCAGAGATCAAAGCCAGTGCAGAGAGGGTAGACAACGCAGAAATGGTGATGCCATGGGAAGGCCATGCAGCAAACTTCACCTTATGTGGGTGAGGTGGCATCATGCACAACATGGTCGTTATAATAGTCTTAAAGCCATCAGATAGGTAGATGCTAGCAGCAGAGGGAGCAGAATGTCTCTGCTTTGTGAGTATCTGGTGTGCTTTTAAAGTTAGAATAGAGAGAGATAGAATTTGGAACAAAAATTCTGACAGTCTACACAATGTATGAACCACAGAAAAAGAGCTAGTCATATTCCATGAAAGGTCATTTTCTATTGGTGTAACAAGGTAACTAGATCACAATCTTTTATTTACTCGATAGTCTATTAACAAGATTGCATTCTCAAGACTCATTAAAGATCATTGAAAAAGTGATGTGTGTCTTTTGTTTAGGATTTATAAGAAAGTGTGTCATTTAATCATCTTTTTCTTTCTGTTTCTGAACGCTCTAGGATGGATTTCAGATAGCAAGTTTTTTTTTTGTTTTTGTTTTTGGTGCCCAACTCTCACTAATTTCTTTTTCATCCAGTGCTCATTTCTATCATCAAACTGTCTTGATATGCCTTCACAACTTGCAACGCAACTTCTCATGTAATCAGAAGTCATCTGTAGATCAGATTTGGCTACTCCAGAAATGATCTTTGCTCATTTTTAGTCAAATGCCTTCTCTTGTTTTTTTTTCTCTTTAAGGTTCTAACCTTCAAATTGTATATTGGTCAATTTCCCTATAGAGTTAAAGTGCATATATATTTTGCTCTCAATTAATACACATACTATGCTATATTTTGACTCCAATTACTACATAGGCTTAGTTACTTAACAATGGAACATATATTATTTTCTACCATGCATTTTATAGAGAGAGTGGTTTCTCTCTTTGTTCTCACCTGGCAATGACAACCTATCCATTTCAGATGGTTTGTATAAAATGGGAGAAAGTTCTAGTTTAAACTGTAGAGCTCAAATTAAGGTTTATCCCTTACTCACTTGCAAACCATTTTAGGTTTGTAGTGTTATAGTTATAATATTTTACTGTTATTTACTTTTTTAAAGATTATAAGCAATAGTTCTTTGACTTAATTTTTTAGGGGGCAGGACCTGAATTGTAACCTGTTCAAAAATCATAAAGGGGAAGTAGAAGTATGCAAAAATTACTGAATACATTTAAAAAAGCAAATTTAAGTTGGGCTCGGTGGCTCAGCCTGTAATCCCAGCGCTTTGGGATGCTGAGGTAAGTGGATTGCCTGAGGCTGCGGGTTCGAGACCCGCCTGGGCAACTTGGCAAGACCTCATCTCTACAATAAGTCAAAAACTAGCCGGGTGTGGTAGCACGCGCCTGTAGTTCCAGCTACTTGGAAGGCCGAGGCAGAAGGATCACCAGAGCCCAGCAGGTCGAGGCTGCAGTGGCCAGGAGCGGCCACTGCACTCCAGTCTGGGTGACAGAGTGAGACTCCAACTCAAAAAAAAAAAAAAAAAAAAGCAAATTTATCCACAGTAAACATTAAATAATTGTTGGTTGGACGATGAGTCTCTTCTCTACAAATAAGAAAATAAAACTACAATACAAGTGCATGTTAAAGACTTTGTGTCTTATCTAAAAAAAAATCCCATAATAAACAAGGTGAGTTCTATTAAAGATTTTGTTAGGCTTCAGAACCTGAGTTTACTCCTTAGTGACACAAACTGGAATGGTTATTGCTTTTCTCAAAGAGAATGTAGGGGATACACTCCCATATGCAGGTGTAGGAAAGCAGTCACTCTCATACACTTCCACTAAGGACTAGATGAAAATAAGTAACCTTAGAAATATGACCAATTAGACACTTAGCCATGAGCCTCTTTCTCCCCTGTTCCTCTTCCCTCTTCTCAGTACTGATGACTTTTTTTTTTTTTTGCAAGTCAAAGCATATGTGCCTGTCTTGAAACCCTGTTACCCTAATGTCATGGGCAATGCATTAAAAAACATCATGAACAACTAGAAAAAGAACATGGTGACCCACTGTGGTTCTATTCATCCTGATGATAGGACAAATATTCACTTGCCTCTTTCACAGAAACCCAGATAATGTACGAGGAAACAATTTTGATGATATGCAACTCCAAAATCCACCACATGAACACCTGCAGTTTGTGAAAATACTCCAGGAATTTTAAGAAGAGCACAGTAAGGCGGTCAATCACCAGATGCCATTTGTTCCTTAAATCTGCAAAATAGAAAGTGCATCCAAGAGCATCACATTTTGTGTGTGTTATTATTTAAAGCATATCTTGTAACTTTCAAGTTGGAATAAGGAGCTGCAGAATAATTACAGTGGATGAGCTCTAAGAATATCAAAATCCGGATTAAGGGTGACCCAAGAATCCCAAGTCACAACGACACAGCTTTCATAAACTGGGACTTGGAGGAACAATGTTACCTTTATCCACCTTTTAAATAAATTAGTATAAAGAAGAATTTTGACCTATTAATCCTAACATTAAGCCACAACTCCCTAATTTTTGCAGATAAATTCTCACATGTCTATAAGGAAGATAAGACCTAAGTAGCACCTTAAGTAGCTTCCTTACCTGGTTTGAGTAGTTGTAACAGCTACTGTACTTGGTTCTGAAAGTTAAGTAAGGTTTTAGTTTTTGTGAAATATACTTCCAATAGTCCTCTTTATCTGAGGTTTTGCTGTCCATGGTTTCAGTTATCCACTGTCAACCACAATCTGGAAATATTAAATAGATATTTCCAGAAACAAACAATTCAGAAGTTTTAAATTACGTGCTGTTCTTAGTAGTGTGAGGAAATCACCCTGTCCACTCTGTTCTTCCACCTGGGATGTGAATCCTTTTATCTACATCACCATGCTGTCTACACTTTCTGCCCACTGGCCACTCAGTAGCTATCGCAGTTATCAGATCGACTGTTGAGGTACTATAGTGCTTGTGCTCAGTCACCTTTGTTTTACTTACTAATGGCCCCAAGCGAAAGAGTAGTGAGATTGGCAATTTGGAGATGCCAAAGTGAAGTCATAAAGTGCTTCCTTAAGTGAAAAGGTAAAAGTTCTTGGTTAATAAGGAAAGAAAAAAAGGTATGCTGATGTTACTAAGATCTATGGTAAGAATAGATCCTCTATCTGTGAAACCGTGAAGAAGGAAAAACAAATTCATGGATAGTATACATCGGGTTTGGTACTATCTGAGGTCTCAGGCATCCATTCAGCATCTTGGAATGTATCCCCCAAGATTAAGGTATGACTTCTGCAGTTTTTGGTGAGACTGCATTAGTAAAGCTCAAAACCCATCTCATAGTAGCTTGATAATTTCTTAGTCTTAATTACATAGCCTCACAGAGTTGGGTCTTCTCTTTCACACAGAAGAATGTACATTGCTCAGATATACAGAAAGCATTTCTGGTCCTCTCCTCAGATGTTGAGTAGGAGAAGAAGGGAACCAGTTTTTGGGAGCACATTTTTGGAGGGATCTTCTTCCTCAAGCTGCTTTTGTGTTTTTGACTTTTGTAAAGAACAGAGGACCAGTAAAGAGAAGTGCAGCATCTTCTGTCATGGCCCAAGAATACCATTTCAAAAGTAGTGCTCTCTGGTTTCTCCTACACTTTCTCAGAACTACTAAATAAACTAAGATGTCTACCTTTTATATTCTGTCACATAACATTTCCTGGTCAAAAGGACGTTCAGTTTTATCATGTTCTATTAAAACATTATTTCAAGACTAGAAAGAAAAGTAGGAAAGATAAGCGCAAAGAATAAAGAATGAAAATCCCAAAACAGCAATGACAACAAAAAATATCTCTAGGAGTTTTTGTGAAATAACAACTCCTCAATTGCTAGTGTTCTCCTTTAGTTCCCATGTCCGTAAGCACTAGAACAGAACTAGAAATATATCCTCAATTATGTTTCTTGGGAAAGCCTCAGAATGGTTTCTTGAGAATGAGTTTGTAAAGGCAACATCTAGAACTTTCCAAGATTCTGCAAAGAAGCCTGTTCCTGCTTCTGGCAGAAAATGCCCCTATGAAAGGCCTCGAACCGAGCCCATGGCCAGAATCCTACTCCACTAGTGTGGGCAGGAACACCACTTGAGGGTCAGTCCCTGATAACCAGCCATCTGCTCTCTTCTCCTCAGTCAGAATTAAAAGGAAATTATCGAAGCAATTGGAACAGAAATATCACAACACTAGGAACTCCAAAAATATACTCCAATTTTTGTTTCATGGACTGGGTCAAATACACATCCTTTTAGAGCAAGTCAATGTTTCATTCACTCAGTCTGCTGGCAGTCAACAATGTCTGAGCATGCTGGCAGCGGTCTCATTACCTGACGTTTCTTCCTCCTCTGATTCCTCCTCTTCCTCTTCGTCCTCCTCTGACTCCTCGCTGTCCTTCCCAAGCTCACCCTTCTCAGCTTTTTCAGAGCATCCCTCTGGCTTCTCCTCCCCAGACTCAGCCAACTTTCTCACCTCCGGCTTCTCCAGGCTGGCAGTCAGATTCAGCATGGCGAGGTCTGGGAGACTTCCTTCAGGATGGGCCAGCCTGTTGGCAGAGAGCAGCTGAGTCAGAAGAGGAAGGGGTGTCAGGAGAGACTTGAGTGAGGGGCAAGTAACAGGAGGATAAACAAAGCGAAATCAGTGCATGAACAAAGACCTCACAAAATCAGTGCATGTTAGCATCTTGTCATTTTTTTTGTTTGCTTTAAATTCTTTCTAAAAACAAACTGTAAATTCGGTTAGGTTTTGTTAGCTTTTCTAATTCAGGTTCTAGGGATTAGTCAGTAATGAGAGCTGTCAACACCTAAACTTGACATTTTTCCCAGAGGAGAAAATGGTCAGAGTTCAGGTTGTAGAAGCATGAAATGGCATCATGTACAGCAAGCATTTCATGGCTTCACAGGGGGACTTACTCATTTTGGTGGATTGGTAATTTTTTCTTGATGCTGCTCAAAGTAATTGAAATAGAAAGGAGAAAAAGGAGATGAGAATAGAAGAATTATAAGGAAAGTCAGAGATCACATATCATGCTACACATCACCCACTATTGCATTCCTGTATGCCGGTTGCAGTAACACCCTAATGCCCAACGCATTCCGGGATGGCATCAGCAGCGTGCTTTGCGCTGAACCCTAGGCTTGGCGACTGACTTGAGAGTGGACAGGACTGCAGGTTTGTAAAGGAGAGGACATACAGAGATTGCAGAGGCCAAGTAGATCATGCTTTTTCAGTAAAGCAACAAACCATCTTGCAAGAATCAAGTCATTCACATTTTAAATAAGTTTTTTTAAAAAGAATTCTTAAACAATGTGTGCTCTCAGTCAACCTTTGCATAGTCTAATCTCACTCTGCCATCATCTAAAGAATGTGCCCTTGAAGCTAATGCTTTCAGGAGTGCTATGTCCACATCACGTCCCCACCCGAGGCTTACTGATGTCAACTGTTGAATGGCAACTGTGGGAAGACTGAGTGAAATCCTGAGCCAGGGAAAGACGCAGAGAGAGAGCTTCCACTAACCCTGGCCAGAAACCTGGGTATTTCTGTTTATTTCATAGTGGACAATAACAAATATGGTTCTTCTCCTATGTTTTTTTAAAAAGTGCATCTTTTTATTCATATCCAAATCAATGTTTTAAAGAATATTTGTGGCAATCAAGTACATATTAGGACACATTGTATTGGGAATACTGATAATCTTCATTTATAATTGCTTATTCATATTTTTAGCATAGTCATGACAGAATGAACAGTGAATCCTATTATTCTGTCTGCATAATTGTGGGCTCTGAGGAAACTATTTAACCTACCTATAATTCAATCAATTTTCCATAAAATGAAGAAGTTTGCTTAGATAAAAATGTAGCTTACTTTCAACTTGTTGATTTTATATTTGAAAACATATCTCTCATTTTGGGTAGCTGTTGTAATGAATCTACATTATCCTTATACTTTTAGAGAGGTTGTTACTCAAACAATCCCCTTTAACAAGATATCCAGCAGGAAAACAACAGTATGCCAGAAACACTTCCACATTTAATAACATTTAACATGTAGAGTCCTGACAAAGTAGGAACAGCAAATATGTACCCAAGATTTGACATGTGGCACCGGTGTAGAAGAGAAGGTGTTATAATTTCAAGAGTGGTTCGCATTTCCCAAGCCAAGAGGGTGACTTGAGCTTAGGAAAGCAGGTGAGTAGATCATATCTTAGCATAATTCCTTCCACCAATGTTGACTCATCCTGAGATTCTCAACATATTCCAAATTAGAATAGTTTAGACTAAGGAGATTTTTACAGTTGTAGAATTTCCATTTTCTTTCATGGAAAGTAGTTTAATATGCAGCTTTTCAAAATCAGGTCACAGTTCAGAACTGAACCTCTTCAATGCTCCATGTTGCATAATTTGTCCTGTTTTAAATGAGAATGCCTCTCTGATACATAGAATTTCTTCACCTGACATGAAGATTTGGTAGAATGAGACTGGCTTTCTGTCGTCAAGAGGAAAGTCCCTAGACTACATTCTTAGAATATCATATTTTAAATATGTGTGTGTTAGTAATTCTCCCCAAAATCCAGTAGGCAGAACTGGACACAATGACTCCAGTTTCTGTAGTGTAGAAGAAATAAACATAACTCCCATTAAAGTATTCTAATTTATGCTGTTTACTAAATCAGTTCAAACTTCCCCATAGTTACTAAAGTTATATCAAAATGATCTATTATCATAAAACTCCCCTACCTTATGCCTGGTAAGGTAATTTCTGAATAATCAACCCATCAGTTGAATCAAAGGTAAACCCTTTCAGTCTAGAGTGAACATTTACAAGCACATTATTCCTATAAAGCAACACTGAGCACAGAGAAACAAATTATGAGAGAAAGAAAGATTATTTGCTTTATAACAGGATTCACCCTATCATTCTAATGAATAAGAGGGCCTATTAAAAACTGGACACACTTTACATACTGCATTTCAGAAGCACACGTAAAATTAGAGAGAGGTTTGTCTAATGTTTCCTGTGGGGCATAGCTCTGGCCACTCTTAACATGTTAATATTGATACAAAAATGAGACATTTCAGTGGAAAAAAGATAAAGGTAGAGTTGGAATAATTCAAGTTTTTAATTATTTTGGATGACTTTGAAACTAAATACTTCTAAGAAGTCCTGAGTGAATTCATTGGCCTCTGTGATTTGGGGTAACCTGCACAAGCTTCCTCTCATGAGATAAGTCTGGGACTATTGGGATCAAAACTCATACCAATTACTGCCCAGGGAGCCCATCAACCATCTCTTGCCCTCTTATGTGCCTCATCCATCTCCTCACAAAGCAAATGCTAAATATTTTATGAGAAACACAGAGAAAAAGAGTGAGTAGTTTCTTATGTTTGGAGGAATGGGATTCAAGTTGTTGCTCAAGATTACTAGCTGGAATCTATCTCTTACTTCTCTACCTAACAGCTAAAATCCTTAAGGTTGACATTTCTCTCTCAGGCTGTCAAAAATGGGATCCTACAAAAAAGCAGCCTGTTCTCTTTCATTTCTCTTCCTTTAGCAATCTCTACAGTGACCCTCTATATTTTTCACACTGTCTTTTAGAATTTCTCCCTCCTAGGGTTTGCTAGGTAGTGGTCTGCCTTAGGGTTTTACCTAAGATAAAAGTGAATGGAATGGAAGACCAGTAAGTTAATTTGGTTTACTGCAAGATATATGTTCCTATTAACAAAATTATAAGCTTTTTAAAAAAAGGACATGAGGTTATGGGAATGAATATTTAAATTCACCTACTTAGTAAAGTAAGAATGGTTTTAGAAGAAATTAAATCCCAAAGGATCTTTTTTCTGTACTCTTAGGACACTTTATCCAAGCTGGCTTTTTATTTTGTGTGAACATTGCAAGTTTCATCTCCCAGCTAGGTGATATACATCTTAAGGTAGGTCCCTGTCTCAGTGCCATCTCAGTGTCTTTTGTGGTATGAAAACATATAAAATCTGGTGATGTAAAACATCCTTCTTCAATAATATATTGATATTTTTGTAATTATTGAAAAAATGGATATTTTTTAAACCACATATTTTTGTGACAACTTTCACTTCATTCAGGAAAAATCTGTTGACTGTCAACTAATGGGTACCTACCATCCTGGGGTAGCTGTCACAGGGCCGTGTTGGTGAATTAGTGTAGAAATCAATTTAATTATAGAAGAAGCCCAGGCCTGAGGAGCTTAACCTGTACTATAGCAAGCAGGCAGGAGATAAGACAAGGGACTGGAAGGCAAGTGTCAGGACAGCAGCAGTGATAAAAGTGCTGTGGGGCTTCAGAGAAAGGGCAGATTACTTCTAGCGGGGATGTGGGCACTTGGAGGAGGGTTTGTGGAGGAGGTGGTTCTTGAGCTGAGCTCTCAGTTATGTGTTCAAGAAGGAGATGACTTCTCAGGCAAGTCTTGAACTGATTCTACCAAAGGAAAAAACTGGGACATAAGTTTGAACCAAGACCAAAGGCTGAGCACCAGCTGAAGACCTTTAACAACCTCCACGTCTACTTGGCACCACCATTCAGTATAGAGACTAAATGGTTCAGTTTGCAGAATACATCCATGAGCATACCTTGAAGATCATCGTTCACTATCAGATGACACACTCTTTCATTTATAAAGCAGTTAAGAGTTTAACAGACCAATAAGCAGTTTTAAACAAAAACAAGGGAGAAAATACTGAAGTACCCACCTATTTATTATTAGATACACGCGGCCATTGACTTTGGCATGGCTACAAGGTAGAAGACGGAAGCCCAAGGATGCAATGGGGAGACAGGTTGGAGAGAGAGAAAGGAGATTGTTAGACAGAGGTGAATAAAGTAGATTCTCTTAGGCGCTTTGTCATCAGGCATATCATCATCCACACAGGCTTCATGCCTTGAAGAAACATCTAGACAGCAAGATTCAGTAGCAACATGAAATCAGGCATATTCAGGAACAATGCCAGAAGATAGTATCTCTCCGTTCTTCTTAGCCCTCCCCATTTCACACACTTTATTTAAAATATTGTTATGTTTAAACTTTTCAAGGTACATCTTACCAAAGAAAATGTAATTTGAGATATTAACTTTTGCTCTTTCTTCAGAATTAAAAAAAAATTTCCTACACAGTAACCGTATTCAGTATGCTGTTATTTAATGTTTTCTACAACTGAAGTTTTAAAAAAAATTGTTTTGTTTCTCTATGAATAACAATACTTTCTAAAAACAAACCATAGGCAAATTAAAGTGACATAAAAGTAGTCAGTATTTAATTAGTTCTTTGTAAACCATTATTAATTGTGTTATCTAGTTAGCATGCTATATTGTAATTATGTTATATTATTACAAAAATGTAAGTAAAATGATTTTCCTGAGATTGACTTAAAAATAATAATCATTTATTTTTATGTATATTATAAAATATTTCATACTGCTAACTTTGTAAATTCTGTAAGGCATGTAACACAGTACATTCTGCTTTATACACAACTGACATGAGCCTGCACTACACGTATGCACATAAAAACACACAAAAGTGGGCAAAATGGGAAAAGAACAGCTGAGTATTTCCAGAAAAAAATAGTGTAGAAATCAATTTAATGAACACACAGAATCAGTTATTCCCAATCTGTGGGCCACTTTTCATAAAGCATCTACTAAGGATGTGGGAACAGAGAAGACAAAACACGACAGTCTATCCCGACTCTGAAAGACTCTCTTCCTTTATTATTGTGATTTTAATGCAGTTGTTATAGTAGGACACCGGGGATAAAAAATACCATGAGGTGAAAATTATTTTTAAAGAAAATACTACAGTGGGAACACACTGTTGCAAAAACATATCACATGTTCAAAGTTAAAATTTGAGGACTTTTATAAAAAAACTCTTGCATGAAATCCCCAAATACTAAATCTGAGTGAATTCTTCCCATTTCCATTCCAGAAAACTTTTTCTCATAGAGCTAAACATGAAATGCCACGTGTCTAAACTCTTGAAATATCCAGCATGAAGTACTCTTTTCTCACCCTTTACATTGTCTTGGAACAGTCACTGGTAAGGGAGTGCTTAGGGTAAGCCACAGTTGTAGGGAAGGCAAGACAGATGGCTACAGATTATTTAGCTTTTACTTGCCACTGGTGAGGGTAAGAGCTGTGAAGTAGCAGCTTAGGAAACAGACAACTGAGGAAACAGACATCTTGACATGGCTGTAGTCCTTCCTTAGATACTGCATAATTAGATGCTGCTGTACATAAAGGAATCTGTGGAACAAACTCAGTTTCTCACATATGCCTGTGAGCGGTCAGGCCGGTGAAGTCTTCACTGAGTCAAACTGTCTTTTGCAAAATGACGGCCCTCAAAATTTCTACTTTTCTGGGTAAATTGTGAGCTACATTTCTACTTGATTATATGACAGAAGACTCAGACACACCCACAATAAGAATAATAGCAATAGCACATGCCTGTAGTCCCAGCTACTCAAGAGGCTGAGGAGGGAGGATCACCTGAGTCCAGGAGGTCGAGGCTGGAGTGAGTTATGATCACAATACTGCACTCCAGTTTGGGTGACAGAGTAAGACCCTGTCACAAAAAAATAAAAATAAAACAAAAAAAGAAAGAAAAGGAGCAGCAAGAAAAAGGTTCCTATATACTTGAGGAAATTTTCATGAGAAGAAAACAAATATGAAAGACAAGAAAAGACATTTAGAAGATAAAATTTTTTTAAAAGATATCATTTTGCAATGATTAATGCTCAACAACTCTCATAAACATACAAATCAGCGCTGCTAACTAAATAATTTTTTGGCAATATTGAATATAATTTTTGAAAATAATGGTGAGGCTGTATAATCAATTAAAGCATGTTACATGGTCAGAGTTAAATATCAAATAGTAATCTTATCCACAGGTATCCTGAGCAAAATCCAAAAGAATGATCAGATAATCCTCTTTCTAATTATTGACATCTCTTACTTTTCTATGCAGGCATTGTCTTTGTGAACTTTTAAACTTAGGCTGGTTTTCCCCATCAACAATTTGTCTATAAATAATATTGCCTAGAGGGACCCCAAACCTTTAATAACCACTTTATTATTGCTAATGTTTGATTATCACTGGAGGAGATAGGAGTAAATATATAGAGGGTAAGCCACCGGCCCCATCCACACTCTCCTGCTGGGTCTTGGGAAGAGATAGGTTTTAGCTGAGTCTCATCACTTATGGTGGCAAGACAACATAAGACATAATGACTGGTTGATACCGCTTGGATCTGTGGATTAGGTGTCACTGACATACTGGCAGTCAGCCAGAGTATCAGAATGAAAACTCTAAATGTCCTCTTAAGTTCAACAAAACACAATAAAGAAAATAAATCTGCTGGTCATAAATAAGGATTAGAAAATGTTTTTCATCATCAAATAAAAGTATTTTGGAGTTACCTATAATTTCAGTGAAGAAATGGAAAGTTTAGTATTTTACGAAATGTACATGATGAAATTCTACTTCTTTTACTGATGTACTCATTTTTTTCCCTTGAAGTCAAAGAATTAAGAGAAGTTTTCAACTGTGCCCTCTGAATCCTTCTCAATGCAGCCCCTTGCTGCCTTAGTTGCTTAGCAAGTGCTTTTCCAAGAAGTGAATCATGGTTAAAGATCAGGCAGAGAGGAAAACCATTGCTAGCACTCATTAGAAAAATGCTTGTAAATTCCCTGTGACGAAACCGATGAAAGGATCTGTGATAACCCATTGTGGTTTGAGAAAACATTGTCTTCACTCCCTCTTCTTAAATATGATTCTAATTACTAGTTGATTGCAGGTTCTGTCCTTTTAGTAAAGGCTCTTCATTTCTAAAATGGAAGGGAAAATCTTGCCCATCAGCTTTTTGTGTGCTTTCATGGGACGTCAGTATAGGTGGGCAGCATAATAGAAAAAATATCCTCTAAACTAGCCAGATTCTGTAAATGTTCTAAAACCATACACTCAGGCTAGACACAAATACACATTGCCATCTCTAAAATATTTCAGTCTGCACGGCTAGTCTAAATCTACTCACAAGACTATCGAGAACACATTACATTAACCAGTCATAAGTCACTACCTATTGTCTCAGAAAGTGCCATCAAATATTCCATGCTTTTCCCCTCTCTCTCTCTCTCTCTTTTAACTCACATGTTGATACTCATGGACAATTCAAGGTTGAAACTCTAAGCTGGATTATCAGCTTCCTGCAAGGTGGCCGGCCGACAGAAGGGTTTCACGGCTGCTTTCCTGGTAACAAGACGTATATGTCTCTTTCATTTGCTCACCTGTAGACGGTGTTGTCTTCTTTGCTGGGAATGGATTTGAGGTCTGTGAGTTCAAGGAACCGGTCATGGAAATAGTGCAGGTGTAAAATACACACCAGCAGAAAGGAAGTTGGGATGAATATGCGAGTGAACAGTTCAGCTACAGTAAACTGCTTCAAGCCAAGATCCTCAAGCCTGTAAAGAAAAACAACAACATAAAAAGCAGGACCTTAGACAATGAAGACAGCTCTTCCTTATAAACTACGTCACAGCCTTATGCTCCTATCAGCTATATCATTTATTGCATCCCTCTGTGCCAGACATTCCAATTTGGCTTTTGTTTCCCCCAAGCCAGCTAACCTGCTTTTACAATGGTCAGTAACAGTCTCAGCATTGCCAAATTCAATGGCTACTTCTCTAGCTTTATTTAATCGAGCCTCCAGTCCTTCTTGAAATGAGAGTAGTCTTGACGACGCCACCACACTCTCTTGGTTTCTTGTTCCAGTATGATCTCTTTCTCTTCTATTGGACCTCTAGAGGCTGAACTATCTCCAGGACTCAGTTTTGATCTCTTCTCTAGATATACTTCCCCCAGGTTGATGTCATGCTGTCTGGTGGATTTATACATCATCTTCACAGCAAGAACTCAAACGTGCATCTATACCACGGCCTCCTCCTCTGGACTCTCATACCCAAATTGCTGTTGGAAATCGATTATTTCACAGTTATTTCCTATTGAGTGTTTTCAAAACAGTATTCTTGATTCTCTGATTTTCCTTAGCAAAGTTGTCCTCCACCTCCCTCTCCCCACTCTAGGCTTCTCTGGACCAATGCATGATACAGCTGTCTACACTGTGCAAAATCCCAGAATCAGATGTCTCTTGGGTTCCTTTCCTTCACATCTCACTCACCCACATTTCCTTACACCTCTTGAAACTGACCCTTCTGTCATCCAATTCTACCACTCCATGTCCTGGGTGAATCCACCATCATTTCTCAGAGGACCACTTCTATTGCTTACTAACTAACTGGTCTTGTTGTTTCTACTGCCCATATCATTTTTCTCAGCTCGTCAAGGGATCTTTAAAGACTGGGCAATTCCACTAAGAATAAAATAGAAACCACATTGCCTACACACCACACACGTCCCCAGCTGCTTGAGTAAACTCTCCTTTCATTCTCCCGGCAGTGAAGTCTGTCTTCAGTTCCTCCTATGCATTGTGTCAAACTCTGACTTGCATCAGAGCCTTTGCACGTGCTGCTCCCTCTTCCTGAAATGCTTTTCCACACCCCAGCCTCCAACTCACACATCCTTCCTAAGATAAGCTCCTTCTTTTCCTTCAGTTAGAACTTAAACTGCTTTTCCTACCCTGATCTCTCCATTTATAGTTTGTCCATTATTCACTACCTGAACCTGTTGTATGTTTCCTTGAGAGACTGACCGCACATTGTAATTAACTTATTTTACATTAAATTGTTTTCTTGTTTGTCTTGTCAACTAGAATACAAAATAGACAAGGCTTAGACTCTGTCTGTGTTGTTTTCTGTTATATCCTCAGGCACAAAACAGTGTTCAGCACATGGAAAGCATTCAAAAACCATTTGTTGACCGGATCTTTAGTTATCTTGGCGTAGCTACATGGAGATCTTTTCCTTTAAAATTCTTCTCCCAGATGCTTCAATATATTCTGCTCAATGTCCAGTAATGACTGGATTTCCAAACTAATTTCAGAAGTTTACAGAAGCAAATTAGAAAAGGACAGAACACTGTCTACTATTTGCACGGGGGAAAAAAAACTACCTTATCATCATGAGTCTCTTAGCACATACAGAAATTTATTTCTCTATGATACTAACGTTCCTTAGAAACTAAGCCCCAGCAACATAAATTGAGGAAAGGTCACTATTCTATGTGATAAGTCCATGAGCCTACCTATAAATTAAAGAGCTGAGCTCTGACTTGGAGAGCAGAAGGCACAACTAAGCATTAACCAGGTGTATTTCACATGGAACTGACATTTAAAAATGCCTTTTCATTAAAATGGCACAGAAAATTCATTGATCAATATTCATGAAGTACCTGCTGTGTTCTAATTTCAGGGATGGGGAGAAGGAATACAAGAGAACTAACTTATAAATCCTGTTCTAGAGAAACTTGTAAACATTAATGATATCATGTTTTACCAAGATCTTCTGTAAAAGTACTCTGAATAATATGCATTCAAGTCTTCATCCTGCTTGCCATTTTTAGGAACTCATTGCCCACCAAAATTGCTTACTTTTCCTTTTTCAATCCGGTCATATTTTGCCACAGGCCTGGGAAGTTTTCAAACTGATATGTGTATATAAAGATAAGCACCAGCATAGTGTAAATAACCACAGACATCCAAAAATATTTTAGAATTCTCCTCCACCAATCATAGTGCACCTGTGAATCAGACATTGAAAAACAAATGAAAAAAATCATTTCTAGGAAATCTCACAAAAACATTTGACTCATTCAAGTAAGACAAGTGATTATATCTACACATATTTGAAAATAAAGTCTGTATCATTTTTAGGTTTCTGTATTCTGTTCCTAATATAGTTGAATGGATCTGGGTTAGAATCCCAACTCTACGAGTGGTTGCCAACTGTGTCTTTGCAGAAATTGTTGGACCTTACTGAGTTTTGGTTTCCATCTTCATAAGTACCTACCTTTCAGTATCACTATGAGGATGAGCCAAATAATATTTATAACTTTCCAACGAGATATCTGGTCTATAGGAGGCACTCAGGGGGGCTGTGGTAGGTACTGCTGTCATTGTGGCTGTTACTGATGAGAGAAAACTGCATCTGCTTATCATAATACTATAAGAAAAGGAAGGATTGGCAGTAGCAGGAAACTGCCAGGAGGGGTGTGGGGAAGCAGGATTGGCAGTAGTGGGAACCTGCCTGGGGAAGGGGGGGCACACCTCGTCAACAAAGGTACCTGCATAATGAACATTTGTATGCCTAACCCTGAATTGTACCTCACATCTTTAAAATAAAAAAAAAATTAAAAGAAAAAACAAAGAATCAAAGCAGTATTGTACGAATACAAATGTGGAACAACAGAGAAGCCATCTCTCTTTACCATAAACTCTGAATATTCATTGGAGAACATCTATCCTGAATTTTACAAAGTATTCAAAAGTTCGCTGAATTTTGTTGGGATCTTTTTATTTTCACATCTTGTTTATTACTTCCTTCCTTACTTGCATGTTTACTCTTACTTACTCACTCTTGTTTACTGTAGCTGCTTTATTTGGCTAGTTAGCTGCTCTCAAGGATATTTTATTGTTACACAGGATTATACCGTTGGGTTCCTTTTATCATCAGTTAAAACTGTGTCTGTGAAGAGACTAACTTATTTTTATGTAATATTTTATGAATTTCAATTAATGAAACACTAAAGTAGTCAATGCATTATACATGTATATCTACACACACACGTGCACACACAGACATGCATGTGGACCCAATGCACACACACATGGTTTTCTGATCTCAAAACCTGAAAAATAAGTTACCTGAGAATCCCCCACTATTTTGGATTATCTAGCCACAGCTTTTATATTATTAATACTATTTTAAAACATAACCCAATTTTAGATTTTTTAATAAAAAACTTTTGAGAAAATTATGTATGGACTTTCTTTCTGACTTTCTAAGAACCTAAACTTTAAAAATAGTAAAGAAATGAAGATAGCCATTTACCATTTTTGAATTATTTTTATTTTTATTTTTTTTTGCATTGGAGTCTCACTCTGTCACCCAGGCTAAAGTGCAGTGGCACACTCACAGCCACCCCAGTGTCAACCTGTTGGGCTCTGATTATCCTTCCGCCTCAGCCTTCCAAGTACCGAGAACTACAGGTGTGCACTACCACGCCTGGCTAATTTTTTATTTATTGTAGAGACGAGGTCTTGCCAAGTTGCCTGGGCTCACCTCAGCCTCCGAAAGTGCTGGGATGACAGGCTGAGCCACCAAGCCCAGACCCATTTTAGAATTCTTAGGGTATGATGTTTGAATCTCAACAATCATTTTACATGATATGTTCATGGGTCATAGTAATTTAGAATCTCTGCAAAAGTAGCTCATATGTATTCCAGGGACAGATGTGAGAATTTAAACAAATAGAGGACAATAGTTTACCTACCTGATATAAGGCCACACAGAACAGAAACAGCACCATGTAGATGATTTTGTACATGACGATTTTACCCTCAAAGCTGACAAAGAAGAACATGCCTCCACAGACATAGATCCAATATTTGATAAACATGGCCACCACCAGATTGCCTAGCACTTTCATGATGTCCTGGTCATCATCTTCTTCTTCTGTTTCTGCTTCCTCTTCCTTCTTTCTCTCTTGCTGCTCTTCCTTCACTTCCTCCTCTTCCTCTTCCTCTTTAGGCTCTCCTTCCACTTGTATATCTTGAAGTTCTTCATCTTCAAAATAAAAAGCCATGCCATTATACTTAGCTGGTTACCTGAGCAGAACCACATTGATGGTGTGTGATATAGGCGGGACATAGAAACATGTACTTTATGAGTTATGAAATAATTTGGATGATTTTAGACTATGCTAGTAAACATGGCAACATTCATAAATAAATAGTCAATTTTTATAGCCTTTCTAAAATGGAATTTAAAAGAAACCAAATTTGGCAATATTTTAATACTAATCTCTTTATAACATCTTTTCATTTCTAATATCCAATGACAGCTTTAAACACTACTATTTCATGGTTTTAGACAATCAAGCACTTACTAAATGTGGTTAATTCTAACAATTTTAACCACAGGCATGACTTTAAATAATTAAAAGTGTAAGAGTTAAAGTCAACTATAATTTAATTTAAATTACATTTAAAGAATAATTGTAATTTAACTGTTAAAAACAATTTTATGCATTTAAATTAAAATTTTAATTTGTCTTGCTTTAAAATATGCTAAATATAGGGCTCAAGTCTGTTAGAAAAGCTTATATCTGAATAATTTGAAAAACTTTTTCAAAATTATTATTTGGATTAATTTAGATAGTTTACTCAAACAACTAGCAGATTCACAGAGGAGAGTGAATAAACATGAAGTCAGAGCTCAGAGTAATTGGTGAACTCAAAGTAACCATTCTTTACCAAAATTAACTGGTTAATTCAATCACTCTGTTAAACAGAGACATCCAAACTCATATAGGCAAGACTTAGATTTACAGATTTCTGTTGTTGAAAACAACTTAATGGGAATTAGCTACAGATCAGCTAGGTAGACAGACAGGATGGGTCCGCCAGTTACAACGCAACAAACTTCCTGCTGGTTTCTGGGACTGAAACACCTATGTAGGTAAACAAGCTCCCTTCAAGCCCTTTAAACTAGAGCAAAAACACTGACTGCTGGGATTGTAAAATAAACCAATCAGCTCACTGCTATGTGCCAACCAATCAGCTCACTACTAGACCCCTACCTCCTGCTGATTGATTCTTAGTACTGCAATCAGCACAGCCAGTGCCAACCAATCAGCTCACTGCTGGTGCTAACAATCAGTTCGGTCTTAGGGCTATATAAGCATCAGGTCCCTCCCATTGTGGGATCTTTTTTTGTTTTCTCAATAAATCCTACTTTTTCATCTTCTGGGCTTCTATTTTTGTTTTCTCAATAAATTCTACTTTTTCGTCTTCTGGGTTTTGGTGTTCCTCATTCTTCCTGGTTGCCAGACAAGAACCCAAGCCCAAAGAGAGCTGCTGAAGATTATTGGAACTGAAGAGCCGTGTACCCTGGAGGCTGGCTTGTCAGCCAAGGGAGCTGGCTGAACTGAGAGCAAGACTCCAGAGCTGAGACATTTCTCGAGGCTGGCTTGCCAGCCCACCAAACTGGCAACACTGTCAGGGCTTGGCTTGCCAGCCCATTGAGCTGACACTCTTTGGGACTCTTTGGGGCTTGGCTTGCTGACCCATTGAGCTGACATTCTCAGCACTGGGCCAACCAGACAAAAATCCATATCAGCATTTTTAAGAAAGGAGATGATTTATATTTGAAAGATTTGAGTCTGTTTCTTGGTTCCAATATGCACTACAAGTATGACCTTGGGGGAATCATTTATTTTCTCTGAGCCTCAGTTTCTTCTTCCATTGGGGATCACTTTTGTGAGGATCAAAAGGTACATTTTTAAAGCTCCTGTGAACTCTCATGTATACTCTAAAAGCCACATACTATACTAGTGTTATTTATGACTTTAAATGTTTGGCTGCTATTTAGTCTGAGGCTTTCTGATATATTTTAGAGCTGTTTCTCTGTAATTTTACAGAGCACAGAACTTACCTTTTTCTTCATTTTCTTGACTACCAATTTTGACTTCAGATAAAAGAGCTTCCTTTTCTTGAAGAGCTTTTTGCTCTGTGAGGTGCTGCCTCAGCAGTAGCCAAAAAGTAATAGTGAAAAGAATCTGAAATTAGAGAAGTAGCAAAACAAGAATTAGGCGACCAATCGAAGTGTAAACACATTTCAAGGAATGCAGTGCCTTCTCCACATTCCAGTGGGAGCACGATAAACAAACATTTTTACTGCAGATAGAGTCAGGGCACCCACTTGATCTCAGCTGAAATTCACTGCCTTCTAATCCCTTTTCCTGAGGATGCTTTCATGTGTGTGTTGGTTACCAGAAGGGTATTTAGCACCATGCAAGGCCCCAAGGAAGATGAACTGAACCATTCAAAGTCCTTTCATCTAGGAAGGAAGTCATCTTCAGCAGTGGTCTCCCTCAAGCTGCTTGTCCCTGGTTTGATTTCTTCCTAACTGTGGTGTCATCGCCATTGTAAAAGGAAGATAAACTTCCTGTATACTATTCTCTTGAGTCTGCAACATTCCGTATTTTGCAGAATTTCACAGACTGAAAATTTCATCTCAGAAAATAGAATCCCTTATTATTTCTATTAATCTTCCAAAGCTGAAGTAAGACTAATTCTAGATGCCCACAGTTTTATATTGACATTTTCTTAGGGACAAGGAAAAATACTTTTGATATCAAGGAGCTTTCTTCTTTAGGGAATATAGTACCTAAGACATAAGAGGTGTGTGAGTGTGTGTGTGTGTGTGTGTGTGTGTGTGTGTGTGTGTGTGTGTGTGTTGTGTAATAGCTTTATTGAGATATAATACATATACCATATAGTTTACCTATTTAAAGTGCATAATTCAGCGTTTTTTAGTATATTCACAGAGTTGCTCGATTATCACTGCAATCAATTTTAGAACATTTTTATCATTCCCAAAAGAAACCTCATAGCAGTCACTTCTTTTGCTCCCCATCTTGGTCCTAGACAAACATGAATTTACTCTTTGTCTCTATATATTTGCCTAATGTGGACATTTTATATAAAAGGAATTATACAATATGTATTATTATTTTTTCTTTTATTTTAAAGATGTGGGGTACAATTCAGGGTTAGGTATACAAATATTCATTATGCAATATGTATCATTTTTAAGTGGATTCTTTTACTTAGCATAATGTGTTCAAGTTCATTTATGCTGCAGCACGGATAATACCTCATTCCTTTTTATTACCAAATAATATTTCATTGTATAGCCATACACCATTTTATTTATCCATTTACTAGTTAATAGGCCTTCAGGTTGTTTCCATATTTTTGGCCATAATGGATAATGCTGCCATCCATCAACATTCATGTACAAATTTTATGTGAATATATATTTTCAATTCCCTCACGTGTACAAACCTAGGGATGGCATTGCTGGTCTTATGGTAAATTCTAAGTTTAACATTTTTATGTTCCCATCAGCAGTGTGTAACAGTTCTAATTTCTCTATGTCCTCAGTAACTTTTGTAACTTTTTTAAATGAAAGCCACCCTAGTGGATATGAAGTGACATTTTTTTTTTTTTTTTTTTTTGAGTAAGAGTCTCACTCTGTCACCCAGGCTGGAGTGCCGTGGCACACTCAGTGTCGACCTGCTAGGCTCCAGCGAGCCTTCCACCTTAGCCTTCCAAATAGCTGGAACTATAGGTGCGTGCTACCATCCTTGGCTAATTTTTATTTATTGATTGATTATAGAGATGAAGTCTCACCAAGTTGCCCAAGTTGGTCGAGAACCTGCGAGCTCAGGCCATCCACTCACCTCGGCCTCCCAAAGTGCTGGGATTACAGGCTGAGCCACCGAGCCCGGCCTGAAGTGATACCTTACTGTGATTCATACCAGAGTTTTTATAAATATTTGCCAAAGAGGTTTGAAAAAATAAATAAGACAAACAAATGGATCACTGGATATTTTCTAACTTAGCTATACATAAATGTTCACTTATCACTTCCTTTCAATATAAACCAGTGCCAATAAGTCCTGGTAAACATGCACAGGGCCTAAGGAAATCAAAACCACAGGCCTACATTTCTGAAAATCTGGCATTAAAATTTTGGAAGTCACTATGCATATATATATAATAACTATAAATTGGGAAATAAGTCTACTTATTTCTCTAATGCATATTCAGAGAGGTTAGGTGTAATTGGGGGCAGATAAAACATCTTTCCTTGGCAGGGTGAGTTAAAAGTCTGGTTGTGCAGGAGGCAATGAATATGGTTTGGTAGAGCCAGGAGGGAGGTGGGTGAGTCTGACTCTACTGGAGGTGTTCAGCCCAGTGAGGACAAAGGCTAGATTCTTTTCTCTTATTTTCTATCACAGTGACTCGTCTAATACTCTGTAAATAGTGTGTGTTATATGTTTTATACAAATGTTACTGTCTATGCCAAAATCTTACATGATTTGCTGAGCAAAAATATTAAATTATAAAATACAAGTACCGACCTTAGGATCCCAGAATCACTTTTTAAAATGAGTAAAAAGTTTATTTCCCAAATTATGTTTCCTTCCAAAGAACTGTTAATTTTAGATTAAACGGAAGATAATTCAACTCGTTAGTTGGCATGCATGTTTAGAAGTCTCACTGTTATTCTGAGTCAAGTTGTAATGTATTTGCATAATCAAAATAATAAGGTTTTGAATTTCTCTTATAAGAAAAGACTAAGATGTGTGTGTGTTTCTGTGTTTAAGAGGAAAGAAAGAAAGAGTAGAAACACGTTAGATAAAAGTGACTTGTGAATAAGAATACTATGTGGAATTTTCAGCATAGGGTATCATTTGGAGAGAAAGCAAGAATAGGTAGGCATGGAGGTTTGGGATGAATGAATCAATAAGTGAAATTCCCACTGTCCATGAACACAGAAGGGTTATGGTCTCACTTCTGTCATCAGCATTTACCTGTTAGAAATGTTTTCCTTTATTCCATCATCCCTTCATCAAAACATCTGTTACAAGGACCAGTCTTTGGTCTAATCTTCTCAGTATCACCATTTACACCAGATTGCCTTGGCTATGGGTGTCTGGTACTTTTAAAGTAGGGGATTTCTCCCAGGAAAGGTGAATTTCATGTAATGCAAATGAGTGTCTCTTTCAGAGATACTAATTTTTAAGGCCCATTTAACACATTCATGTGTTTGTTTTTACTGTCTTAAGACGAAGTCAGCAACACAAAAAGAATGTGTGTTTAGTCTGCCACTTGTTTAACAAAACAAACAGTAAGTTGGGACACCCAATCTTCTGAAATAAAAACTTCCAAAGTGATTCAAAGAAACAAATGAGTAATGAAAAGATTGTGAACATTCTAACTCAGACGAAGGCATATCATAGAGTCAGTAGAAGGAAGAAAATCAAGTTCATACTTAATTTTTGCTTCTAAAAATGTTTATAAGGACATAATTTGAGAAAAAAATGTTTCCATTAATAATCAATACTTACCTATAACAGACATGTGTTAAGCATGTTTTACAAGTTGATGGTCTATCCAAGAAAGTCCTCTAACCCCTTGATATATTTTACATTGCATCTTCCTATTTCCATATCTAATTTCTACTAGAATATAATTTGTACTAAAAATAATATATACTATAGTTTTTTTGAAGAAAAATATTGTCATTTTTAAGGAAAAGCTAAAATCATGGTATAAGATATGTTTATAGTTAAATTATAGAGACCTCTCGGCCCTATTCATTATTTTTATACAGTCTCAAATATGTTCATTTTTGTAAAGCAGTGAATATTTGGAGTCTAGCTTAATTAGGTTTCTCTTGGATATGATCACTATAATTACTGTGGTTTGTGTCATTGTTTTTCTTGTTTTCACTTACCTTTGAAGCAAGTTCTCCTGGTTCTTTCTTTTCTAAAAATCCTGGGACCTTTTTAATTTCAGGAAGTTCAAAGCTCCATATATACTGTAATATCAACAACAGATTTCCATAAACCACCATGAAAGGAGAGCTGATCATGGCATATTTTCTTCTGTTGCGTATCATCCACAGAGTACATGACCAAATCAACAACACAAAAGTCAACCAGCTATGATAAGTGATGCTCCAGGCCTTGTGGGAGAAAAGAAAAAGTGATAATGGTCAATACAATATACAGTCCCCTCATTCTGGTAAGTTAAAAGTTATCTAAAAAGAAAAGGTCAATGACATTCAAATGAGGGAGAGGTGGTAAAGGAACAGAGAGAACCCAGCCTGTGGCACTGGAAAGCAAGAAAAAAGAAATGCTGATTGTGCTGAGAACGACATTCCTTTTGAACTTGCTAGGGAGTAGAGTCAATGGCAAAGTACTTTTCTTTCCAAGTCTCTTTCCTACAAGTCCCACATCTCTTGATCTTTACCCTACTTTGAAATATTTTAAAATAACAACAAAAACAAAAACAAAAAAACAAACAAAAAAATGCTGTAAGTGTATTCTCCTCCCCAAAATAGTTGGTGTCCACAGCTATTTGTAAGTTATGAGTATGGGTCATTGTGGAGGCTGGAAGTTAGAAGCTTTAAGAATCACTAGGTTGACTTTACAAACTGGGCTTCAGGGGTCATTCTTAATGGATGACTCAAGAAGATACTAGACAGAAATTACAAAATTTACATGAAGTTGCGTCTTAGGCACCCATACCCGAGACAATAAAGCCAAGTTAACAGAGGCCAACCTCAGCTTCTGTCCTGCAATGGTTAGGACTAAAGAGCTGTCAGACTCTTTGGACAAATGATACATTTTCTTTTATTCACAGTGAACTTTCAAAGAATCAGAAACGTATCTCAAATGGCAGCTACCAGAATAATCTGTAAATCAGGCAAACAAGCACTATTTACTTTAGAAATCTCTTATCTCTTAACATAATTTGATATCATAGTTTTTGTGAAAAACCCTTAAAAATATCTTCTAGTATGTTTGGGCTACTTGAAATCAATAGTATTTCTGAATTTCATGAGTTAGTTCCAAAGCTCAAAATGTTTTACAAGTCTGTCTTGTTTCTAGAAATTGGGTATTAAGATAAATGAAGTCAGCATGGAGTAGACAAATATTTTCTCTTAGAAATTTGCCTATTTGTCCTCAAACACCTCTAACTTTTTAAGGTGATGAGTTATTTTAAACTGTTGGTTAAAATACATGATAATTATAAACTGGACATATAAACTGCTTTTATCAAAATTAAGTTAGTGACTGACAAGTATTATCAAGTCTGAATTATTTTCATGAAAATATTATTTTTTAGAAATAGAATTTATAAGTTAGGTAATATTTAATATATTTGCATTAAATAACACATTTAATAGTCTTGCTATTTAATGCATTTATCTGAGTATGAAATGCAGATATGCCCTTGCCCTTCTTATGTGACAGGAAAATAATCTTCAAAGATATTATAATCCCAGAAGATTCCAGCCCCTCCTTCTACCACATGATATTCTTGCTTGGGAGAATGAGGAAGAAAAACAAGTTATGAGAATTTTTAAAAATTTCTCTTCTTTTTAGTGCCAAGTCATTATGCCTTTTGGTTGTGGTGGCTGGGAAATAAAATCTGCACTGTGTTGCTTCCTATGTTCAGTTTCAGAGTTGTCTGACAGTTTAGTATATTTGCATTTTGTGTTTTGAATAAATACACATATCATTTTAACGGACTTGGCTCCTCAGGACTTCTGTTTCTGTGTGTGACAAAAAAGTCTCCTGCAACAGGGAGCTTCCAGGGAAGGCAGGCACTCAGAAAACATTAATGTGACTCTGTTAACACAACGAAATGGTGCCAGTCAAGACACATCCTTAATGAAGGATTATGTTGTTTTTACAATAGACTTTTTTCTATGAAGTAACAAGATGTGTACTCCAGTATTTTTTAAAGCTCTAGTTTGTTAAAGAAAATACCAAATTATCTGGATTAGAGAGAAGAAAAAATAAGTGCATACATTTTTTAGTTCTAAATCAGAATTTTTAATTGTGTTTATAATATGTTTGATGTTAACAATTGGAGACTTGCTATAGTGTAAAGTAGAGGTTGATATATAGAAAAATGTCAAAAAGTAATCAAAAAACAAAGAATTAATTTCATGTAAAGAATCAAGTTGTAAGCCCCAAAATAAGCATCTTTGGTTTTAAGGAAGCTTTCTTTTTTCCAGCCTCCTCTTGCGTGTGGTTGTGTTCCTTACTAGAACTGAAGTTGAGTGACTAACAGTTTCCTCTGGGAAGCATCTTGATGTAGTATTTGGAGAAATTGTGTCTAGGTATTCTTTCCTTCCTAGAGTTACAGAATATTTTCACTTTTTTTCATCAAAGCTGTCCACATAGGATTTCACCATGGACCACAGAATTTGAAAGAGTTGTATTTTCAACAAGAGTGTTAGGCTTCTCAAAAATAAATCAAATTTCCCAAGAAAATCTGGTTTTAGGAAAGGGAGAGATTAGAGCTTCTTTTGTCTTCTATTTATAGGCCAAAGGTCTACCTTTGCAGCTGTGATGTTGGAGATGGAGAATGTATCAAGAGGTGAGTAAAAACATTCACAAATGGAGTGCTCACAATCAAAGAACCTCCTGGGTGCCATGGCTTTATGCTCACATCGGCAAAAAGTTATAGTAGCCAACATGGAATAAAGTCTCACCCAAATCTAAGATGAGATGTGAATGTAACTTTCACTATCTGAAAGAAATAAAACAGTCTATATTAACCTGGCATATAGTTAGTACCTTTTAGAAATACTACCTAATAAATATGTCCTCTTAAATTGGCAAGATAGGGGGTAGTGTGTCCTGATAAGCTAATTTGAGAGAAGTATATTAATATTTAAAGGAAAGATGTGATTTTGCAATCTATAGTATAAAAAATTAACATAGCCATCCATTCTCTGCCAGGGTATTGGGAAGATTCCTATACTCATGCTGGCCCTGAGAGGATGAGAGCTTAGAGCCAGCCAAGTTGTGGGCACCACGTTTCCAGCACCCTGGCCACTGCTGCTCATACCTACCATCATAGCAATGAGGGCACAGATGTAACTTTGTTTCATAATAAACTGGAACACAGAGACCATGGCGTGAACTTTGACGCTTCTTTTTTCTTCATGACTCCATTCTTCTTCAAATTCTTCTTTCTCGTCTTCTTCATCCTCTTTCTTTTCTAGATGGACAAATAAATGCAACTATGCAAACTTGAAATCTGTATAAATATTTCAAGCAGTGCAACATATGTATGATTGTGGCAGAGTCTCTTATTTAAGATTTCAGAAAGTATTTCCAATTAGTAAAGCCTTTATATTATGTTATAGATTCTGCTTGGTCAGTGTAATGGGACTCATCACCTAGAAATTGAGGGAAGAAAATTTCCATTTGAGAGGGTAGGGAGGACAGCCTCTAAGATGGTTCCCAAAGCTTCTCCTTCCTGGTGCTCGTGCCCTTATGAGCCCTCCCTTTGAGTGTGGGTGGGGCCTGTGACAGGCTTCCTACAACTAGAGCGCTTTAGAAAGGATGTAGTGTCACTTTCAAGATTTAGTTTTAAAAGACTGTGGTTTCTGTGCTGAGCACCCACTGCCATGCTATAAACTGCCCTGTGGGGTGTCCCAGGTGGCAAGAACTGATGTCTCTGCCAGCCAGCAGTCAGTAAGAGCCTGGGGCCAGCCAATAGCTATAGAGTGGGCTTGGGAAGAGATTCTCCCCTAGGTGAGACAGCAGCCCCAGCCAGAAGCATCCCTGCAACCTCATGAGTAACCTCGAGCCAGAGGGACCAGCCTAGTCACACCTAGATTCCTGGCCTGGAGAAATTGTGCCATACTAAATGCTGTTAGAGCAGCCACAATGTAAAATTCAAATGCCCTTTCTGTCTGTCTTATTTAAGTTAAGTGGGCTACATATAAGTGTGTTACAGTGGAGAGTTTCTTAGCATCACGAACAGGAAGTATAAGCCACTGAAAAACCAGTGACTGTGCATACCCCACGCACACTCCACCTTGAAGCTGCAGTGTTTCCTTGGCAATGAAACATAAAAAAGCAGCAGGACTGAATAAGTCTAGCGTTTATATAGAAAAGCTCGTGGATCACACACAGTGATGAAAGCACCACATCTGGTGGATTCTAGAGTTACTGGCATGCTACTTCTCTGATTGTGACAGTTTGTGTTGCAATTATAGATTCAATTTTCTTTAAAAACTTTCAGGGTTTTGTTTTACTTTTGAAAGTTCAGTTCATGATTTGAGTGTGTTTGGGTTGTCCTTGTCAGCAGTCAAAATTCTATTTATTCGTTCTCCTATAAATATTGTATAAGTAGAAGGACATCTAGGCTGTGACCTGAATATCTCGAATGTGAGAAGTCATAAATGCTCATTCTTGGGCCCTGTCCTATGTGTTTCTGGTGCCGATGCTCTGAAGACCACCTTTTGGAGAGCACTGCATTTCCTTTTCATTTTAAGCCCAACTTGGAAACTAAAACATACACGTGGGATGCAGAGACAGGTAACAAACCAGCATGGTGCTCTGTGAAGCTCACAGGTGTCATCTGGGGTTGGACAAAAAAGGGACTCTTTTTCAAAACATGCATATGTTAACCAGAAAAACTGTTCACCAAATTATACATCAACTAAAAGAAAGACCAACATACATATATACATGTAGGTGTAATACTATACATAAAGTGACATATTTAAGATATTTTTCATGCCTTTCTTCCCCAAAGTTTTTGCTCAGTTATGCCCCTTATTTTTATACAAACTTGGTATACAAATGGCAATATGCTGAGGCAAAATACAGGCAGAACTTTTAAAAATGAGCTTAATTATACTGACCATGGAAGACAACATTTCCGTTTAAAAAAGAGAGCCAAATCAAACAACAACAAACCAAAAAGAGAGAGAGGTCAAGTGTATGAATGAAAGGGAAATTCAATCCTGAACATAACACATGCCCTAGGGCTGGTTCCCACCTGAGGATTCATCAGAGGGCTCCCACCGGTACTGAGGGGTTGAGTACAGGTCAGTTTTGCCAGGGCCATTCTCCATGGGCAGACTGGGGTGGATGGTGTGGTAATCCACAGGGTTGCCGTTCACAGTCACGAGTAGGCCCTGCCGAGAGTACAGGGAGAGGGACACCTGTCACAGTAGCTCTGGGGTTCCAATGAGGTTATACCTGCTTCTTCCCTTCCTCCACCCTTCATCTAACAGTGAGGAGTCATTGCAAACTGAGCATTTAGATAATCGTCCAAATACTTTCACAAGACGAATCGTGCATATTCTCTCTCCAAATCTAGTCTCCACCAAGTGATAGCAGTAAAATGTTGCATCTGATCTTGTCACACTTCAGTGACAAACTGTGCGATGCACCCTCTGTCCTCAGTATGAAATGCCACCCCTCATAAAAGGCTGATGAAGACCTTTAGGACCTGGTCTCTCACCACTGTCCACCTCCCAGCCATCCCTCCAGTTGCTTGGAACTCCAGACCTTTCTTGGACCCTGGCCCAGCCCTGTCCTATCCCATGCCTCAGGGGGTTCTTCAGCATTAATGCCAACGTCCTTCAGATATCAGCTAACAAATCATCCTCTGAGGATCTGTGTCTGACTACAAGGCTTCAGTTCCCTGAATGTATCACTACATTCAATTGCCTGCTTTCCCTCTGTCTCTGGTTGCATATTTTTTGAGATAAACATATAAATATGCTTATGCACATATATGTGTGTGTGTGTGTGTGTGTCCTAGACATGCAAGACTTCCTATTTAAATTATGTTATAGGCCTATTTATAGAACAAAATGCTTTTTATAAAAAGTCCCACAAATATTGCTTTTTGAAAGTTTAAAATCTCAGGCAACCCCTTCAGGTCCCCGCCTACTGTGGGAGCTTTTTTGTTCACTCAATAAATCCTGCTTTCTCAAAGGAAAAAAGAAAAAGTTTAAAATCTCATATATGACTTAGTGTTTTAACAGCATTAAACTAGATATAATTTCTGCAAAAAAAAAGATTGAAAAACTTCTGGAAATCTTATAGATCATTAAAATCCACTCAAGGGTGCGAATTCCATTTCTGTCAATTTTATATCACTTACACAAGCATACATAAATGATAATTCTAAGGGTATACTAACATCAGATGGTTTGTAGTCATCCTGGGTCATAGATAAAAGCTGAAAAGCAACATAGGACAGCATGTTAGTAGGAAAGCCAAAAGCATTTTTAATGTTTACATATCTATACCCAGTCTTTTTAGCTTGGTGGATGCTAGTTAGTTAAAGTTGCCATGCAAAATATAAAAAGACAAATAATTGAACAGAATTATTATAACAAACAGAATGTTGCTGTTTGTTATAACAATTTTCCAGCTTCCGATGTTAACTTTTGTTTATAACAGCAAACAAGCCGTCATAAATCATGTGACTATAAAAGCTGTTTTTCAAACTTTTTTCTAACAGGACAAACTGTTTCATTATATACTTCTAGAGCTCTGTGAGATGTCTACAGAATTTCATTAAGTATTGACTTTCAATAAATTGAAGTTTCATAATAAACAATTGACTTGTAGTGCAGTTTGGGATTATTTTAAAATTTGCATATTGTCTACAACCCAATGATTATTATATGCCTGTGCTTTCTAATTGTGTTAATGCCAAGTGGTTTGAGCTCCCCTCCAATAATAATTCACACATAAAGATTCTGCAGCATAGTTGGGTCAGACTCATTTACATTTTAAAAAATCAATGAAGATTCCAAAGAGCTTGGATATATGTGGGTTCTATCAATATCGACCACACTAGACATTAAAATAGGCATTTAAAATATTTATTTATTCATTCAAAATTGTAAAAAAAAATCGATGCTAACATATATAAATTATTTAAATAACTATATCTAAAAAACAGTGAAAAGAGTGTCATTGTTTTCTACTTTTGTATAGCTTTTAAATGTCAGGCTTAATACAAGACAACTGGATTTTCACATCTGCTTTTGCATTCACTCTGCTGTGAGATATTCTTTTGGATGACGTATGTAAAGGAAATCTGGCTTCACAGAAGTATGCAGCTGGAGAAGGAGGGAGTATTTATTTTCAATACAGTGAAATTTCATAATAAACAATTGGCTTGTGGTGCAGTTTGGGATTATTTTAAGTCTATCTAGATCACTGCGGACAGTCTTCATTGCTACTGCATCAAACTCAACCAGTGATGGGTTTTGAGGATTAGTTGCAGAATGGAATCTGAAACTGTATGAATGACTTTTTGCACTTTGTTACATTAGCCCACTGGCATATCATCTTGCACCTTGAATGAATCTTTTACCCGTGCGGTATTATGTCAGATAGGGAGGACTCAAGTTGTTGGCTCAGCGAGTTACACAGCTCTGTCAGATACTGACATGCTTCATTATGCGATAAGAAGAAACGCATTTGTGAGACCACCCTGATCTCATCAAAAAGCCACTAAATATTGGAAAGTTTTCTAGCACTCAGTGGTGGATACAAGTTTTTTAAAATTCTAATTTTTATTCACATGCTTAGATTTTAGCATTGGATATTAGCAAACGCTGTCAGTTGTCTGCCTCAAATTGATGAAGCTCACTTCATTTATTTTCAAGTAATCATCCTCCAAGTACCCAAATCTGAATTGCCATATTTGTCCACGAGCATTCTTTCAGGTAAAAGCAGTTGCTGTGGAAGCAGAGGGAGTTTAGTCCACAATGCCTTCATTGTCTGCACTTTTCATGGCAACCCAAAGTTGTCCTACTTTGTAGGTGGCATGTTATATAGACTTTGCATTTTGCCATACAGAATATTAGAAAAGATGTGCATGCCAAGGTTATGATTTAAGAGCATTAATAACTCTTTCTGGTTCATCAAAGACTTTTTAAAAGTGAAATGGACCTTTTTGTTTTGTCTTCCCTGTAAGCCTGGCAGTGAAGGGCTCCATCTACAGTCACTGCTCTATGCCTTGGTACCATGGCCTTGGTTTGTGCTCAGACACAGGTGAGCACAGGTTTTACCCACCATTCCCTTTGAACTATATCAAGGCAATGATTTTGTTTTTGTATGGAAATAGTTTTGAGCTTGGGGATCCTGTGAGTCTCGGGATCCCCAAAGGTCCACGTCCTTACTTTAAAAATGGCTGGGCAATCCTGGGCTGTTGATACTTATAATTTAGTACAATGGGCAAGATAATCTGATACCTGGTGAGGTTAGAGAGCGAAAATAGCCCCTGAAAATTCCAAGACATCTTTGGGCACCATCTCTATCTCACAGGGCTGTCACCCCTAAGGCAGTTCACATTGTTTTATCCTCTCTCAACACACGGTAGTTATGCAGAGAATAAGATTGTGTCTTAGAGAAACTCGCCTACCACCAAAGAAATCCACCGAATTCGCAAACATGCTGGGAAGCAAAATGCTGACCACCCTAGAAACATAAGAGTATTTGTTTTCACAACATTGCAGATAGGCTGTTTTAACAGGTCAGTATTAGCACTGACTGAGTTGAGTCCAAAATGATCAATATATGATCAAAAGGTTATATGAAGTACCTACTATGTACAACATATATGAGTTACCTGATTTATTCAATTGCAACTCCCTTTTCCTTGTCAACACACATGGACATCTCAAAGGAGTGAGAGATTCTTAATACATCCATATAGATTGCTTGGGTCTTCTCTAAATGGCTATGGAGCTATTATTGAAGCCAGCTACTCAAGAGAGTGAAGTTATTTTCTGCTATGTATCTCGACACTGAAATTTTCACCACCCCAGTGCTAACAGATTGCTTTGTTATTTTTGTTGGTTTTAAACACAATTTTTTTATTTAAAAAATTAAAAACATCCTTTTTAGGATTAAAAGACTTCAGTAGAAAGTACTGAAATATAAAATAATGTTCTTGGTTCTCACAGGGTCTGACAGGCCCCTGGTACTTCCTTTGGACACAGTGTACTCCCTCTCTGAATAGAATTCTCTAGACTAACCCTCCTAAATGAAATAATTTCTAAAAACTATGAGCAACCTGCAGTTACATATTATATTATAAGCCTCTTAATAAACAGTAAAATGCAAAAATAGAAAAATTAGGGAAGGGAAACGTCTTTCTTCAAAGGCTTACTTTTCTCTCATCGGTCGGGTAATGGGTTGCATACCACAGGCTTCGCCTCCTCTCGGCCGTTATTTGGATGGGGCTACAAGCTAGGGCTCTGTCCTCTTCCTTAGTCCTCTCATCTTGTACCTGAAACACAGAATAACAGGAACAGCCCTGCTTGCTGAAGCAGTTTCCTAAGTGCCTGAGTGACCAAGAGATTCATCTTTGCCTCAAGATGATACATTTTCAAAGCGAACATATACAATAGGTGAGAGATTTTTTTAAATGACAAAAATGCCGCCCTGTGATTATAAGCACATCGATATTATATGTCTCCTGACTCCTACTAAGCCCACGTATTACAGAATATGCTCTAATGTTCAATATCCATAGTTTTTCACATGCATTGTCAACTGCACTAGAAATCAATTATGCAAATGGTTCTCAGAGTAAGAGCCTTCATGGAAGAGCAGTTAATTGTGTAAGCCAGCTGCTGGCAATGTTTAATTAAGATGGTATTTATTAAAGGCAGAATCATCTAGAGCTCATACACAGAATTAAGCAAGGGCGTTTCTGATGCACAGAACTGTTCCCCTGCCTAATGAGAAATTTCCTTGACAACTGGTCTACAAGAGATGAAAAAGAGGGCCTATAAAGAACAAAATGCACTTGTGTATTTGAGTGTGTTTTCCCCACACAGGTGCCCCAGTAAAAAGGCATTTACATGTCACTGATACTGGAGTGGAGGGAGTGAACTTAGTCTCACTGGCCTGTTCTGGGGTTCCAGTATGCCAGGGTAGTGTACCTAAGGGGATCACCCCAACTATATGGATAGGGATTTATGCTTGTCAGGGGAGGGGGGTCATATATTACATTGAACTCTTGTCACCTGCTTCTCTCCCTCTTTCAAACATATCCGATAGACTTCTACCTCAGGACTCCATTTGGTGGCTGGCAGTTTTCATTAAAAGTGCCAGATTATCTGGAACTAGAATATAATCAGCCTTCTCCCTGCCTCAGTGAGCCAGTCCTTGTGTCCTAGCCCATTTAAGATCTAGCCTACCTGAAATGCTGATGCTAGTATACAACCCTATTCTGTACATACCCGCAGACATCGTGATTTGTAGCACTGCTACTGCTGTAGAGCCTAAAGCTTAGACTGTCTCTCAGCTCTCTCATTGCCTTCCTGTGCTCACCAGACAGGCTGGGACTACAGAGGAGGAATACCACACAGCTCTGAAGCCTTGAACAAGCTACTGTTATCCAAGAAATGATGTGACATATCACAGAGAAAGCTAAAGGTGTTAGAAATTCTTACTGATTTGAAAGCCTTAAAGTAATTTCCATTATGTGTAAGACATTGTTCGAAAATAGTTCCCATAATATACTTTGATTTTTACATACACATTTTTATTTGTGTATAGATACATACACATATTCATATGTATGTCTACTGAGTAAGCAAACACAATAATCACTTTAAGGAATTTTACTGGTCAACTTACAATTATTTACAGTTAAACTTTAGAAAAGAATTGGAGGAAAACAACACAAAAGGATAGGATTCCCTTACTATCCATTTTATTACTGTACTTCTATGGGAAGCCTGCTCACAAGGATGGCCTGAGACTCTAATCCTACAGGTGGCTGTCACCCCAGGCACAGCCTGCATAGTGAGGAGGAGAACCCCTGTAGGAGGGGAGACAGGACAGATCCTCATTTCTGCAGGTGGCACTTTTACCAGGGATGGACAGACACACGATCTGGCCCAGTTTCATGGTCACTATCTGATTCAGATTCTGTCTGCTTCTTTGGGACTGGTTTTTCTCCTGTGGAATGTACAGTACTTCTAAGCACAGGCCTTGCCTGCTATGGTCATAGCTCTGCATCGTCCCCGGGGTTCCTGAATGACATAATTAGCCTTCTGTAAGTACTTATTGATTGACTGAATAAATGTGGGGCTGTAGCCTGAGGGTGTGAAGACAGAAAAGAGAAAAGTAGGATACTGCTCCAGGGCCCCAGGCTAGAAGTAACTGAAGGAGGTGAGACTGGACCACAGAGACCTCACCTCGCCTTCTTAGAACTGTATCTGGCTTATGGGCTCCCTCGGGGTGGGGTAGGGGTAGGTAAAAAGGGGCTACCCTCACCCAGGCTGCTTGCCACACTCAGGTGCCAATAATCTACCTTACAACTGTGCTCCTGACAGTAATTTAGGAGAAATAAAAGCAGACTGAAGTCTCCAGTCACCTAAAGCAAAAAGGGGGAGGCCACACGGGCATCGTCCACTCTTCGAAACAGCTGTGTCCATGTTAATAATCCCACAGAGATTAACTAGTCCTCAGTCATGTTGGAAGGAGTTACCTCATCCCCAACCCTTCGAAGGGGATACCCAGGAGGCAACAGGCAACACTGAGAACTGCAGGCTAAGAGGACAAAAGGTGATTTGCAAAACACCAGTCACTGCGATAATAGGGGATGTGTGGTCTCTAACACTGTATCTCTGTTGTCTAACACAGGTCTGAAGGATTTGTACCATTTAGTAAATGTGTGATTACAGAAACATTTACCTCTCTAACCTCTCTAACTTATTCTTCAGAGTTATTTAGTGGATCAAGTGAGATAATGTGTGTAAACAACCTAGCATATTGTAGTAAGTGCTCAGTGAAAATGAGCCTTCCATTCTCCCTTGCCACCTGCCAATCTTAGTGGCACATCATGACAGTAGTTATTTAGCAAAGGGCAGCTACTCTTCATTTTGATAGTAGTACTCTTTGTGGAATGAAAATACTATAACCAGAACACTAGAGCTATGTTGAAAGATGGTATTGATTAGTCAGTAGGTAGCAGGAATGAATCATTTCACCTGGGGACTCCAGGTTACTTTGCAGACAAGACCATGAAAACCCTTTTGTCCTTACAAGGGGTTCTTGTAGCCAGATGCGGATCAGCGTGGCCAGCGTGTAGTACATCACCAACAGAAGGATGGGGTTGGCATGGTGATACCAGGACAGGTCTGGGTTCACTATGATCTTCCACGTACTGGAACAGTCCGTTTGGATTACTGATTTGATACCAAACAACCTGTTGAAAGAGAAAGAAAGAAAGAAAGAAAGAAAGAAAGAAAGAGAGAGAGAGAGAGAGAGAGAGAGAGAGAGAGAGAGAGAGAGAGAGAAAGAAAGAAGGAAGGAAGGAAGGAAGGAAGGAAGGAAGGAAGGAAGGAGAAAGAAAGAAGAAAGAAGAAAGAAAGAAAGATGCTTTAAAAATGTAACAAATACGCCCCCAACATAAAAGAAAAAGCAACTTGTTTATAATGCATTTGTGAGCTATTCCTAGGTTAATCCCTCTTATAGATATTTCAGTTACTGTCCTGTGTGTATAACTACATCTTTAAGCAATATATGTCCTGAAATCATATGTACATATGTATAAGACAGATGCTAGCAGGAGCCAGATCTTTACATCAGTTCAAAAATCTAACTACGACTAAATCCTTGCACACCTATTAGAAATTTATATTTTAAATGTCAATAAGCCCTATTAAAATCCTGCATTACTGAAATGCCAAGTATGTGGTAGCATATTACCAAGTCTAGCTAACCAAGCAAGTATTTTGTTTTGGCTAAATTTAGTATTAGCTATGCAACTAGTGTAGCTGTTTTGGGGAAAATATTGAAATTGGAGATAGTTCTACAGTTCAATCATAAAAGTCATATATTATGCAGAGGAATTTTTGTGGGATATATTTCTGTCAAATTTCATTTATGGGTCATTTGATTTTTTTCAAAGCTCTGTGATTAATTATTTACTTGAAATATGACTTTTTGAGACAACTTTTTAAGTGGTTTATTTTTTATACTGACTTCTGCTATAATTTGAATTTATCTACTATAATGAGAAAATGTGTAAAATATGATTCCTTTAGAAATTCATTTTAACGTACAAATTTTCTAAGAAAACATTCTATAAGCATATACAACTTTTACGTTAAGTGTGTTTCATGCCTTTTTCCATATCTTTCTATTGTTTGGATCTTTTACATGTGAACTTCCTTTAATTTTTATCTTACATTCTTCATTCAATTATAAAATTTTCAAAGACTATATATCCTTCACTTGTAAAACTTCTCAGTGCAATTACTGTTTTCTATCACAATACAAATGCCATATTAGAGTATTGATGAATGTGAATCTTGAAGTGAGTTAAATAAAAATTAAAATAACTTTCTTCACTTTTTTTTTTTTTTTTTGAGTTGGAGTCTCACTCTGTTGCCCAGACTGGAGTGCAGTGGCCGCTCCCGGCCACCGCAGCCTCGACCTGCGGGGCTCCAGCGATCCTTCCGCCTCAGACTTCCAAGTAGCCAGAATTACAGGCATGTGCTACCACGCCCGGCTAATTTTGTGATTTATTGTAGAGATGAGGTCTCGCTGCCCAGGTGAGTCTTGAACCTGCGGGCTCAGGCAATCCACTCACCTCAGCCTCCCAAAGGCGCGGGATTACAGGCTGAGCCACCGAGCCCGGCTTTTCTTCACTTTTATCAGGAAAAAAATAAGTTATGCTAGAACTTGTTCTTATTATATAGACTTTTTTTTCTTAAGTCCAGGCAAAGTTTTTGTAGTTAGCATAACTTTTTGAAAATGTTTTTCCACTCCTAGATTAAAATGTAAATCTCTTGTACAAAGTACGTAGAACTGAAAGCTTTTAGCTATAAAATCAAACAAGCTGGATAAACTTTTGGTTTAGTCTAAGTAGCAGGTAGCAGTAGTTGCTGGTTACCAAGTCCTCCTTTTTCTTGCCCACACTCAACACATATGCTAAAAATAATCTTATTGATCCTAAGTTTAAAAATACCAGTTTTTCCCCATCAGAAATTTAATTGTAATTTTTTGCAGCTTTTTGTAAACTGAACGATGAGCCTTCTAAAAGACTTCATATTACATTGACACTTCACACCTTACCACTGATTTCATAACTGATTTTAAACTGATTTTGCATATTTCCACGTAAACACTGAAGAATCCAACCTATATTTTGTACTTCTATTTTGGACCTAAGAAAAACGAGTTGAAGCTACAGAATGGCAGACTGTTGTCCCTATAAGAAAATTTTTCCTAATAGAGCTATGCAAACACTGTGAGCCCTAAGATTTCTCATTCTTTAAAAAACAGACTGTATACTGTAAAAAGAATTCATATACAATATAGAAAATTCAATCTTGATGTTCACATCCTTTCTGGCACTGCAATTCTATGATACTATGCAATACCCAATGATTATCTAATTTACTTAATCTTTTATTTTCCAGGATTGCATCTCAATAGTGATAATACAAAGAAAATTGATACCATAGCGCCTGCCCTGGATGAAGTATTTTGTTTACAATCATGTGATATGCTGGCATGGTGAGAGCAAGGTGTCATGGAGACCCTCCCTGTCTGCAGGTGTTGCAGATGGGCACTGCAAAAAGTAGTTGGGAAGAAAGCAGGAAAACATGAGTAGATGAGAAAGAAGAGAAATCCCAAAGAACTGATGAGGCATTGTCAGGTTGTGGGCGTGAACTGGGAAGAGAGTCAGAGATTGGGTACAGTGAGAGCAAAGACTATTTGCTATTACTGGTAATAGATGCATTGATGGATGTTTATTAACTTCATTTTATCTTGAGGATGCACACATAACTTCTGATGTCTTCTCACTGATCCCAGTCTAGCACTCAGATGGACTGAATAAAAATATTTATATCTTAAAAGTGTATCTGTCACTAAAAGCATTTAAAATGATTATGTTAAATCACTCTGTAGAAACATCTCTTTGCCTGAGAAGTAAATGATCACACAATTATAGAGCAGTTCATTCCCATATATTGCTTATTTGGTTCAAGAGTCTCACTGAGGTTCCACATCTCCTTGCCGGATTTTTGTCTTGATCTGTCCAGGGTTGTGAGTGGGGTATTAAAGTCCCCAGCTATCAGAAAGATAAAGTTTTTTTCTTCCATGCAGCTGGAATATACCTTGCTTATCTTTGATCCCAGGTCCAGTTCTAGCAAAAGTGTAAGGGACTTTTTTTCGTAAGGGACTCACTGTCTCTGAGTATTCACTTCCTAAAGAAATCTAATAGAGTTGGAGGTAGAGGGGAGTATGTGGAAAAGAAAGGACATTTTGAGACATATCATGCAAAATTCTTAAGGTCTCGAATGCTTTTTTTTTTTTTTTTGAGTCAGAGTCTCACTCTGTCGCCCAGGCTGGAGGGCAGTGTCACGCTCACGGCCACCACAGCCTTGACATGCTGGGCTCAGACAATCCTTCTGCCTCCCCTTCCAAGTAGCTGGAACCACAGGCACGTACCACCACACCTGGCTAATTTTCTGATTTATTGTAGAGATAAGGTCTTGCCATGTTGCCTAGGTTGGTCTTGAACCCGTGGGCTCAGGCAATTCTCTCACCTCAGCCTCCCAAAGTGGTAGGATTATAGGCGTGAGCCACTCATTGTGCCTGGCCTCAAACTCTTTTATTTCCCAAATGATGGCTGAAGATAATGATCAGTTATCACAAATAATTGATCCATTTTCTATTGCAATGCAAGTGCAATATTGGAGCAGATCTTAAGGTGAGTTAAATAAGAATTAAAATAACTTTCTTCAGTTTTATCAGAAAACAATGTTATAAAATAACTTATAAAATAAGTTATAAGCAACGATCAGTTCCTAGCAGAGACAAATCAGGCCTTGAGGGCCTACACTCCTGCTTTGGCACTTGGTCTGCCTGCCCTGCTATTTCTTTCTTTCTTTCTTTTTTTTTTTTTTTTAAAGAAGCGGGGTACAATTCAGGGTTAGGTATACAAATGCTCATTATGCAGGTGCCCTTGTGGATGAGGTGTGACCCCTCCCTTCCCCAGGCAGATTCCCACTACTGCCAATCCCATCTCCCCATGCCTCCCCCGCCAACCCCCTGTAGTTTCCTGTTACTGCCAATCACTTTCTTGTAGTATGACGATACTTGTTCAAGGTCCACTTAAGAGTGAGAACATGTGATACTCAGTTCTTTGTTTCTGTGATACATCACTCATTATTACAGACTCTAAGTCTATCCAGGTTGCTGTGAAGTTCATGATTTTGTTCTTCTTGGTGGTTGTGTAATATTCCATCGTGTACATGTACCACATTTTTTTATTCAGTCCTCTTTTGATGGGCAGCATGTTTGGTTCCATGTTCTTGCTACTGTGAACAATGCTGCAATAAACATACATGTGCAGGTATCTTTTTTATAGAGCGAATTGAGTTCTTCCAGGTATGTTCCCTGTAGGGGGATTGTGGGGTTATATGGAAGGTCGATTTTTAGATCTTTTAGGAAACACCACACTGTTTTCCACAGAGGCTGTACTAGTTTACACTCCCACCAACAGTGTAGAAGTGTTCCCTTTTCATGGCATCCTCTCTGGCATCTGTTATTTTTTGGGTTATTGATGATAGCCATCCTGACTGGAGGTAGGTGGTATCTCAGTGTAGTTTTAATTTGCATTTCTTGGATGACTAGTTAGGCTGAGCATTTTTTCATGTATCTGTTGGCAGCTCGTGTGTCTTCTTTTGAGAACTGTCTATTCATAGCCAACACTCCTATCCAAGGAACAAGTCTTCACTTCTCTTTCTGGACAATTACAAGCCAAGGACATTCTCACTGCTTCTAGTTTCTCTCCCTCCCTCTTCCCCCATCCCGGCACTGTGCCAGAGTTACCTTCAGAAACCTTAGGTTCAGCACGCCATCCTCGTCCGATTTCCTAATCCCCCACTGCCTGGAGAATAACCCCAAGTCCCAGGAAATCATCCCTGAGATCTTCAGCAACCTGGTCTCTTCTTCTTTCTTCCAGACAAGAAAACTTGAGCTATACGGAACTATTTGGCATTCACCATAAAACCTCACTCCCTTTGGTCTTGCTATTTCTTGTTTCACCAGGGTTTTCTTTAGTAATTGTAACTTTTCTGGGGTCACTAAATCAAGAATTGTGGGTGTATGTACTAATGAGCTGTACCCACTCCTTGGCAATGAGGAACCAAGGAACAGGCCAGGCATAGCTTCACAAGTTCTCTGATG